AATATTAAATCCAAACGCAAGATCATCAAGTGTCAAAACTTTCGGTTCCTTTTCAATTTTTGGGAATTTCCATCTTTTTGTGTAATATTTTTCAATTAAGTGATTCATAATTCCTGTTGAAATCAAACTTTCGATAACCTTAACCAACATTCGTGTGTAGTAAGCAGCACCATAGAAACAGAAAACATCCTGATTTTTATCAATATTTAAGTCTTGAAGCTTATTCCATTGTTGTTTCTTTCTCATAAAGACCGCGTTGAAGGAATTAACATACAATTCATCAACTGTTAAGGCGAGTTTGGCTGATGCATTTTTTGATTGAGTTAGTAATGCATTATGGAATTCATAAGGATTTGCAACCGTTACGTTCTTCCTATTAAATTAGATTTAAAGACGTTATGAAGAACTCTTCTATGTCATGTGTAGTGTGCCTCTCATGTCGCGTGTCTCTCATGTCGTGTGTCTCTCATGTATTGTGTCTTTTGTGTCATGTGTCTCTCGTGTATTGTGTCCCTTATGTCGTGTGTCTCTCATGTCATGTTTTTCTAATGGCGTGAATGTCTCGTGTCTTGTGTCTCACGTGTCATGTGTCTCTAATGTCATGTGTCTCTAATGTCGTGTGTCTCACGTATATTATGTCTCTCATGTCGTGTGTCGTAAGTTTCTCATCTCATATGTCGTGTGTCTCTAATGTCATGTGTTTCTAATGGCGTGTATTTCTCGTGTCTTGTGTCTCACGTGTCATGTGTCTCTAATGTCATGTGTCTCTCATGTCGCGTGTCTCTCTGATTTACACTAAAAGAACTTACCATGAGCTCAGTTCATTGTCATACATGAATAAAATACGAGTTCCCTGCAATGTATACATCTGATAGTGTCTATCTTTCAGGTCTTGAAGAGTTCTTGGTGCTGGATGCCTCGGCTCGCTTGTCATGAACTCGAAGAACTTGCTCTGAAAGCATGTCCGAAAAACTAAGCAGAAATAAATGAAAATCATTAAAATAAACCGCGAGAATTTCTTATTTGGCAATTTTGTCTGTGAGATTCCGAAAAAGATTCGAATGACATTCCAGATTGGTGTTGCAACCTTATCGCCATAAACCATACTCTGTGTAGATTTTGAAAGCTGATTGATGATTAAAATTGTCAGAAAAGTGACCAGAAATGTCACAAGTAACAAAATCCATGTCTGAATATCAAATGGAAGGATGAACTTCTCATACTGTGTGTACTTCTTACCGGGTGTTATAAAAATAAAAGTTTCTGGATTAAGCACAATCGATGTTTTCTGGAAACGTTCATCCAATGGATTAATTGCATGAATTTCAAAATATACTTCAGGTATTTTGGAACTATGATTAATTGGTATTGGGTCAGCTATCTCATCATTCAAATAAGTCATCCAGTATGGACCTATATTGACAGGCTGATATGCAGGTCGAAAATTATGAAATTCTCCAGCAATATTAAAAATGACTGGTGTGATTCCATTTATGTTAAAATCTGTGTCATCTTTTTTTCTAATAGCAAATCCCGATGTATGATACACAACATGATCAGGCAGAGGTGTTGGCAGCATCATGACCAACTCACAGTCATGATAATCCACAAATTTTTCATAATCTTCAAGTTTTGAGTTCCATTTTTGTGACTTTTTATCAAATGTATTCAACTTATGCAGCTGTGGACGATGACATGCTTGTGGACTAAACCACTCAACTGTCGATAATGTCACAGTCTCAATCTCATTAGTAATAAAGTATGCAAATACAAAAATTCCACTGCCAATTACTGGCAATCGCTGATAATAATCATAAATCTTCGATGACTTGAGTTGATCGTAAGTCAAGTTGGCAATGACAGTAAAATGCTTGATTGGCTGATTTTGATTACGAATGACGTCAAAAGATGACTCGATATACTTAAACATGAAAATGTCATCAATAAATAAGAATGAAGGATATTTTATCTATCTTAAATAAATGACGTCATAGTTTTTAAATTTGATACATAAATACTTAAATGATGTATTAAGTTTAGCCATGAAACTGTTGACAATGTCGAGTGAAACTCGCAAATCAGAATCAAAAATGAAAATATTGATTTTAGAATCTACGTTTGACAAAAACTCGTCAGCTATGTCACGTAAAACATTTGCAATCACTAAAAAATCATGATTATCTTGTAGATTTAAGATATTTTTGCAGGATATTGAGGAAGCAATCGACAGAAGAGTGAGAACTTTTAAGGAAAATTTCATAGTTCACGCTGCCTTAATTTGACACTTGAAACAATAATGCAGGCTTAAGAGACTTAAGGTTAACTTGTAAATGGACATAAAATCCAAAAAATACTTTCAAATATTCAGCTTTTATTGATTTTGTGTTAAAAATTGTTTTAATGTCTTGATAATCGCTAATCTATTGCCATGTCATCATATTGACGTACATCCTCGCTAGGCCTTTTATTGAAAAGCATTTTTCGGTAAGAACAGTTTGCTTTAACGTTCATTTTGTCTTGGTATGATCTTACTAGATGATGGTTTTAGGTACTAGATGTTGTGATACATATAATGTCATCTGTTGGGCACGTCAACAACCTTTTCTCGCCAAATGCTATTTCCTCTAGATCCTCTTTTGTGGATGTCTTGATTCTAAATCTTATTAGGATCTCTGCTTTCAAAATGTGATGAACTTCAGTTACATCGTCTTCGACATTGATTGGATGAACTTTAGCGAATTTCAGCTTTTTAGGTTTCGTCACAAATCTCACAAAATGTTCAGCAACATGTCCAACAAGAGACAAAAGACAACATCCAAGCCAAATATTAAATCCAAACGCAAGATCATCAAGTGTCAAAACTTTTGGTTCCTTTTCAATTTTCGGGAATTTCCATTTTTTTGTGTAATATTTTTCAATCAAAAAGTTCATAATTCCAGTTGGAATCAAGCTCTCGATAACATTAACCAATATTCGAGTATAATGAGCAGCACCATAAAAATAAAAAGTATTTTGAGTTGTTAGTAGATCAAAGTCTTTAAGCTTGTTCCATTTTGAGTTTCTTTTGATGAATTCCGTATTGTAAGAATTCACATTAAATTCATCAGCTATTAAGGCGAGTTTGGCTGATGCATTTTGTGATTGAGTTATTAATGTATAATGAAATCTAATTGGATTGGCAATTTTCACATCTTTCCTGGATAAATTAGACAATAGAAAAGCTGCTGACGTTAACATTGCCAAAACAAAGCTTTAAAGCAATTACCAATTATTAAGTTTCCCATCATAATGGAAAAAGTTTTGAGCTGCTTCCAATGAATGCATCTGATAGTTTCTATCCCTCAGGTCTTGAAGAGTTCTTGGTGCTGGATGTCTAGGCTCGCTTGTCATAAACTCAAAGAACTTACTCTGAAAGCATGTCCGAAAAACTAAGCAAAAATAAATGAAAATCATTAAAATAAAACGCGAGAACTTCTTATTTGGCAATTTTGTCTGTGAGATTCCGAAAAAGATTCGAATGACATTCCAGATTGGTGTTGCAACCTTATCGCCATAAACCATACTCTGTGTAGATTTTGAAAGCTGATTGATGATTAAAATTGTCAGAAAAGTGACCAGAAATGTCACAAGTAACAAAATCCATGTCTGAATATCAAATGGAAGGATGAACTTCTCATACTGTGTGTACTTCTTACCGGGTGTTATAAAAATAAAAGTTTCTGGATTAAGCACAATCGATGTTTTCTGGAAACGTTCATCCAATGGATTAATTGCATGAATTTCAAAATATACTTCAGGTATTTTGGAACTATGATTAATTGGTATTGGGTCAGCTATCTCATCATTCAAATAAGTCATCCAGTATGGACCTATATTGACAGGCTGATATGCAGGTCGAAAATTATGAAATTCTCCAGCAATATTAAAAATGACTGGTGTGATTCCATTTATGTTAAAATCTGTGTCATCTTTTTTTCTAATAGCAAATCCCGATGTATGATACACAACATGATCAGGCAGAGGTGTTGGCAGCATCATGACCAACTCACAGTCATGATAATCCACAAATTTTTCATAATCTTCAAGTTTTGAGTTCCATTTTTGTGACTTTTTATCAAATGTATTCAACTTATGCAGCTGTGGACGATGACATGCTTGTGGACTAAACCACTCAACTGTCGATAATGTCACAGTCTCAATCTCATTAGTAATAAAGTATGCAAATACAAAAATTCCACTGCCAATTACTGGCAATCGCTGATAATAATCATAAATCTTCGATGACTTGAGTTGATCGTAAGTCAAGTTGGCAATGACAGTAAAATGCTTGATTGGCTGATTTTGATTACGAATGACGTCAAAAGATGACTCGATATACTTAAACATGAAAATGTCATCAATAAATAAGAATGAAGGATATTTTATCTATCTTAAATAAATGACGTCATAGTTTTTAAATTTGATACATAAATACTTAAATGATGTATTAAGTTTAGCCATGAAACTGTTGACAATGTCGAGTGAAACTCGCAAATCAGAATCAAAAATGAAAATATTGATTTTAGAATCTACGTTTGACAAAAACTCGTCAGCTATGTCACGTAAAACATTTGCAATCACTAAAAAATCATGATTATCTTGTAGATTTAAGATATTTTTGCAGGATATTGAGGAAGCAATCGACAGAAGAGTGAGAACTTTTAAGGAAAATTTCATAGTTCACGCTGCCTTAATTTGACACTTGAAACAATAATGCAGGCTTAAGAGACTTAAGGTTAACTTGTAAATGGACATAAAATCCAAAAAATACTTTCAAATATTCAGCTTTTATTGATTTTGTGTTAAAAATTGTTTTAATGTCTTGATAATCGCTAATCTATTGCCATGTCATCATATTGACGTACATCCTCGCTAGGCCTTTTATTGAAAAGCATTTTTCGGTAAGAACAGTTTGCTTTAACGTTCATTTTGTCTTGGTATGATCTTACTAGATGATGGTTTTAGGTACTAGATGTTGTGATACATATAATGTCATCTGTTGGGCACGTCAACAACCTTTTCTCGCCAAATGCTATTTCCTCTAGATCCTCTTTTGTGGATGTCTTGATTCTAAATCTTATTAGGATCTCTGCTTTCAAAATGTGATGAACTTCAGTTACATCGTCTTCGACATTGATTGGATGAACTTTAGCGAATTTCAGCTTTTTAGGTTTCGTCACAAATCTCACAAAATGTTCAGCAACATGTCCAACAAGAGACAAAAGACAACATCCAAGCCAAATATTAAATCCAAACGCAAGATCATCAAGTGTCAAAACTTTTGGTTCCTTTTCAATTTTCGGGAATTTCCATTTTTTTGTGTAATATTTTTCAATCAAAAAGTTCATAATTCCAGTTGGAATCAAGCTCTCGATAACATTAACCAATATTCGAGTATAATGAGCAGCACCATAAAAATAAAAAGTATTTTGAGTTGTTAGTAGATCAAAGTCTTTAAGCTTGTTCCATTTTGAGTTTCTTTTGATGAATTCCGTATTGTAAGAATTCACATTAAATTCATCAGCTATTAAGGCGAGTTTGGCTGATGCATTTTGTGATTGAGTTATTAATGTATAATGAAATCTAATTGGATTGGCAATTTTCACATCTTTCCTGGATAAATTAGACAATAGAAAAGCTGCTGACGTTAACATTGCCAAAACAAAGCTTTAAAGCAATTACCAATTATTAAGTTTCCCATCATAATGGAAAAAGTTTTGAGCTGCTTCCAATGAATGCATCTGATAGTTTCTATCCCTCAGGTCTTGAAGAGTTCTTGGTGCTGGATGTCTAGGCTCGCTTGTCATAAACTCAAAGAACTTACTCTGAAAGCATGTCCGAAAAACTAAGCAAAAATAAATGAAAATCATTAAAATAAAACGCGAGAACTTCTTATTTGGCAATTTTGTCTGTGAGATTCCAAAAAAGATTCGAATGACATTCCAGATTGGTGTTGCAACCTTATCGCCATAAACCATACTCTGTGTAGATTTTGAAAGCTGATTGATGATTAAAATTGTCAGAAAAGTGACCAGAAATGTCACAAGTAACAAAATCCATGTCTGAATATCAAATGGAAGGATGAACTTCTCATATTGTGTGTACTTCTCACCGGGTGTAATAAAAATGTCAAACTTTAAATTAAGCACAACCGATGTTGTCTGTAATCGGACATTCTTTAAATCTAATGTTTTTAATTCAAAATAAACTTCAGGTTTTTTGACATTATGATTAATTGGTACTGAGACAACTTTCTCATCTTCTAAATCAGTCAGCCAATCTGGAAACATATTAACAGGCTGAAAATCTGGTCTAAATCCATAATACGTTCCAGCTATCACGAAAATGACTGGTGTGATTCCATTAATATTAAAATCTGTGTCATCATCATTTGAAAATGCATATCCTGATGGATGATATACAACATGATCAGGAAGTGGTGTTGGCAGCATCATGACCAAGTCACAGTTATGATAATTCTCAAATTTCACATAATCTTCAAGTTTTGAGTTCCATTTTTGTGACTTTTTATCAAATGTATTCAATTTGTGCAGCTGTGGACGATGACAAGCTTGTGGACTAAACCACTCAACTGTTGACAATGTCACAGTCTCAATCTCATTAGTAATAAAGTATGCAAATACAAAAAATCCACCTCCAACGACTGGCAATCGCTGATAATAATCAAAAATCTTCGATGAATTGAGTTGGTCGTAAGTAAGGCTGGATATGAATATAAAATGCTTAATTGGCTGATTTTGGTTGTGTGTGATGTCAAAGGTTTCCTCAATATATGTTAATGTGAGTATGTCATCAATAAACATAAATATTGGGTAAATTATAGCAAATGAAAATTCAACATTATAATTGACAATAGCTCGAAAGGAATAATCAAATGATTCGTTAAGTTTAGACATGAAGCTATTGGAAATGTCACGTCCAACTTGTGAATGACAATTGAATAAGAAAACGTTGAGTCTTGAATGTATGTTAAATAGAAACTTTACTGCTATGTCGTGTAGAACATTCGAGATGACTTGACTTTCTGTTGAATTTAGGACAATTTTGCAGGATATTAAGGAAGCAATCGACAGAAGAGTGAGAATTTGTGAGTAAAATTTCATATTGATTCTAATTCACTGTGACTTAATTTTGACACTAGAAGTATAAATCAGGCTACAGAGACTTAAGGCCAACTTCTAAATGGACATAAATTCCAGAAAATTCTTTCAAATTTTTAGAATAATTCAGCATTTATTGATTTAATGTTTAAATTCGATTGAATGTTCAGATTAAGTTACTAGAAAAATGTTTTTGATAATGTTTTTGATAAAAATACATCAAATGTTCAGTAATCTGTCCTCATGTCATCTTGTTAGACCTCAAAGTTAAATATAGTGCGACCGAACTTACATTTAATTCAGCTTTTGTTCACCAACAACTGACAAAAAATTCAACATTTCATCTTCGAGCTCATTTGATTCTGATTTTATACAAATAATTCTCTCGCCAAATGCAACCTCTTCTACATCCTCACTTGAGCTTGTATTAATTTTGAATGTCATCAGTAATTCTGGCATTGAAATATCATCAACATCGTCTTCATCATTGATTGGATGAACTTTAGCGAATTTCAGCTTTTTAGGTTTTCTGACAAATCTCACAAAATGTTCAGCAACATGTCCAACAAGTGACAAAAGGCAGCATCCAAGCCAAATGTTGAATCCAAATGCAAGATCATCAAGTGTCAAAACTTTCGGTTCCTTTTCAATTTTTGGGAATTTCCATTTTTTTGTGTAATATTTTTCAATCAAGTGATTCATAATTCCAGTTGGAATTAAGCTCTCGATTACCTTAACCAACATTCGAGTGTAGTAAGCAGCACCATAGAAATAGAAAACATCTTGGCTTGTAAACAGTTCCAGATCCTCAAGTTTGTTCCATTTTTGATTATTTTTCATTAACTCTAAGCTGACGGCATTGACATAATATTCATCAATTGTAAGGGCAAGTTTAGCTGATGCATTTTGTGATTGAGACAGTAAAACTTTATGAAAGCCTTCTGGTCTTGCAACTCTCGCTTCTTTCCTAATGGAAGTAAAATTAATGATAAGATTAGTTCATAAAATCAAGTTTCAGGTTTCTAGGGCTACTCCGGGGACCCTAATTAATCCAAGCCTTATAAAGGACGCCAGGTAGACCTAGAAGCCGGATTCTGTGTTAATCTTGATTCATAATCCCATACCACGAATTCAGCTTATTATCATACAGGAACATATCATTGGTGGCCTTCAATGTATACATCTGATAGCTTCTTTCCCTCAGATCCTCCAGTGTCTTTGGTGACGGATGTCTAGGCGCAGTTGTCATAAACTCAAAGAACTTACTCTGAAAGCATGTCCGAAAAACTAAGCAGAAATAAATGAAAATCATTAAAATAAACCGCGAGAATTTCTTGTTTGGCAATTTTGTCTGTGAGATTCCGAAAAAGATTCGAATGACATTCCAGATTGGTGTTGCAACTTTATCGCCATAAACCATACTTTGAGTAGATTTCGATAGCTGATTGATGATCAAAATTGTCAGAAAAGTGACCAGAAATGTCACAAGTAACAAAATCCATGTCTGAATGTCAAATGGAAGGATGAACTTCTCATATTGTGTGTAAACTTCACCGGGTGTCACGAACATGCAAACATTCAAGTTTGTGACAGTGCTTGATGTCCATAATCGACCATGCATTTCAGATAGTTGGAATATTTCAAAGTAAACATCCGGAACTTTGATTTTGTAATTAATTGGTATTGGTTCAGCTGATTCATCACCATTTAAGTTAATCAACCAGTATGGACCTATTTCAACAGGCTGATATGCAGGTCTGAATCCATAATGTTCTCCTGCTATGTCAAAAATCACTGGCGATATTCCTTTAACTTCAAAATCTGTTTCGTCATCATTTACAATCGCGAATCCCGATGAATGATACACAAAACTATCAATAAGTGGAACTGGCAGCATCATGACAAGTTCACAGCTATGAAAATCCTCAAATTTTTCATAATCTTCAAGTTTTGAGTTCCATTTTTGTGAATTTTTATCAAATGTGTTTAATTTATGCAGCTGTGGACGATGACATGCTTGTGGACTAAACCATTCGACTGTCGACAATGTCACTGACTCAATCTCATCTGTAATGAAGTATGTAAAGGTAAAGACTCCACTGCCAATGACCAAAAGTCTCTTAAAGTAATTAAAAATCTCTGAAGATGCTAATTGATTAAATGTGAAGTTGGCAATAAAGACAAAGTGCTTAATTGGTCGATTTTGGAAATTAACAACATCAAAAGCTAGCTCAATGTGCTCAAACATGAAGATATCGTCAATAAACAGGAATGTTGGGAACATAAGATTTATAACGTTCTGTACACGAAGACTTTGAAATGTCGAAAATTGCAGCTGAAATGTCTCGTTGAGTTGAGCCATAAAGTTATTGGCAATGTCGTGCAGAACTTGCAACTTCGAGTTGAATATGAAAATGTTGAGCTGATCATGTCTGTTAAGTAGGAACTCGTCTGTTATGTCATGTAGAACTTTTGGGATGTCCGAGAAATCTTGATTTTCTGTCGAATTTTGAACACTTTTGCAGGATGTCAAGGCAGGAACAATCAACATAAAACTTAGAACCATCGAGTAAAGTTTCATGTTGAGCTTAAATTTATATCCAAAAAAACAGTCCTAAAAGGACAAAGACTCACTTGTAGATGAGGCAAAAGGATTCAAAAAATTCATTAGAATTACTCAGCATTTATTGATTTTTTTTTTATTAAAATAATATTTAATTATATCAGTGGTGTTCAATCTTTGTTCTGTGGAACTCTTTTAATTCTGCACAAAAAATCTTAAAAACAATTTCTGAATGTCGAAAAATAATTTGCTGTCCCGCGACGTAAAAAGCTTGAGAAGCACTGCATTGATAATCAATTGACCACATCGTCGTGTAAAGTATTAATCGGATTGAACCTAATTTTCATTGCATGGCTGTTGCATGTTTAAGAGTCATGACTTCAATGGCTAGAATTTTGTAAGAAGATATTTTGACATTTTTAATGAATATTTGGCTAATTTTGTGTAGGACTGCCTTGAGGAAGCTACCTTAGAATAGTCAGAAGTGTGTATCATGCTTGATGCCAACTTCAATCTTATTAGAAGCTTAAGAAGTCTATAGAAGGTAGTGATTTAAAGACAACCATACGAACGGTCAGCCTAGTCATGTTTTGACATCAAGCAAGGCTAACGAATAGACATCATGATTTAGATTACATGCAAGGCCTTTCTTAAAGAGCAAAGATCAAGAAGTGTAAAGAAAGCAGTGGTGTCCAACCTTGTTAGTGCCAAGGCACACTTGGATTTAATGCATGACAAAAACTGCACATAGCATATGGTTCGTGTGATATCTTCATCTTTTTTTTTTCACAGCACACGGGTTGGACATTACTGCTATATAGAATAGCAACCAAAATTCTATTTATAGCTACTTAGAGCTCCTTAGAAATACTTATAGCTACAAAAAAATCAACATTTCATTCTGTAACTTATTCGGTATCCGGAGTTGATATTGGATAAAAATTAAATTATTCTTAGACGAAAGGCTTGTAGAGCACTAGAAATCGACACCAGATTCCACACTTAAATAAGTTGAATTACACAGCAGCAGGTTCGTAGCCAGAAAATTTTTAAGGGGGGGGGGGCCATTTTCGAAAATTAAAAAACCGATATTTTGTATCCTTAAATCTATATTCATTCTTCATAAGTTTAAATATTTAATTCATTATTCATACATTAAATTTAATATTTCGTGCTGATTTTGACATTTCTTTCATCACTTCCTCTATATTAACTGGTTCTTCTCTATAAATACTTAATAAAACAATTATCAGATTTTCGTAGGGGGGCCCGGGCCCCCTATGCCCCCCCCCCCCTGGCTACGCCCCTGCACAGCAGTCATGTTGCTATGAGACCTTTTTTCTCGCAAGGTTCTACGAACTAGGAAACAAAAGAGAAGAGAAGAGCAGAATTACATCAGCTTTCAATGAAGATAATATTGTACGACGACTTAAAGGCAACAAGCTTTGTTGGACGGATCATTTTGGTAGGAGAACTGTTGAAGCTTCCATTAATCAAGTTCTTTAGTCTGATTTATTAGATGGCAAAAGAGCACGTGGACGTCCCAAGAACTCTTTGAGAGAAGCTATTGACAGAGACAGTATTACACTTGGTATTGGTAATTTGCAAGCAGTAGCCAGTGATAGAGCCAGCTTTAGGCACCTCCTAAGGGAGGCTATGGATCACAATTGATTTGGAAGGCCAGATCTCAGCATAAAAAAAGTATGAATTTATCAAGATTTAATCAGACTCTAGTAAATCTCCCTTCCCCATCCCCCCCCCCCCCCCCTCTTTTAGACACCCAAAAAAACTCAAATTTAAATTTTTCTCTCAATTTTTATTAACAACAGCATAAAGATTTGCGATTCTATCCTCATTTATTGGTTCTATTTGATTAATAACCTCAAAATATGTTTCTCGGACATTGACATTATTTTGTGAATTATTTAATGATCTGATTTCATCATATGGAAGCTCTTGATAGACATTTTCTTCGTTTTCTTTCGACAAATTGATGGAACCAACAATGTTGTCATTAGGTTTTGTAGAGTTGGTGACTGTTTCGCAGGGTTCGTCTTTGTTCTTTGTTGGTTCTACAGTTTGGTGGTTTAATGACTTGCATATTAAAATAATTGTAAGAATTATGGAAACAAAAACTCCAAAAAAGATGAGAATCGCTATAATTAATAAAATTTCAATCTCGTTTTTAACAATTCTGGCTAAATCTTCAGCTTTAACTGCTGTAAAGTTGGACAAATGCTGGCTAAAGTTTGAAGTTAAATCCCTGATTTCCTTTCGCATTGCCGCATTTTCATTAGTCAAATTGTCAAATTTATCATTATTATTAATACAAACAGTTCCTATCTGCTTAACAAGCAATGCTGTACTTTGTGAATCATTTGATATGCCTGAATAACATTCATTATTCCTAAAGTCAACATGATTTAAACTTAGAACGTTAAAGACATTTTCTTCAACAACTTGAATTCTGTTTGAATTTAAAATGATTGTCTGTAAAAATTTATTGGCACTGAACAAGTCACGCTCAAGAATCTCAATGTGATTGAAGCTCACATCTAAATGAAAAAGTTTGTCGAAATTTTTTAAATTTTCTCTTATAACTTTTCTTAAACCGCAGTTTTTGACTCTCAAAAGTGACAACTTTTTAATAAAGTTCTCGATTCCTCTCGGGATATAAAACATGTTCATGTCCTCAGCAATAAATCCTTTTGTTGTGTCGGTGTTGTTTGTGTTGTGGAACATTATTGTTGTATTTTCATAGTAAACTGACTGACTATATGCTTCAATTTTGCATGAAAATATTTCTGGATCATCAAATGTTAAGTGATTGCAGCTGACATTAAATAAATTAGCATTGGAATCGCCTAGAACTGGAGCAATCACCAGTGCCAATCTAAAAGGAAATAAAGCAAAAGTTGTAATGATTTAGAATTCAGTGGTTCTCAAACTATGTGCTGCGAAAAATTAAAAAATTAAATTTCATGTTTTATGACTTCAAGAAGGTCATGAAAATCATTTAGTGTGCCGCGAGACTATTTAGGGGTGCCACGATAATTTCTAAGATAAAAAAATGTGCCGGGGACCAAGAAAAAATTTGGTGTGAGTCTAGCTGCCCTTTTGAGGAAACCTGTCATCCAATCTGAATCTACTTACCACACCCAGAGTTGCGATCTGTCAAAAGCAATCACTTGTCACAGACACAAATCTTTCACAGGCACACATTTGTCAATGGCACAGATCTGTCACAGGCATCCATTTATCACAGACACAGATCTGTCACAGGCACAGATCTGTCACAGACACAGATCTGTCACAGGCACAGATCTGTCACTGGCACACATTTGTCACAGGCACAGATCTGTCACAGGCACATATCTCTCACAGGCACACATTTGTCACAGACACAGATCTGTCACAAGCACACATCTGTCACAGGCACACATATTTCACAGGCACACATTTATCACAGACACAGATCTGTAACAGGCACACATTTGCCACAGACACAAATCTATCAGAGACACAGATCTCTCACAGGCACAGATCTGTCACAGGCACAGATTTGTCACAAGCACACATTTATCACAGACACAGATCTGTAACAGGCACACATTTGCCACAGACACAAATCTATCAGAGACACAGATCTGTCACAGACACAGATATGTCACAGGCACAGATCTGTCACAAGCACACATCTGTCACAGGCACAGATCTGTCACAGGCACACATATTTCACAGGCACAGATCTGTCACAGGCACCCATTTGTCACAGGCCAGATTTGTCACAGACACAGATCTGTCACTTGCACATATCTGTCACAGGCACATATCTGTCACAGGTACAAATCTGTCACAGGCACACATTTGTCACAGACACAGATCTGTAACAGGCACACATTTGCCACAGGCACAGATCTGTCACAGGCACCCATTTGTCACAGGCCAGATTTGTCACAGACACAGATCTGTCACAGGCACAAATCTGTCACAGGCACAAATCTGTCAAAGACACAAATCTGTCATAGGCTCAAATCTGTCACAGGCACAGATCTGTCACAGGCACACATTTGTCACAGACACAGATCTGTCACAGGCACACATCTGTCACAAGCACAGATCTGATAAATCTTTCCACAGATATAACAGATCTGTGCCAGTGACAATCAAAAAATATATTGCCTGTCACAGGCGCTGCCTATAAACAGACAACATCTGTGACAAATCTGGCACATGTGCCTGTGACAAGCGACATGTATCGCAACTTCTGAGCACAACACACAAAATTAAATACTTACAATATTATCATCAAAGTCATATTTCTGGTTCTTAAGATATTCAAAAATTAATTCTGAGCTATTCCCAAACAAGTTACAGCTTAAATCTATCTAAAATGACTAAAAGTCAAGCTATAACTGATTAAATTTAATAACATTAATGTGGATATGATTCATTCCTTGATTTATCAGAGAAGAGAAGTCTAAACTTAATTTTATTTTTCATTTGAAACATTCTTTACATTCAGATGTGGTTCAGCATAAACATTTGAGACGCGATCATTTGGCTGCTTAATTCTAATCACATCTACAGCTTCAGAGTAGAAATCCTCACTTTTTAGGCCATTCGCAGCTAGTTCATCTGTGTTTTCATAATTGACTTCTTGATAAAGCCTGTCACAGCCATTGGGTGTCTTACTGATGCTATATGATGATCCTTGATATTCTGATACGTCCATGTAGTCTTCCTTGGACTGTTTTACTGCTGATCCATTTGATGCTACAACTTGATGATCTACTTTGTGATTTATATTCATTTTATCAAGCTTGATAGTCTCTCGATACTTAGATTTGGCTTGGTAAGGCAGTGAGTCAATCTGTGAATTTTTGTTGGAACTGCCAAGTCTAGACCGAGACCTCCGACACCCAAAATAACAAAACATTAAAAATATCAACAATAAAATTGAAGAAAATAAAATATTTTGCATAATCAAGAAATTTTCCATATTTTCCATTTTCTGAATCATTTTTTGTAGATTGTCATCTTGTGGGGATGTCAAATGGTCAAAATTAATTAAATTTAACTCAGATGAGGTGTCAAAACTGCTGCAGGCCTCCTCAATCTCCTCAATCATTGTTGCTATTTCAATTTTATTTTTTGATGACTTTGAATAACAAATATTTGGCTTTAATTGCAGAGATTCCAAGTTTTTAAGGTTGCTGAATGTGCTACTGTCAATGTTCCTGATCCTGTTCTTACTAAGGACAATGACTTTTAAGTCATCATTAAATCTGAATAAATTCGCGTCCAGCTTCTCAATTTCATTAGCTGTCAAGTCAATAATCAACAAATTAACCAAAGGTTTTAAATTTTCCTGCCTGATTTCCTTAAGTTGTGAATTTAAAATCGATAAAGCATGCATGCTCGTTGCTGTGTCCTCCTCAAAATATGGAAGATATAAAATTTTCTTATTAGCAGCACGAAATCCATTAATTTCCTTCTTTCGTCTCGTTGCTGACGAGTCAAATGTAATTTTTACATGATCATCACTGATTGTTAGTTGACTAGCTACATCGCATAGTGTTAAGTTTGGTACACGTTTGAACGGTCCACTGATTATGTTGCATTTGATGCTTATGATTGTGATTTGTGAGGTGTCGATGGACGTGTTGTAGATTTGGCTTGTTGTTTGGTGGAATATTGACAAGATTGTGAAGCTAAAATAGAAATTTGAGGATTTTGTAAAGTTCATTAGGATTTTTGTGCTGGTTTCTAGGGATATCCGAAGATCCTTAACTTAATTAGGTCAAATTTTATTCATAATCAATTGATTCTAGGTATGACAGCCTTAGAAACCAGCTTTATGAGTATTCTATATTCATTTTCAACTAAATCATTACTCCAGACCAGCATAAGGCTAGCTTGAAGCTAGGTTTACCGTAAAATTTCAGTCTCAAAACTATTTTCCCAACATTTTTTAAGTCAATTGCCACTTAAGGTCAATAAATCAGCAAAATACTTACAACTTAATCATAAAATTCATCTTAATCGACCCTAATTTGTCACATTTATTAAGTTTTAAGTGAGAACTACAAGCTTACAACTGTGAATTATTTTGTATACTTCCGAAAATCATTTGATAACGAGCTTAGCAATTTATTTTTTGTTTACTGTTCTGCTCTCATTTTAATTACGTTTTGATTGTTTGTGAGAGAGTCAGGGGGATGCTGAGTAGAGCTGATTTTTAATTAATTAAATTTTTATGTGAATCTTAATTTTTGCAGGATGAAGAGCTCAGGAGGTTCAGTCATTTAACTGTGTTTAATGCCTCTCCTCCCGTCCTCCGAAAAGCGTTTAAATAACAGATTTTTAGATATCTTTAATGAGCTCAAGTGGCTCGGTGGCGGAATGGTTTAGTACTTCGGTACCTATTTATTGCAATACTGACACAGCGATCATGGGTTCGAGACTGGGCATGAGAATTTTTTTCACTTGTCCTTTTTCGAATCATATGTACTGGAAATGAGGCTCACTGCCTTAATTTGTAGGCTACAGGCAGTAATGTCATCAAAGGATTGGTTCGGATCCACTATAAATTGTAGGTCTAGGTTTGAATGCAATTGTTTGGCGCATCCCAATTCATTAAACTCTTATTTGCTGCGAAACGCCCTAGTGCACCTCTGGATCACTATTGATCTGAATAGGTAAAGGTTTTTTTTAGGTATTTCCAAGCTAAAATAAGTTTCTTGTTGACCCAAGTCCTTTTTCAAAATATCCTTATGAGGCGAGTAGCCGGGAGAGTTTAGCCCGCTGACTCGCTGCGGTTCAAAATGCTTATAGGAGACAAAAACCTAAGGCTACGTGCATACATGGGGTAAGTGAAAACTTAGGCATGTCGTTAACGGATGTAGCCAGGAGCTTTTCAGTTGGAAGATGTCCGTTTAGATCTTTTTGTTTATAAAAAATCTATGGCCGGACTTTTTTTTGTATTTTTTCTCAGAAAACCTAGCAGAATTAAAAACTTTCGGTTTGTCGATAAAATCACCTTCCCCTGGTCAAGCGCTTGAAGTAGTTCAATCCATGTTCCAAAGGTTTTCATTGATCTACTTATAAACATCTAAGCATCATCAACAAACGACCCCTTAAAATCTTCGTAAATTCATCAAAAAAATCATCATGGTCAGCTGAGTGATTCACCAAAAATACATAAAAATGAGTCACAACTTTATTAATCTTAATATGAAAATGATTCTCAAACAAATAAATCAACATGTGATGAGAGAATCATAACAAAAGTAATTGAGTAATTTTTAGAGAGAACTGATAAGGCACAATAAAAATGTAAACATTAAATAAATTGTTTTCATTTAATATAGGAACGATTATGTGAGTCATTTGAGAGTTGTTGCTTTAAACTCATCGAAAAAGTTAAAAAGTAGGTGAAAATCTGAGTCCCCAGATTAGTTCAAATGTAAAAGTCATGGTGCTCAGACTAGGAGTCTAGAGTCAAAGATTCATTTGAACTTTGTTAAATTAATAATAGCTTTTTCCCAAAATTTAAAGCGATGCTAAAGTTTTGTGGTAGTTCAAAGTGACATGCTTAAAGGGGGAGCGGGGAGGGGGGGTCTAAAAGTCTATTGTTTTTGTAGACGTTATTTATGAAATGGCTCTTAGGGCAGGCGCGTAGCCGGGGGGGAATTAGGGGGACAAATCCCCCAACGTAAACAGAAATTTCTTTATTTTAAGGGTTTTATGAAAAAATCACAAAAATTAACTCCCCCCCCCCCCCCCCGATTAAATTTTTTGTCCCCCTCCCTCTTCAAATTCCTAACTACGCCCCTGTCTTAGGGTTTAGTAAAGCAGATCTAAAAAGCTAATATCTAATCATATGTAGCCATGAAAGGATTGGGTCAGAGGCGTAGCCAGGAATTTGAAGAGGGGGGGGGGGGGCGCAAATTGTTTTTTTTTTGTATGGAAAACTTTTAGGGGGGGATTTTTGATTTGTCACCCAAATCCCCCCCCCCCCCCCCCCCCCTTTCTGGCTACGCTTCCAAACGTTGGGTCAAAAATCTAAAAAATTAAAACCAAACCCCCTTCACACTTAAAAATACCCCCACCCCCCCCCCCCTATCCCCATAAATAAGTGACTCAATTCTTCTTAGGAATCGCATAAAGACTAAAATCTTCGCTTTTTCTGTCAGCTTGTTCGGAAATGTCAATGTACAAATCCTCTTCCTCAGTTTTCTTCATTCTGATAACATTATATTCACTACAATTATGCATGGCTTCTGGCGATATTTCCTCATAATTTGATGCTTTTGGCTTCATTGGCATTTCATCATACGTGTCGTTATTAGCTGAGGCATTAGAGTCGGCGGACCTATCAAACCACAGAGCTCCTTGTGTGCCAGTCATTCTTCTGTTCTGATTTGATGACTTAGCTTTTAAAGCTATGACAAAGATTGTGATGAATAAGACAGCAATGATTGATGTTTGGATGACCAAAAATAACTCGATCTTAGTTGAGTCATGGAATGTGGATGAATGTGTGCATTGGTGAGTAACATTTGACATTGTTGATGCTGTTGAGAGTAAAGCTTCATCAAAATAATCTAATATTTCAGCTCGATTGTCTTTAGTGCAATTTTCAACTTGTTTTGGTGCCACAACGATTCTTTTATTACAATTGGACGTTAGGATATCCAACTCTCGACTCATTCTACCTGATTTATCTCTTATGATTAATCCTGTGTAGCATCTAATGCTTCTGAAATCCAGCAACTGGAAATCCACGAGATTATTGAATATTTTTGGTTCAACAAATGTTATTAGATTGCTGGATACGCGAATAGCCTTGATTTTTTTATTAAACTTAAAAGTGTCCTTTTCTAAGCTTTGAATTTTATTACCACTAAGTTCCAGTGTCACTAGCTCGACCAAATGTTCTAAATTCTGTTGAGTCACTTTGCTTAGTTCTGAGGATGTGATTGATAAAAATTTCAAGTTCTTTGCGAGCTGAGGAAATTGTGGCAAATAGTAGATTTTGCCATTTTTAACCCGGAGTCCATTAATTGTTGATATTTTCGGTTTCTGGTCCGAATCTATGAGTCTGAATTCTGCATCTTCATTACAAATCGGGCAAGTTATTTTAGTGTCACAAGCAGTCACGGATTTAGCAATTGGCACGGCAATTGAGGTAATGTTACACGTGCTAATTGATTGGCTGTACACAACATCAGTTGAGGCTCTTATGCTTCCTATTATTGCAGCTATTATTAAGAATAATCTAAAGAAAATCGTATTTATAAGTTGTGCATTAATTAAGGATCAAATTTTTAATACTTACAATTGGAATTGAACTTCCATTTTGATGACAGTAACCAGATAATAAGCAAACTTAAACTTTTATGTCTTTAACAAGCTACAGCAACAGTCAAAGTAAATATTATAAAAATAATGACTAAATCTGAAAAAGTCAGCAATCTTCTTTGCATTATTCATCACTAAATGAACATTATTCATGTTTAAATGACATCTCGTCATATCCTGAATGACATACGACAGAAAAAGTTAGGATTAAGCTGTTTTAAGATTACGGTACAATAGATTCTATCATCGATCAGGATCGCAGTGCCTTCAGTTCATCGCAACATGTAGTAACACACCGCCAGGCTGGAACCCTCTCACATTATTATTAAGCTGTTGTAAGCATGATCAGGTATGATTTCTATAGCTACTCTAGGCACCCAACCCTACTATCAGATTAGTTTTATTTGTGTCTAATATTAAAGTACATTGAATTTCATTCCTTCTCCAGGATGCCACAAGTAGCTTTAGAAACCAGCGCAAGACTAAGTTTAGAAGGCTGGCTGAAGGACCAAACCCTAATTGATGTCAATTTTCTATTAACACCAAAAATCTACCCAAATAGCACAAGTCAGTTGATCGAATAGAGATCCGGTTCCAATCCTGCGTGACTCTGGTATGGAGCTGGACTCAAATTGAATCCAGCATCATGCAAGAGTTATGGCAGGTTATTAATGTAAACAGCTGACTCAGTAACTCTGGCATTGTGTTGGAACAACTCCTTTAAAGAGGCGGTATTGCATTTGATGTAGGAAATTGACAAGCGGTAGTCAGCGATTGAGCCAGTTTTAGGTGGCATCTGAGGGAGGCCATAGACCACAATTGATCTGGACGGCCAGAGAATTAAGTTTGGTGTTGGAGTCAAGCCTATGACAACTTGGTGCCGAATTTCCATTTCATCAACCCACTTGTGATATTTGGGCCAGTGGATTAGTGTTCGACAATTAGAGTTGGATATCCTAGATAAACTTCATAGCCATCTTATTGCCATTATTTATTCATTCTTATTCTTTGACGAAATATTTATTAGTAAATCAACTTTTTAAGCATTACAAAGATTAGTAAAAACAGAATTTCTTGATGAACATCCAGAACCAGGAGCTCCAACAACATAAACAGGTGAATTAAGGAAGTTTGGCCATGAATAATTGCAAGCAACTAAAGTTCGTCTCCATGGAGTTTCTGTGAATCTAGAAACGGCACATCCGATACGAATTGCACGATCTTGAACGAGTTGAAGGAAATGACCGATGTTATTGAAATTGGCACCGCCACAGCAGCTGGTGATGTCATTTGGAGATGCGAGAGTATGTTCATTAAACCATCGATTGACAGCATCAATGAGTTGAGTTGAGACTGGTTGGAAGGCACCGCTTGTGCCGTGCATGAATAAGTTTTGGCCAGCATTTGGGAATTGAGCTGTAGCTCGACATGAATCGTGTCTCATTGCACATTGCTTGACATTAAGTTCAGCTAGGAAAGCTAGTTCATGGTCCCATGTCTAAAATAATCAGTTTTTGGATATAAACTTTTATTTTTTGTATCTTTTGTAGGACTTACCAATGCATTCATAGCCCGTGCTGGTGAAAATGGAGAAACTAAGCCACCGGCAATATTATTACGATGTCCATTGTGCGTATCCAATAACAAATTAATTTCGCTAGAACCGAGTGGTGTAATTACGGCATCAGCTGGGCAGGTTGCAGCAAATGTTCCAGGATGATTGCATGCGATATGATTGGCACATAATGAGCAATAGTCAGATTGAGCACTTACAAGTGTGAAGGCAAGCACCAGAATTAAAATTGATTTCTTCATTTTGAGTTGATTTTCTCGAATGTTTTTTGATTTTGCTGTTTTCACTTATTTATAGACAGTGTGGCTCAATTAATGTATTTCGTGATAAGAGTTTTGTTGAAGGAAGTCAACAAGATGTTTGGTAGTCGAGATAGTGTTTATCTAGACAAGAAAGGGTTGATAACTTAAGATGTATATTAGACGTTCTTGGTTTTTCTTGGTTCTTGGTTCTTGGTTCTTGGCTTTGTTTTTGGTTCTTGGTTCTTGGTTCTTGGTTCTTGGTTCTTGGTTCTTGGTTCTTCTTGGTTTTTGGTTCTTCGATCTTGGTTCATGCTTCTTGGATCATGGTTCTTGGTTGTTGGATCTTGGTTCTTGTATCTTGGTTCTTGGTTCTTGGATCTTCTTGGTTTTTGGTTCTTGGTTCTCGGTTCTTGGTTCTTGGATCTTGGTTCTTGGATCTTGGTTCTTGGATCTTGGATCTCGGTTCTCGGTTCACGGTTCACGGTTCACGGTTCACGGTTCACGGTTCACGGTTCTTGGTTCTTGGTTATTGGTTCTTGGTTGTTGGATCTTGGTTCTTGGTTCTTGGATCTTGGTTCTTGGATCTTGGATCTCGGTTCTCGGTTTTCGGTTCACGGTTCACGGTTCTTGGTTCTTGATTCTTGGTTCTTGGTTCTTGGTTCTTAGTTCTTGGTTCTACGGTTCTTTGGTTCATTGGTTTTTGGTTCTTGGTCTTGATATTGGGTTCTTGGTTCTTGGTAAAACCAACAGTTACCTTCCCCTTGTCATACATATGGTCACCAGAAGTGAGTCTAATATTACATACATAGCAGATAACTTACTTTGCTTCAAAAAAAATTGTTTACGTTTATTAATTAACATTTGAAATTTAATAAGAATAATTTGTGTGGTTTTCAAAAGTCATCATTTTACTAACATGACAAAAAACTATAGGGGTCATATATAAATGACGTCAAACATTTACAAAAGATAAGTTCTAGATTTTTTTGACGGTTCAAACAAAAGAATTATTTCATTACTCAGGTTTTGCAAGAAAGCGGCAAGTTGCATTAATTCTGAAATTGATGTTTTTTCAAATGTCAATAACCTTTAAATGATATATTTATGAATCAAGTATTGAAGACTTCTAATTCTTCTGAACAGTTGCGTATATGTCATTTACAGGTTCTTGTGGTACATTGATGTAGGTTTCAGCATATATGTCTTCAGAATTATCTTGAGTTTGATCAACTTCAATAGAATCTGTTAAAACATTTTGCTGATTTTGGTCAAAATCGTATTGATTTGCATAAGTTTGATTAGATTCTTCATTTTCACAAATGTTAGGAATTAATTCATCCACAGTTTGGCTATAAAAATCGTCTGAACCGTTGTATAGTTGATCTTGTAGCTCACCATTCATCAGATCATCTGAAAACTTTGCAGCATCAATCATAATCTCTTCATAGAAATCATCATGATTAAAGTTACTTTTTAAAATCTCATCCGCGATTTCATCGTCCAAAGGATTTTGATAAGTTTCATCTATCGATCTTTGATATTCCAGAATATCTTCGTAAATATCTGATGTTCTTTGAGGAATTTCAATTATATTGTGATCTGGGTTGATGCTTGTTAGTACTGCATGGCTGTTCTTGGTTCTCTTACTTAATTCTTCTGAATTTCCGTTGCTTGACTGACTTTCAGTGTTTTTTGGAGCAGATGAATTATGGCGAACAGCACAGGCAATTGTAACAATAAGTGTCAATAGAATTGCAGATAAAATTGCAATTTTATAAGAATGTGAAGTTGAATCAATCTGAAATGGTTCACTGGTGGATGTGCTGATGTTCAAGTTATTGATATTTTGTTCAGTACTTGTTGTATGTCTTGAATATTCTTTGGTTGTTGATCTCCTTTTCTTACTTGTTGTAGTTTTGGGCTTTTCATTTGATGCTTTGCAGACAGTTTGTAGCATTATTAATAACCTTTTAACGTTGTCCCTAGTTTTTGCATTTGCGCCTTTAGTAAAGCAATCATTTTTATGAAGGTACAAACCATTCAAGTGCTGAAGATCATCAAAAGTTCCTGGTTCAATAAATTTGATTTTATTGTTTGTCAAATTAATGAACGTTAATTTTTTATTGCACTCAAATGGCTGGTTTTTTAATTCCTGAATGTTATTGCTGTTAAGATCCAATGATTCCAAATCTATCAACAATTTTAGACAATTTTGAGTTATTTCTTTCAACTTTGAATCCTCAACTGTAAGAATTCTTAAATTCAAAGCTGTTGTGTCATCAAATTGTGGCAACCAAAGAACTGACTTTTTTCGAACTAGAAATCCATCAATCTGTGTATGACCTGAATGAACCAAATTGACACTTTCGTAGGGATTCGTAATATTTAGAGAGCTGGTAACATGGCAAACAGTGACATCATCAACCTTATCAAGATTAATTTTCGTTACATTGCATAACACATCTAATGGCTTCCAATCTACAGCATTTAAAGCTACATCACTAAAAGTATGTCCCTTAACTGCATAAATCAAGACAATAATTCTGTAATAATTTTTAAGATCTTTATTATTTTCAATTAAAACTCTTACAAAGAAAATATAAACTTACAATATTATTTTTAAATACATTATTTTGATCAAAAGTAGCCTTCGTTCTGGATGCAGGCTAGTCAGGCAATTAAGTGTGAATATGTAGATAATCAACAAATGACTAAGTTCAAGAAAAAAGTGATTCAAATATTTTTTTATTTCAGATTTTAAGAGTTTAGGCAACCAAACTGGTATTCAGAAAGTGGGGGGGGGGGGTTGTGAGGGGGTTTAGCTTTGTGAAATCAAATTTGCACCTGAAAAGAATTTTCGAACTGTTTCGAACAAAAAATCGTTGCACCTAGATTTGACCTCCCACCCATCCCCTTTCTACACCACTGACTTTACACTTATCTTAAAGTAAATATACAGCACCAATCGTTTGATATCCTTGCCTTCATTTAAAGCTTTACACGAATCATAGATGATTATTAGTAATTTCCTTACTTTTTCCTTATTTTTGGCATTTCCACCACTCGATATGCACTTATTATTGCGGAAGTACAAACGATTCAAGTTCTCAAGACTGTCAAAGGTTCCGACTTCTACGAATTTAATTTTGTTCCTTAAAAAATTTATAAAAGTCAATTTTTTGTTGAACTCAAATGGCTTATTTTTCAATTCTTCAATGTCATTGCTGTTTAGATCCAAAGACTCCAAATTAGTCATCATTTTTAAACAATTTTGTGTTAATCCTTTCAAATGTGATCGCTCAACAACAAGAACTCGTAAGTTTGAAGCTACTGAATCATCAAATTGTGGCAACCAATGAACTTCCTTATTGTGAATGACAACGCCATCAATTTTTGTATTTCCTGAATTTACTAAGTTGACACTTTCGTTGGGATTCGTAATATTTAAAGAGCTTGTAACATGGCAGACATTGACATTGTCGACATAATCAAGGTTAATTTTTGTTATGTTGCATGTCACATCCAATGGGCTGGTGTTAATTGTAACTGATTGTACGATTGCAATCAATGTCAGCATAAAAAGAAGCCTGAAACAACAGCAATGGTAATGAAAATTGCTAAAAACTACGCCCCTCTCCCCCCCCCCCCCCCCCCCTTCCCCCTCCCCCGACCCCTCAACACTGTGAACCAGAAACACTGTAACTAATAACAAAACTTTAAAAACTCACATAAAAATGTTCATCCTTATCAACTCAATGTGTACTGACCAAATATTATTCTATAGAAAAACTTTGACTAAGTGACTCGCTTGAATCTATTTTTAAAATGATTAAATAATTTTTTATTTTGTAGAGCAGATTAAATTGATGATGATGATGGGTTCCTATTGCTCCACTATGAAATGTCCATAAAGCATTTGAATCGCACTCGATTCTCGGCCAAAGCTGCTATTTCCTGCAGCTTCTTGTTCTGTTGTTCCGCCTCCCGTTCAACAGTTGTACGCCAAGTAATTCTCCGTTGGCCCCTAGTCCTATTTCCTTGGACATTCCAGAAAATCGCTTGTCTCGCGATGTCTGTATGGTCTTTCCTTAATGTATGACGTGTCATTTTCATGCAATAAATGTTGATGCGAAATTGGTCATTTACAGGCTTTGCTGGAGGTTAGTGTTTGCTGAAAAAGTTCCAATAATTTTATTTTTCCCCTTAAGTAAAGTTCCTCCTCGATTTTTGTCCGATTTTCGGTCAAAAAGCAGGACATGCCTCGATTTCAGCTCATAAAAACTCGGGACAGACCAAATTTTCAAGGAAAAGAAGTTCAAAAAAGTGGGACATGAAGGATTTTGGACGGGACTTTGTTCAAGAAAGCACGACTGTACCGTTCAAAAGTGTGCAGTTGTTTAGCTTATCCTTAAGTCTCAGCTTCCTTTGGCTTCACAATCACTCTCTGAATTTTCAGTTTCTTTAATCGTTTAACTTTCTTGTGCTGATGAATGATGTAGTAAAGAGCTCTTTGATAAGGCCAGTTTTTTGCTGTTCTCCTCTTTCGAGCCATATGATTGACTTTGTTCCTCAATCCTCTTCCAAGACAAGCAAACTGTAAATTTTTTAAGGATTCTTGAAAGAATATTTCAAAGAGCAGCACAACTGTGGCTGCAGTACATCCAATAAGAAGGATGTAAAACACTTGAATAAGATCATGTAGCTTTAAAATGTCAGGTTCTACTGACATCTGCTGAACTGTCTTTCCAGTAAAATCATGTTCTGGATAAACCTTCCAAATATGAGGCAATCCAGCTTGAAATGACAAGTCCATAAAGTATTGAAGTCTGTCAATGAATGGATTAAGAAAACTAGCTTCAAGTCTCACGTAGCTCTTGATAATCTTTTCAGGCAGCAAATAATAGAAGCTTGAGACAGTCTTGCCTTTTGAAATTCTCCGACTCAAGTCATATTCAGCATCGTCGCATTTCATTACAATTACAAAATGTTGTCGTTTAATTTCAGTTCCAAAATTATGATGTGGCATCGCTTTAATCATCCTTGCCTTTATTGTAATAAATTCTTGAGAATCTTTGACAGCATTTAGGAAGGCTTCGTCAGTCAAAATTTCATAGTCGCTTGCTAATATTTGATCGAACCCTTCTAGTCGATTCTCTTCAAATGGCTGAATCATAAATGATGTCACGATACTCTCGTATGCTGTGCTTAGCATAAAAATCATCAAAATGATCAAATTAAACAGAATCTTCAGAATTACTCGATTGTCATTTGAGAAATTAATGCCTTGTCCAATAAAAGTTACAATGACTCCAAATCCAACAAGCCAGTGTGAGTCAACAGCACCTCGAGTGTTAAAAAGCTTCCAAACACAAACAAAACTGACAATGGAGATGACTAGAAGCAACCATGTTTGAGTTTCGAATGGTTTTAAGAAAAATATTTGAGATTTTTCATATGCTTGATTTATTGGAACTAATGCACAGTAAGCTTGTTCCTCATATGTCAATAGTTTTGAATGATGTGAATGGGGAAAGGAAAAAGCTGTATTTAAGGTCAAATCCATATCTCTTTGGTTCCAAATAGTCAAAATTCTATTAGGATTTTTCAGCACATTAACTTGAAAACCTGCATCTTGATGCTCAGCAAATAATCTTAAAAAGGACATCATTGGAGTAATGACCTCACCTTGCTTGACTATAACTTTCGGCGGCTGTGAGTACAAAACTATTCTGTACTGATATTTATTGAGATTTTTAAGCTTATCAGGAAACAGACTAAGACCATTTTTTACATTTCTGAGTGCAAACATGTTGGTATTGACTGACTTTAAATGAATTGCTTCGATGCCACCGGAATATTCGGAAATGATGGCAACATCCAAAAATCCATAAAATGAAAAGTGTCTTAAGATGCTCAACTGAAAGGAGTAACTCATTTTTCCAGCATAAATGCATAGAATTTTAGCCATGTGATGCCAAATCTTCGAAAACTCGTTAACTTCTATGGCTGTAATTAATGTGTCCTACAAATAAGAAATTAACTGTTATAGATATAAATTGTGCAGCCAGAACCTCTGCCTTGAGCTCTAACAGCAATAATTATCAAGAGAGGCAGTTAAGGTCGTGAGGAGGGAAGCTATGTCATTGTATTAATTACTAGATTAAAACCAGTGTTTCTCAAACTTTCTGAGCCACAGCACACCTTAGGGGTGAGCCATGATCAAAGTCGTAATCAGCATGGATCTCTAGTTATTTTTAAAAAAATTTATCTGGTCCACCAGTGTGCCGCGGCACACAGTTTGAACAACACTGTTTTAAAAAATAATTGCTACTTACAATCCTGAACTCATACAGCTCAAAAATCATTATTGAAGCTTTCTTCAAACCTTTATCAGTCATCGGTGACTTCAAGTCAGTAACAACAACTGAATATTCATGACCAATGCAACTGATAACATCGTTAAGCACGGTTGATTTACTTTTACCTCCCAAATATCCAATAAGCACGTCTTGAGTATGATTTTGAGAAATTAGGACATCCATAGCCACTTTGCATACGAAGTTCGATAAGCTGTTGAGTTGAGGATTGATTGCGATGGATGTGCTGAATATTAAAGCTAAGTAAACTGCAATTTTCATTTTTATTGAGCTAAATTCTACAAAACTGCTTTGTCAAATGAATTTAAAGTGAAATGAAAAATTCCTTTGTAATATTTTAAAATTCAATTTTCTAAATGGATAGACATTAATCAAGTTTATTGCATCTATATCCATTACTTAAATGAGTTCCACTAGTCATAATATGATTTTTAACTTTGACAATAATAATAAAGTAAAGTTTTAAAAGATTTATAATTTTGGACAATATTCAACAAGATCTCTTAAGGTACACATGTTTCTGCAGCATCGATCCAAAAGTGTTGCGCCTCTACTTATGGAATAAACGTTTGCTGAAAGTCGGAATTTATTGAGAAAAAATTAATAGGCGATTAGATTGAGTTGGCTGTGGTCTGGTTTCTATCCGGGATCGGTTAATCGATGAGAAATTCGATGCTCAGCTGGCATGGCTCTGGTATGGAGCTGGATTCAATTTAAATTGAGCTCTACCAGAAGCCATGCCGACTTATGCTTTTTGGATCTAATTTTCCAGAGCTAAGCAAATCAAACTTCTATTTTAAACTATAACCTAACTTTAGAGCACTAATTGAACACAACTACAGCCACTCGTCATTAAACTATGATTATCTAAACTTACTGATTTCTGGCAATGGACTTTCGTTTATAATTCTGATCATTTCATCTGGTGAGCATGACATCTTCATAATACGATTAAGTCTAACACCACAATAATGCTGTGGCACATCCTTTTGATCATCAATTTCTTTTGCAACAGCAAAAACAGCACAGAATGCGATTAAAACAAAAAGTAAGCACCACTTCATGATTTTAATTTTTTTATAGAAGTGAACAATTTTAGGTCTTAGTACGTTGAAATGAGAGACTTTAATGATTATGCTGCAATCATTTCATTTATTTATAACTAAATGCACAATGAGGAAAAGTGAAGCTGATTAGGTCAACGGTCAATCATGTGGAATATTATTGAAAAACAAAAACAACAAGGGGTCGTTCACTTATGTCATGATACAAAAAAACATGATTTGTAGACCCCCTCACCCCCCGCCCCCTCTTTGTCTATGACAAAACTTTTATAAACTGTCACAAAATTCTAGACTCCCGGTCATAAGTGAACGACCCCCAAGATTGAGCTTTATTTATAATTCAGTTATTATTAGAAATTCTGTTGACATTCTCATCAAATGTTCCACGGGTGTGTAGCAAGCAGGGATGAGTCAGGCATTGGCAATCTTTTTTCTAATAGATGAATACTGTAGATGTTTTTAGGCTTGACCAAATCTTGCTTTTTTCAACTGTCCTTACTTACTTTACTTCAATTCTGATCCATGGCCTCCTTTAGATGACGCCTGAAGCTTGATCTATCGCTGGCTACAGCTTGCCAATTACCAATACCAAGTGTACTAGTGTCTCTGTCAACAGCTTCTCTCCAAGAGTTCTTGGGACGTCCACATACTCTTTTATGACTGTACGATAGCTAAACCGGGTATGATACACAGATCGACAGACCGACTCAAATGAAACCCAAAAACATTTAATTCCGATTGAACATAAAGTCGTTAAACTCTCAATTTTTCTATGCTGTAATCGATTGATCTTTGATCTTCTATGAATGCTCAACCTAAATATTCTATTTTTAAAATTCAGGTCTTATCTTTCTAAATGACATTTGATGCAATCGACTTTTAAGTTTTTAAAACTTTTAAAAATTCAAAACTCATTTCTGATGAGCAGCACTAATAAAGATACTCAATAGCTAATTAATAGGATGTAAAACACCAATGCAAGGTCATGAAACTCTAACAATATTGCATCTTCATAAAAAGTGCACCTTGACCAATAATTCCAATGTTGCATTGGCCAAAGGCTAATGTGAGTCCACAGCATCTTAAATAAATGCACAAGCTATAGCTATGAATACCAGCAAATTCCAAGTAAGATCATCGTTGGAAGTTAAACTAAGAATTCGAGAATCTTTATTTCTTTTATATAAATTGATAGATGCAAAATTATTGCATGTTTAATATGAATGTGAAGCTATAATTGTTTAAAAGTAGAAACCAACAATTTCAGTTGGGTTAGATTAGAGCTGGTTTGAGTTAGGTTAGGATTAGGTTAAGGTTAGGTTAGGGTGAGGTTTGGGTTAGGTTAGGGTTAGGTTAAGGTCAGGTTTGGGTTAGGTTAGGTTAAGATTAAGGTTAGGTTAGGGTTAGGTTAGAATTGGGTTGGCGTGAGGTTCCGAAAAATTTAAAACCCTCTTAACAACTTCTAGCTTCTCTTCTTTTCAATACATCAATCTAAATACCTCAATCAGCAATTGATAATCAACAAATAATACATTTTACAACTCTTTTAAATCAAAACTTCACTCAGATATCCTTTGACTGATAAGGTTCCGCATATTCACTGGCATTTTGCTCTTCAGCTTCTTTAGTCGTTCGATAGAAAGGTTCAGCATAGTCGTCATTCTCATTCGATGCTTCCGACTGTTGTAGAAATGGATTTGTGTTTTCTATTGGTGATGTTGGCCCAGAATTTTCCATATTTGAGAACTTTTTAGCTAAGTCCTTAACATTCGGTGACTTTGGGTCTATTGAATTGATGTTTTGAGGCTTAAGAGATGAATCAGTTGGACCTAAAAAAGAAATTGAAGTGTGTGTTGAACTAGGTTGAGTCTAGGTTGAGTCTAGATTGAGTCTTGATTGAGTCTTGATTGAGTCAAGGTTGAGTCAAGGTTGAGTCTAGATTGAGTCTAGGTTTCGTCTAGGTTGAGTCTGGGATGAGTCTAGATTGAGACTAGTTTGAGTCTAGGTTGAGTCTTGGTTGAGTCTGGGTTGAGTCTGGATTGGGTCTAGATTGAGTCTAGATTGAGTCTAGATTGAGTCTTGATTGAGTCAAGGTTGAGTCAAGGTTGAGTCAAGGTTGAGTCAAGATTGAGTCTTGGATGAGTCAAGGTTGAGTCAAGATTGAGTCTTGGTTGAGTCTAGATTGAGTCTAGGTTGAGTCTAGGTTGAATCTAGGTTTCTAGGATTCTAGATTGAGTCTAGGTAGGGTTACCATCTAGTTTTCATGAAAATACAGGACATTTGGTAAATTTTTTCGAAAAAAACAGGACATAGAGTAAAATTCGAAAATTAACGGAAATTTTCATGAAAAAAATACAGGACCAGGAACAAAATTTAAAAATTTATACAGGACAGGGTTTTGAAATACAGGACTGTCCGTTGTAAAACTACGCAGATGGTCACCCTAGTCTAGGCTAAGTAAAGGTTGAGTCTAGATTGAGTCTAAGTTGACCCAATAAAATCCATTTGATTGTCACTCACCTGCAGTCTTCTGACCAACATCAGCATAAGTCAGCGAACGAAAACCAAAATGATTCACTGCCTTTTCACCACCAACTGATGAGTTCATTAATTTTTGAGCCACATCAGCAAACACCGGTGACGTTTGTTCAAAATGTGTAATCTTCTCATCAATGTTTGCCAGATTCAATGCTTTTGGATTCATGCTTTGTGGGATTTTTGTTTTGTAAGATGATTTTTGGGATTTTTGGTCTGTGATTGATGAGTTGGAATATTGCCTTGTTAGGGTTTTGGTGTCAGAAACAGTTGAACTATGATCTGAGCTTGATGAAGCTTGAGTAGAGTTTGAAGCGTTTTGATCTAGATTCAGGATTGGTCTTGATGGCATGTCATAAAATCGTGTTATTAAAGAGTTCTGTTCAGAATTGATCAAATTTGATGACTCTTGAACTGGAGTTGATGTAATTGAAGTTGAAGCTTGTGACGTCATATCAGAACTAGGTAGAGTTGATGATACATGCTCTGAATTTGATAGATTTTGTGTAGCATTTTGCTCAGACTTAATTAAATATTTTGATTTTTGAGCAAGATTTGATTGATTTTGAGGAATTTCAGTGACATTACCCCGATAAAGTGATTCATGCTCATACATTGCGTTGGTAGATTCGCTACCCAGCTTGTGACTTTGCTGATTTTGGAGATTTCTTTCAGGAACCTCTAAGGTCAAGTTTTCATCAGATTTGTCCTCAAATAACTTAGATTTTTCCCAAATAATCCCATTTTCTAAAGTTTTGGTTTCCAATTTAATCGATTCCTGATCCAAATGAGTCAGAGTCTCCTCAACACTGGCATAGTTTGTAGAATTAGGTGTAATATTCCTAATCCCAATAACCTTAACCTTCTCATCCTCAACAGCAGCTGATTCAACATAAACACTGTCATAAATTGCTGATGTTTCTATGTTATTTATTGACTCAGAGAATGTCTCATTAATCTGTATACATGATGCATAGTTGATGCTTGATGTTTCCTCGATAATTATTTCAGTGTCGTTGTTGCGTGTCCAGATTTTCTCGTAGATTGCTAAGAACCCTTTATGAATTTCCGTACGAAGAAGGTAAAGGATGAAGATGAGAGCAGCAAGGAGGATGATTGCTAGGATTATTGAGGTTAGGATTTTAATAGTTTTGATGTCGTTGTGGAGTTGATCGTAGTTATCTTTAAGTGCCCCTAAACCTTCGATTCTAATAAAATCATTACTAAAGTAATCTTCAGAAAAGCTCAAACATTTTTGCTTAACTTCCTTGATTGTGGCACTTATGGCTACTTCAGCCTGTGCTGTTCCAGAGTAACAAGTCACATTTTGCAGTCCTAAATACTGTAGAGTCTTGAATGCATTCGTCCCGATAGCTTTAATGTTGTTCTGATCAAAAATCGCAACTTTAATTGCTGAACTAAATTGAAATAAGTTTCCAGGTATGTACTCAATCTCGTTCATGCTAACGTCTAAATATTCTAATGATCTCATGCCCAACAGTGACAATGATGAGATTTTCTGCAATTTTGAATTCACCACACCCAAAACTCTAAAGTTTGTCATCATAGTTCCATAAAAATGAGGCAAGTATAGAACTTCCTGGTTTTCAATCAGCACTCCTTGTGCTGTGGTGTCATTTTGATCAGGAAATACTGCAACTTCATTCTCAGAATTGATTTTTACTTTATTAATAACATTGCAAATTGTGACGTTTCCAATGACTTTAAAGTTTTTCGAAGCAATCGAGCATTTGAGTTCGGTGGTTTGAACATTTGCTGCATTTAAAAGCGACATTAACAAAAGTACTGAATTCAGCCTGCAATTAATTAGTAATTTTGAATTAGCAATGCATTTTCTAAGGGAATTCTTAATTTCTTGGATTTTGGCCTTATTTCGGGTAGACTCAGTAGGTCTCCTGACTCTATTAAGAAAATTGCCAACTAGGTCTAGACTTTGTCATATGAACAATAAGTTACGGCAGTGGTGCTTAACCTTTTTATGAGCGACGGCCCATTTTTGGTAATCCATGACCAAAACCGCACACAGCAAACGGCTTATGGGATTCCTAAATTTTTTCACGCCACACTAATGTGCCGCAGCACACGAGTTGACCATCACTGAGTTCGGGTATAGTTTTGGCTATCACATAGCCTTGACAAAGTTTATCTTAGACATGCTCAATACTTTATCCCTTAAATGCCTAATTTGACTGTGAGAAATACCCAAAAACAACAAGATCAATACTTACGGGACCATTTCTCTATAAGACCTAATTCACAGCAATTAAAACAAGTAAATACTTTCGAGATCAAATTATGCTTAAATGCTACAACTGAGTGTAACAAATTTTTATCTCAAAGTCGTCAGCTGGCTGTAAACACTCATCCATTTCTCTTAGTTCATCACATTCGTTCTCTTTGCATTCATGTTCACCAACATGCCTACAATATTAGTCAACGGAAATCGTGTTATCTGTAAAAAAAATAATAATAACATTCTCAATTGATTCATAAGTTCTGTGCTAGTCAGTTGACTTTTAATTGTTCTTGAAACACGAAATTGAAGCTGAAATTGACACAATTGGTTTCACGGTACCTTTACCGATCTGAGGAGCAAGCTGGGAAACTCTTTTATGGTTTTAAATTATTTCATTCCTTTTGGTGGGTTTTCTATCACAGGGAGTCTTAGAAACCAGCCTCTAAAGCAGTGTTGTCCAAACTTTGTTCCGCGGCACACTTGTGTGCAGTAGAATTTTTTTGAAAATGCAACGCACCACACGCCTTGTGCGATTTTGGAAATGGACTAGTATCAAGGTGTGCCGTGGCTCAGAATGTTTGAACAGCACTGCTCTTAAGTATGGACTAAGCAATATGAAACTATGGTTGATGTAGGTGCTTATTAAAACATTATTGTTTCATTGTAAAACTGAAGCATTTTATTAAAAATAATTTTTTTTTCATAAATTATAGCCAAAAAGAAAACAGAAACCAGATGTATTTTTGCGACCTGTTTTCGGTTAAATGTTTGCCAAAAAAACAGCTGTTTTGCTATAATCTATTAACTGGTTCCAAAAACCCTAATGCCATCTATATCTTCAGTAACCTTCCTTTTCTCATTGACATTTTCCACTGGATACGGTAAATATGGCATTGGTGAGGGGGTTCTAGAGTTTGCAGCTGGATAAGGCGCTTGTGTTTGATTCAATGTTGGATATGGTGGTGGACTAGGTGCACTCATTGGTGGATATGGTGGTATAGAGCTTGCTGGTGGGTATCTAAACATTATCAAAGGATAATTAATGATTTATTATTTATAATTTTAGGTGCACGAAGATAACTGTACAGAATGGATTTCACACCCACCTCCCCCCCCCCCCCCCCCCCCCTCAGTTCACTTTAGAGCAGTGATGTCCAAACTTTTTTGAGCCACGGCACACTTTAGGGGGAAGCCATGATCAAATTCGCGTCATTTTCAAAAAATCTACTCCTCACCAGTGTGCCGTGGCACACAGTTTAGACAACACTGCTTTTGAGTACGTCCCTAATCTTAGTAATACTCACATTCCACCACTTTGTCCCGGAACTGCCCAACCAACTTCTGAGCTCGAAAAATCGACAGTTTTTGATGACTTCTGAGTCGTTTCCTCAGTTTTGTCATCATTATCATCTTCACATAAAGCTATACACACTATTATACATCCAATACAACAACAAAAAAATATAATTAATGAAACTGTAACACCGAGAATTATCCAAAAAAGATCAGTTCCGTCCAACATTTTCTTTGTGTAATTTTAGTAAGTTTTATTCGATTTACTAAACTTAATGAATCTAAAAATTACTTCCAAAATTGACTAGATTCGACTTGAACAAGATAAAACAAAAATCTAAGAAAAAGTGAATTTTCCTCTCATGCCGACTTGAATCTTCTCAAAAAAATCTATTTATAGACTTAAGAAAAATACGCGCGAATTGTAGATTGTCAATTTTTTGTGTGTTCAGATGAGAAATTGTTGTACAGTCAATAAAGCAGTGGTTGACAACCTGTGTGTCATGAACCAAACTCTGCTTAAAATTGAAAATCAAGGATAAATCAAGCTAAGAATGTCAAATTGGTTATTTATGGCAGGATCACGGCTTCATTGTAGCTTGGTGGACAGTCCACAATGTTGTCTTTAGCTTGTTGAGTGCTTTGGCTTTGAGCAGTGCTTGTGACTTGGGTCTGGTTAATATTTTCAAGACTTTTCTGTCTGCTTTGATTTGATCTTGTCAATTGATGTATTCGAGGATGTATTCTAGTTCCGGCATATGGATCTGATGATGTGCGTTCTCTAGAATGATGCTGAGGAGCTGTGTGGTTGATGCTGTGTTGAGGTGCTGAGGAATGATGCAATGCTGATGATGCTGGTTGTTGATGTCTTAATAAATAGATGATGCTTAATTACAGCATAAGTTAGGTTCTTGTACTTACAATCGTTGCTGAATTAACTCAATTACTGTCTCATTTTGTGTGAGTGCTGAATGAGCTGATCCAGTTCCAACCACATTTGCAGAATACAGCGGACGACGTTTTTTCTCTTTGACGCAAGTAACACCACAGCAATAGTAACAAATGAGCAGTGTAGTTATAGCGACCGAAAACAGCACAATTACTATTGCAACAAACTCTTCGATCGTCATTGTTGGAAAACTTAAAACAAACTAAGCACAAAAAAAATATTTAAGTTTTCAAAAAAATTCAATAAAAACACGTTTTTTTGGGGAATCAATTGAGAGGAAATTTATTGGAAAAACATTTTCTCTCTTAAAATTTTCGGCTTTACTTACGATTTTCACCACATGGTTTATTTTAATGTTTTTTTTTTAAATCAGTGGTGTCCAACCTTTTTTGTATCATGGCCCACTTTAATAGTAAGCCATGATTGAAAGCGCAAACGACATACGATTCGTCATGTGCCACACCAGGTGCCGCGGCACATAGTTTGACCAACACTGTTTAAATGATTTTCTGTATTTAAATTTCCAGAAAAAGGAAAAAAAGTCGATAAAAAATTTTTAATAACGATTTTCATTCTCATCAAGCTTTATCCCTGCAAGATGCCATTATGTTCTCCATCCAATACTCTCCAATGAAGCTGAAGGTTGTTGAATAAATCCAATTACACTCGGATTAGGATTCATATGAAAGGGTTGTGGTGAGTTTTGTACTTGATATGGATAAAAAGGAGGTCCACTGACTGGAATTTGGTTGACATTTTGGAGACTAAGAGGCCTTGGTGTCCACTGATGTACGTGTGGCTGATTTTGCAATCTGGCGTATGAATCAGATGATGTGCGTTCACGGAACATGTCTTGCATGACTGATGGATTGTATCTTGGATAAGGGATGAATTGTGGTGATGGAATTGGAGTTTGTGGTGGTGCTGTTGGTATATTTTGATGGCTAGAAGTGAAATTAGTGTAAGTTTTAGAATTTGCTTGAACCAGTCGACTTATCTAAGCTTGCAACATTAAGCTAAAGTCTTGCGAAGAGGAAAACAACACGATCAGAAAGAGTTTTGATGTTCTCCATCTTGTTTTCCTCTTGTGTCTAGTTCCTGTATAATTTTGTAAGTCATACTCACAATCTAGCTTGATTTAACGAACTTGATTCTGGTACAGGACTCGACAATTGGTTTCCTATTGGTCGAACATCTGATGAATATGTAGAAGCTGTTGCATAAGCAGCTGTGTGGTACATTGGACGGTGTTTTCTCCTAAATATGTGCTTAATTCCTACACAACATGCACAAATACAGAATATAATCCCGACAAATATTAAAGTGCAAATGAATCCAGCCAATCCTTTACTTATGTCTAGGGTGACCATCTAATTTTTATGAAAATACAGGACATTTGATAAATTTCCTAAAAAATACAGGACACAGAGGAAAATTTAAAAATTTTGGCTTTTGAAATACAGGACTGTCCGTTGTAAAACTACGCAAATGGTCACCCTACTTATGTCACTCATATTTGAAGGTTTTAATTAATGAACTTTAAAAGGTTTTTAAAAATATTAAAAGAATTTTAATTCACAAATATGCAAAATATTTAAAAATGAGCAAAAATGGAAAATCACATTTTTTTAAAAACTAAGCCGGTGATTAAAATTAAGAAAGAGAAAAAAACGAATTTTCTAATAAAATGAGAAAATGGGTCGTTCGCTTATGACGTTCAATGTATTGGCTGGGCAGTGTTGACACCTAGCACTTGACTTTAAAAAGGTGGACTTAATTGTAGACAATTTGAAATCTAAGGCACAAGCCTGTTTTCGTCTTTATAAAGACATGACTTTGCTAGATAAAAGGCAAAATCTACGCAAAGGCAACTTTGTATCAGCACTGGTATTGGGGGGGAGGGGGGAAGGGAAAAAAGGGAGAATGGGTGAAAGAAGGAAAGGGGAAAAGGGTGAAAGGGGGACAGGGGGAAAGGGGGAAAGGGAAAAATGGGGAAAGGGGGAAAGGATGAAAGAGGGAAATGAAGAAAGGGTGAAAGGGGGAAATGAAGAAAGGGGGAAAGGGGGAAAGGGGGAAAGGGTGAAAGGATGAAAGAGTGAAAGGGGGAAAGGGGGAACGGGGAAGGGACAGCGAGGAGGTCTTATATTTTATCTAATATATCTAATATTTTGTCAAAATATTTCAAAAATTTTTTTTATTCATTTAAAAATATTGAAAGAAAATTAAAATCGTGATTTTTGCCGGACGTCATAATTGAACGACCCCAAAGAATGTTTATTATTGTTTTTTTTTCTCAAAAATTTGACTTGTCAGTAATTTCATAATAGTGTGTTCTTTCACAATCGTCTTTACTTAAATACATTGATCTTTTGCTATACCAGTACAGGATCTCAGTGGTCCAGACAACCTCTCAGCCTTTAACATTTTAAAAATGAATTCACTTTTTAAGCCTGAAATTCTTCATAGCTTGGGGGCTTCCCCGTGTGACTTCCATTTTTACTTAAGCTTGACTGAGGTTGTTTTAAGTTAGACGCTGGAAATGGTACGGGATAAGGCACAATTCCTTTTAGTTGAGATAAATTTTGGAAGTTATCTGAGTGTGATGATGAATAAGTCAAACATTGAAGAGGTACTTCGAGGTTAGCAGGTGATTGTGAATGTTTAGAGTCAGCTGAAGGTCTGAAAAAAGTGAAAAAATTATCAATTTAGGATCTTATGAATAATTTTAAGAAACCAGAGCAGGAGCTCATGGTAGGCTACTAGAATGGAAGTTTGGTACCTCCATAGCAGCCCTAGAATCCAGCCTGTGAAGAAACCGAAGAGCAACAACAACTTACTGCACATTAACATCACTTTGCACCTTCAATCCAACATCAGCCTTCGCTTTTGGTTCATCGTCAGCTGCTAGTGCCTCGAGGAAGCGCTGTGACTGCCTATGGTAAGCAAAAGCACAAACGAAAATAAACAGCATTAAACCAGCAAAAATCAAAACCAACAATACGAAATTATTCATCATTTCACTTCTTTAATCTACTTTTGCAGCTACAAAACTGCATGCAATCACGTCCGAGGATGAAAATTGAATAAAAAAGAGAATGAACAAAAAAAAAATTCACGGATGAGTAAGAAAAAGAAATTTTAGATAAACCTGAAAAAAAACGCAATTTTAATTGATCGTGAAAAAAGAAAATTCCTCGCGTAGCTGAACAGATGTCCAAAATTTGAGAAAAGAAGAAAAATTGCAATAATTTTTAAACATCGAGTTTTATTCTCTTTTTGAGGATTTTAGAAGCGGAGCGAAATTTTCTTTTCGGTGCTCAATAATTTATCGTGAAAATGCGTAAATCTAAAAATAATTTTAAAATTTCTTACACATGTGTGACATGTGCTTGCAAGGTTGTTGTTAATTGTTACACGAAATTGGCAGGTTTGTTTTGTAAATTGATGAGTTTTAGCTAATTAGAGCTTGGGGAATTGACCTAAATGTTCTCATGTGAATAACATCGTTGTAGGGTCGGGATGAAACTAGGTAAGTTTAAAAAAGGCATCATTTTGGTACTAAGCTGACTAGAATCTCGATTAGTTGTTTTTATGGAGAACAAATGGAGTCGGAGCGGTTATCCGGGATGCTAATATTGATAATTAATGTTAGAATTCATCAATGATACATCAGCCCCCCCCTTACCGACATCATTTATAAATACTTCCTGAATTAGTTTCATTTTTCAAAAAGTTTATTATATTAAAAAAATTTCAACAATTTAGTAATAATTTCACCATTTTAGAAAATAACATTAATTTTAGATGTAACATTATCAAATAAAAATCTTTGGTCCGGAGCATTTTAATACACAATAAATCAATCAATTAAACATCTATCCACAAATCTCTACCTTTTCAATAGAACCACTAAGGGATCGTTCACTTATGACGTCCGAAATTAACGGTCATTTTTTTAAAAGAACAATGAATTTTCGGGAATTTCTATTTTTCTTTTCTTGATGACCCCCCCCCCCCCCCTCCTTCTCCCCTCTGGACGGCATAGGTGAACGGCCCTCAACTTGTTCTAGAGATCAAACATTTATTAATACTTTATCTCATTTTTTCTGATCATAAATTAAGACATTGTCGTAACTCGGGAGTGAATCTGAAGCATAAGGTGCTGCTGGATGATGACGTGGTGCTTCTTGTGGATATGGCATTCCAGAACTTGGTGTGTGATACCTAAAAGAAATCGAGAAATGTGAGGAAATTCTTGACATTCTTTGATGTTGTCGAAATTGGCACAAGTCGGTTAAATAAATAGAAATCCGGCGCTAAGCTGGGAAGACTCTGGCATGGTTCTGGCCCGAATCACACAGCTTTGATGCCGGTTTTTTGATCTATTAACCGACTTGTGTCATTCGATTGTGCAATTTGGTCAAATCTATCTCAAACTTAGGTTGTGGACCATATCAAATGGTTCCATTGGTTCCATATCCTTAGTTTTGACAGAATCTTAGGTTTTGCTAGCTTCTATAAAGCAAATGACTTGTCTACAGCTTAACAGAGTCATTATCTGAGCTAAAGTCAATTTTAGGTCAAAACTAGCACCTCTGATCCCAAAATCAATAAAAAACCAATAACGATATTAAGCACAAACCAAACCTAGCCTTAGAAAACCTAAAAAACCCAAAACTTACGGTGTAGCTGGTGTAATCCAAGGTGCAGTCTTGATTGGTATTGGATTGCTTATATCCTTAGGTGACAGTGGCTTCTTAACTGGTCCTGATGCTGCAGAATGAATGATTTGAGGGATTGGACGTGATTCGGAAGTCTCAGCAAGTGGAGCCTTTGGCTTAACTATTCGTTCTGTTGTCACAGTATAGATTGTTCCTAATGGAGTGGGCGACTGTGGCTGTTGATCAAATAGTGACGCTGGTTCTACAAAAAAATAAGAATTTTCATTGCCATTAAATCAGTCAACATTAAAGGCACAGCATACATACTTGGAGATTTATTTTTAGACTCCTTTGATGCAAATTTCTTATAAATCAGAAAGCAAATCAGCCAAATGAAGTAAATTCCCATAAAAATGAAGAAAAATAACGCAATGTCAGGCATAATGATGACTAAATGTGATATAAATAATAAAAAAAATTATTTCAATTAAAAAAATCTAAAATGAATTTTTTAACTCGATCGTTTGATCTTCTAAACTCGCGGGTGGTTATGGACGGACTGAAAAAAAGAAAAAAATTTAAATTAGCTGAGAAAAGATAAAAATCACTCTCAGCTACTCGATATTTAAATGAGCGAGAGAGAGTTTGTGGCTGAAATAGAGCAATGTTTACATTTCTAAGCATAAAGTCAATTTGTCCTTGAACTTAGAAGTCGACTCTTGATCATTAAAACAATTCTCGAAGAGAGAAAAATGGAATTTTATTTTTATCGGGTCTGAGAAGCCCTTTTATTAATTAAGATCAATGTTTATTGCCAATATAAGTTGATGTGAACCTCATTGAGGTCAGAAAAATATGAATTTCAATTTTAAGAGTTGATGCACTTGATTTGAGGTTCCGATGAGGCATGGGTGGAACCATGTCTACAATTGAGTTCTATGGAACATAGTTTGAGAAGCACTGGTATTCTGAAAGCTAGATGTCGGTCTAGAATAGTGTTGTCCAAACTGTGTGCCGTGGCACACTGTTGTGCCGTAGCTGAAAAAAGTTTGGACAACACTGGTCTGGAAGAATGCTCAATAAACTTGTTTCAGAGTACTGCTCAAATCTTCCAAGAAAATCGAAAGTTTAATTCAAAAATCCCCACACCTGCCCACCTTCAGCTCTCCTTCCTCCTCTACATTTGACTCTCCTTATGCTCCCGTGTCAAAAAAGTCACAGCTTCATTATACTGTGGTGGAATGTCAACTGATTCATCTGCAAAGTATGGTGCAGATGGTGCTGGAATGTCTGATTTTTGAGAATAATTTGATTGATGCGGTGCATATGGCTCTTGAGTGGAATGCGATAATTGTGAATAATATGGAGAATCTCTGTTGAGCTGACGGCTTCTAAAAAAGGGGAATTTAAGTTTGGGGTCGTTTACTTATGACGTCCATCAAAAAACCCGATTTTTAGACTCCCTACCCCCCCTAAATGTCGGACGTCATAAGTGAACGGCCTCTTTATTAAGGTTGATAATTTCAATTTTAACCCAAACAGGCATTTGAAAAAGGTTGTCTGGTAAATGCCTGACTATAAAGTTATCTAATCCCATTTGAGGCTGGTTTCTAGAGCTCCTAGAGCCCGAATGCGCAAATCGAAAAACCAATCAGAAATCCTGCACCAAGCCGGCATGACTCTGGTATGGTGCTGGCTCCGTTTAAAATCCAATACAATGCTAAAGTCACACCTGCTTGCTGTTGGATTTTTGATCGATTATCCGATTTGTGGCATTCGTGGAGTTAACAGACTCAATCTTTATCTATACTCAACAGTGTGTGAACCACTTGCGACCCTTTAAACCGTCCATTATATGACAAAAGTCATTTCTACATCATGTCATCAACCAGACAAACCTTTCAGTCCACCCAGGAAAATAGAAATGATTTTATATTAATTTTTTAACTCACTGATGAGGCTTTGGCACTTGTGGACCATCCCATCCGATTCTAGAGAACGGCTTCTTAATTCTTACATATGAATTTGATGTTTTTTGTTGTCTTGGAATGTCAGATCGTGTAGCTGATAAATGTGCTGTTCCAGGAGCTTGACGAGTGTAGGAAGTGACTACGACTGGAGCTGTGTAGCTTGATGAGTCTTTGTTGGAATGATTTTTGTATGAAAAAGGGAAAATATTAATTATTTGAGGGTAAGGTTGTGATTTTAGCTATTTTAGGAATTAATCCAAGAGAACCTCAAGCAGGAGCGTAGCCAGGAATTTGAAGAGGGGGGGGGGGGGGGGGGGGGTATTTTCAAGTTTTTCATAAAAACTCTAGCAAAATGAAGAACTTTCTCAAGACGAAGGGAGATTTGTCGTCAAGCAAATGATAAGCTGGAACCCAACCCAAAAATTACTCAACACAACAAAACATCAAATTTACCTGTTGAGTTTCTCATTTTCGAGAAAGAATCATTCCTGCACAAATATTTGAGACATCTGTAGATTCCATAAATGACTGGTATCACCAAAATAAATATTACATGAAAACTTATGCTTTTTTTGCTATAATACTCCATTATAATTAATTATTTAGCAAAAACTTTCAAAATTCCTACGATCAGCATCAAGTTAGATTTCAACACAACCACAAACTGACACAGAAAAACATAAAAAGAGAGAAAATATAAACATTTTGTGTTTAATGCATGACGTCATGGACTGGAATTTTTGAATAATTGTTCACAAGAAGAAGATGTTGTGCCTGTTGAGCTTCTCGGTTGTTCATTATTCTCTCAATTTTCATCAAAACTCTCAAAAAATGTGTAAAATTTCTCTCGCAAATGGTGAAACTCATAACTGTTGTTTAGTTCTTAGTGTTGATGATTCATGAAAATTCAGGCAGCAGCTTCATTTAGTTTTCAGATTTTAAACAGTTCAGACAAGAATCTTCGGACTTAAAGTGAATTAAAATATGAGTTATTCATACAATTACGACAATGCTGAAAGATATACGAGCTCCAATAATTCCTATACTCGAAAATCACCACCTATTTGGCTTATTGTGCTTGTTCTTGTTATTGCTGTATTTTTTGAATTTTTCAATCGGTTGTGCCGTATAGAAGCAGAAGAAAGTGAGTATAAAATTGGTCATTAAACATCGATTTTTGGATGTTCTGCCGTAAGCTACTTTCTTAAGTCTAAATTGTTTATCAGTAAATTTTAAAACTAGCCAATTTAATAAAAGGGGGTCGTTCATTTATGACGTCCGAGATTTAAGGGGGAAGGGGATCTATGATCTTGTGACAGCTCAAACAAAGGTTTTTTTTTCCATATGAATTTTGTGCCTTAAAATCGTGTTTTTTGTCAGAAGTCATAAGCAAATGACCCCAAAGGTGTCTGAACCCCGAATGACACAAGTTGGTCAATCGATCTAGAATTCGGCACCAAGCTCATTCAAGATTCATCCCAGTTTGGATTTAAATCGAAGTCAGCTTCATACCAAAGTCTTCCTAGCTTAGCGCCGGATTTGTATTGGATTAACCGACTTGTGGTTCTTGAGAATCTTGGATCTTCCCAACTGTTCATCGGATTTTTTCATCATTTTGATCAGTTCTACAACATTCAATCTTCCACATCCAGCAATAACAAAGTATTAAAAAATATCAAAATCATTAGTTGATAAGATTTAAACCATTGACCTTGTTCAGAGGTTTAATCAGAATTTTTGAGGAGAATTTGGCTGTAGTTGGCATTGATTGGAGGGTTTTGACAACAAAATTCCACATGACAACAGCTGAGACTTCCAAATTCTTCATAAAACCACCAGAGACACTAAAACTCACTTTAGAAACCTTCAAAAGATCTAAAATCATTGATAAATAATTTCCATTATTAAAACCAGGAGCAAGACAACAAATTCAATATGTACAACCACCAAGTGCAGTGCCTTCAGTTGCAATCATATCAGAAATGTCAGTTCGTCTAAATCATACTGGACTATCTCGAAATGAACGCTACATTTTGACTGATGAATCCAACCTACCAGCTGCCTTATCTCAATCGTAAGTAAAGATTTAATGATTTTTTTTGACGAAGTCTATTTTAATTTTATTTTGACAGGCTTCCAAATGGATTGAATCAACCATCAGCAACTCCTAGAGCTCCATTAAGGAATGACAGTGTCCCACAATATGATAGTCCACCGAATTATGAAGAAGCTTTGGAATTATTGAATGTTCATCAAATGCGAAAAGATCGCGACACTCCAATTACTTAATACATGCTCATACATATTCTTGGATGCTTATCTGCTCAATTTTAATAATTGTTCATGACGTAGTTGATGCCAAGTGACAGAAGTCAAAGTTTCAGACGGGACGGCTGACTTACTTAATTGTCATTTAGGAATAGTTTTAATCATACCAAAATTAAGCACATCAGCCATAAAAATTGACATTGTTAATTAACCCAAAGATTATAAAAAATCTAAAAATATCGAACGCAAAATTTGATTTTCTCAAATTTTAAGTATTCATCTGTTGCTTATTTCTCTCACAATTGAAGTATAAACTCTGTGTTAGTGTGTATCGCCATGTGCTTTTGACATACGAGAGAGGAATGCAGTCGGCAAAAAGCATTGACGTCAAAATGAGAAAAATAGTAAAAATTGTATTTTTTACTTTGAATTCCCCAATTGATTGAATGACTCACCCTGTAAAGTAATTAATGTTTAATAACAACTAAGTTGCACTAGTGTAAGTTTGCATTATATTGAATAAAGACGTAATAAACATATTATTTTGTAAAATTATGAGCAACGACTTTAAAATTGATTATAATACTGGAATTTGGGGTTTAATAGTATTGTTTGGATTATATGTCATTTTTGAACTGATAAAGAGATTGTGTTTTGAATCTGAAGCAAACGGTAAGTCTAAACCAGTGTTGTCCACCTCGTGTGCCAGAGATTCGACGTTTGCCGTGTGTGGTTCCGATCATGGCTTACCACCAATGTGTATCGTGGTATAAAAAAAAGGTTGGGCACCACTGGTTTAAACCAAAAAAAATTGCAGACCCACTTTTTGTAGGCTTCAACTGGGGCGTAACCAGGAATTTGAAAAGGGGGGGGGGGGGGGGGGGAATTTTTTTTTGTATGGAAAAATTTAAGTGGGGGGGGGGATAATTTTTGTGATTTTTTATAAAAACCCTAAGGGGCTGTTCACTTATTACGTAACGCGAAAAAATGACTTCTTAGACCCCCCCCCTCGTAACAAAATTTGTATGAAAAAAAAATTTCCTTGTTTGAATCGTAACAAAATCTTAGACCCCCCCTCCCCCTAAAAGCGTTACGTAATAAGTGACCCCTAGCAAAACAAAGACGTTTCTGTTTACGTTGGGAGATTTGTAACCCAAATCCCCCTCCCTGGCTACGCGCCTGGGCTTCAATAAAATCTGGATATCTTTTTAGTATCAATCCGCTAATAATAATAATAATGTGAGATGGTTCCAGCCAAGCGATGTGTTTCTACACGTTGCGACAAGCTGGAGGCACTGCAAACCTAATCGATGATAAAATATATTGTTCCGTTAATAGAAAATGACGAAATAAACTCTTCAGGCTCGTTTAATCATCAAGCATCTCAGAGATTCAAGAGCTTTTCCACCAATGGCACCTTACATTGAATATTTTGAGGAACCAGCTATACAACCATCTGCACCTAGAGTTATTAAAGATGACACTCCAAAGTATGAAAGCCCACCAAATTATACTGAAGCCGTAAATTTACTAAATAATTGTCAGAAGCACCAGGACTCGTCCGTCACTTAACGGAATATTAATCGAGTTTTTTTTTGCAATAAAAAAATTATGTTCTGAATCTATTTAGCCTTGAACTGTTGAAATTATCGTTTCAGCCTCATGAATAGGCTGTTCAACTGGGCACTTTTTCGACTTATTTGGACAATATCTAGCTTAAAATACTCAATGTCCTGCTTTTTTGTATCTATTATGATTGGAAAATGCTTGAAAATTTGGTCTGTCTTGTTTTTTCAGAGCTGAAATTGGGACATGCCCACTGGTCAGGCGCGTAGCCACGAGGGTATTGTCCCCTATTAAGCGTTTTAGGCCGTGCTCTTGATGTGGTTTAAAACGTTTAAGGGAAGACAAGACCCTCCTGGGTACGCGGCAGTGGCATTGGAGAATGACCAGATATTTTTTGAAAAAATAGAGGACCTGAAAATAAAATAGAGGAAAATAATAGAGGACTGTCCTCTAAAAACCCAAGCAGATAATCAGCCTAGACATGTCTTACTTTTTGAGCAAAATCCGATGGAAAGCCTCCTCATAAAGCATGTCATAAAAAATTTCCCAGTATTCAACTGCGTATCTCCATTCTCAAAGTTCTCTAAATGTTCAACAATTTCTCTCTCATTTTTAAAACTACAACAAAAGTTTGCTTGTGCATTGCCATGTGCTTTTGAGACACGAGAGAGGAATGCAGTCGGAAAACACATCAAACCTGCTGACGACGTAATAATGTAATTCCTATAGTTTCAATTTACATTCTGACTTTCCCACTTAAATAGTTTGACTCATCATGTGCAGTTGCATTCAGTTAAAGATTCAACTTTAGAGGATTAAGGCTTACAAAATATTAAAATCAAACCTTTTTTGTGGTGTCAATATTTAATCTTTTCAACAATAAATAAATAAATAAAAAATAATTAAAAAGAATATTGTGCAGCCATGAGTAACACAGACTCACTTAGATTCTCACAATCAAGTAAAAAAATAAAAATGGGACCAGAGACACCTTGGATTTTTGGAATCGTTATATTCGCGTATGTGATTTGTACAGTTTGTAAGAAAAAATGCTGCAAAAAGAAGCAAAATGGTAAGTAAATTGAATATGTTTCAGTTCTCTCAATTAGGATACTTAAGATGAGTATGAAGGAGGTCCAAGAACCCTGTTTAAGTTGCAATTCGCATTAATCTTCATTCAAATGCTAAACTAACCTTTATTCGAGAGATCAAACCCTTGACCCTTCCAAAAAATCATCAACCCATATCTCAGTTAGAACCTTACGTACATACATACATACATCGCTGGCTTAACAGATCAATTGTGATCCATAGCCTTCCTTAGTTTGCCTGTTTGAACCTTGAGACTTCTAAATGTGCATTTTTACAGTTTAAAGACATTAAATTAATTTTTTTCAACAATTAAGTTCCAGCACCTGACCCAGAAGCTATTAATTTACATTATTACAATCAACATGAAGCCAGACATTTGCCTGAGGCAGCCATGGCATCAGAAACTTCATCAAATTTATTGCCATCCACAAGTTTCATTCCAACTGCTCAACCTGTTGAATACATTCAATTGCAAGCTTTTCAACCGACTGCACCTGGAATTATGGAAGATGACACACCAAAGTATGACAGTCCGCCAAGTTATCATGAAGCTATGGAACAAGTTAATAATAATCAAAAGGATCACAACTCGCCCATCACTTAAAGCAACATTAATCAAAGGTTTAAGACCGGTTTATAGAATTAAGGAACGCCAATTATTAAATGAAAAGCTAGATGAATGAAAGAATTTTTATACTAGGTCAATCCTAGTCGTAGTATTATGATCTTAGATTCAAATAGGCATAGAATGCAGGTTCTAGAAACTTTGAAGTTTTCATTATAATTTTCAGTCAGATTTCTCTCAACTTTTCATTAAAAAAACAACAAAACAAACTTTTCGACCTTGAAAAAAGTGAGAGAGTTGTCAGCTATGATTGCAATTCGGTGCAATCGCAATACAGAAAGTTTCTCATTTTGAGAGAATTAAGACGCAAAATAAATAATTTTTTTTAAAAAAAATTTACTTCCAAAAAGCAGTGAAATTAATTTTTATTTGGAATTTTGGAACCAAGTTTTTGTGCTTGTTTACTTCCGCATGAGTTACATTAACGAAAAGTTTGAATGGAAAAACTTTAAGTTTAATTTTACTGATTTTTATCAATCACTTCGACTAAATAAATCATTTGTATATCCAACATGGCCAACCTTTCTAGACATTCCAAATGTTGTGCCTTTTCCAACTTATTCACCGACGACTGCTCGAACATTTACACGACTGTATCATCCCAGAAAACGTATGAATATACCTGTTATGATTTTGTGTTTTTTGACGATTGTCTTTATCTACTGGAACTTGTGTAAACTGCGTAACAAGAAGCATCAATATGGTAAGTTGATATAAATTAATGATTGATGCTCGTATCTTCATCAAATCAAGGATATTTAGGGTCTTTTAACAGAACATGACCTTATCTATGGCGTGCAATGTTAAGTTTTCCTTGGAAGATCTTTGTGCTACCTTAAACATCCTGTATATCCTCAATTTCCTCCTATTTCCTGATAAAATCTTTATTTCTGTAGTTGACATAGAAACTGGAACTAATCATCATCAACAAACTCAAGAAAGATCAACAACTGAAACCTCAAGACATGCTGATGTGGTTCCAACTGCTCCTCCAGTTGAATCTCTACATCCACAAAGTTTGCAACCTGAAGTATATCTTCAAATTGACGTCTCTAACAATGAAAATCCACCAAGTTATGATGAAGCTATGAAAATGATTGAAAAACAGAAGCAAAGACTTGAAGGCTCGATTATAAATGATGTGAGGTGAGATTTGATTGATATTTTATTCTTTTTTGGTTTTAAACTAGGAATATTGCAGTAATTCTGTCAATACAATCAGTTCTGAGCGACCAGTCAACTCCATACATCGACTAGAAGATACATATCTATAGATTTTATGCTTAATAATAAGGAATCTATATTCTGGGGAATTTTTGTGATTTTTTTGTAAAATAAAGAAATTTCTGCATACCTTGGGGGATTTGTCCCCTAAATCCCCCCTACCCCCTGGCTGCGCACCTGAACACATCGCTTGGCTGGAACCCTCTCACATTATTATTATTGGGGGAGATGGGCTGTCCATCACTGATTCATCACCTTTTCAATTTTCTCTCATCAATTTTGTGGAAATGTAACAACAATTTTTATGACCTTGAAAAAAGTGAGAGAGTAATGTTATTGGGATCTCAGCGCACACATAAAATGATATTACTCGCTATGGTGAAATCTATGAATGCAATTTTTGTTCAGTCGCAATAAAGATGCACTCAGCAAAAATCTCAATTTGCGAGAACTGTGACGGAAAAAAAAAATTTAAGTTTTAAAATTGACCAGAAAAAGTTGTGAAAATTTGTAATTTTAAATAAAACTTTAGTTGTGCTTATGAATCACAAAATTATAAAGTTTAATTCAAGTGTCTTTGATTTATCATATCGACCTTATCAACCGTTTCCGTTTCCAACATGGTCAACTTTTCTAACATGGCCAACCTTTCCAGAAATCCCAAATTTTCATCCTATTCCGACTTATCAAACTATTCGTCCATTTTCATATCCTTCTTTTAAGGATCTATTTGTGACATCTCGACCACCACAGCCTCCAGAAGAACCGATGAAAATACCTTTAATGATTTTGTGTATAGCTGTAATGGTTGTCGTTTGGGGAAATGTATGTAAAAAGAACTGCATAAAGCATCATTACGGTAAGTTCATATGACACAGAACACTCCGAGCCCTTACCAAGCTTCCAATTCTCTATTTTTGTTCAGTTGACATAGAAGCTGGAGTTAATCATCATGAACAAATCCAAACAAGATCAATGGTTGTTGCATATTTTATATCTGAATCTTCAGGACATGCCACATCTAATCTACCCGCAGCTTTCACTTCATCATCTCCACGCGATGAACCTCGTCATCCACAAAGTTTGCAACCTGAAATAATTCAAGATGACACTCCAAAATACGAGAATCCAACAAACTATGATGAAGCTATGAAAATGATTGAGGAACAGATGCAAGAACTTGAAAGATTGAAGTGAGTTTTTAGGAAGATTTAATTTTGTAATGAATCACACCTCTCAAAATTTCAGAAATCCCGTCAATGCAACAAGTTCTGAGCAGTCATCAAACAATATAAATCAAGCATAAGTCCAACATCTAGCATAGATTTTATGCTAGACATCAGTAATTATGTGTAATTAATACCTCCGTATTGTATATTCATTGTACAAAGTTTCCGTCAATGGACAATAAGATGAAGGCACCACGCCTAGCCTAGTTGATTGTTTCTGGTTCCGGCAATGCTGTTTGGTATTTTTTTCCTCAAAAGACCTTTGACAAATTAAGAGATATTTTTACAAAAGGGATAGGGACTCTGCTACGCCTCTGAATACTTGTAAGTTGTAATGCTGATTTGTCTTAGTTCAATGACAGAATTGATTGCCAAAAAAAGCCGCTTTTTGCGTTGGCACCAAAAAGTCTCAAGGATGTAAACATGAAGATAATTGCGAGTGTCGGATGTGTGGTGAAAAAAAGTTGGTTTTTTTCTGTTGGATGTCCATCTTTAAAGTTAAAAACACGACTTACGGGGAAGGTCAATAGCTATGAAAAAGATACCGCCCTACTAGACGACAAGGGCTAAATTTTGAAGAAACACCTTCCGTGTTCCACGCGGAAGTTAATAAACGTAACTTTCAATGATGAAAATAATCTATACCAAAGGTGTCGCTAGGAGCGTCAAATGCACGCTCTGACGTAGAGACGGAGTCAGGAACTGGAGATTCTGGCTGAGTCTCAAACCTCCAACTCAAAGAAATGTCTGTCTATGATAATACAAAAATGCATAAATGTTAACCAACTAAAGTCAATGACAATAATAAATTTATTTATTTAATTAAAAAATAATTAATTGTATAAAAAGCTAGTTTAAGCTTCTAATTTATTGAAAATATTTTTCTTTGTTAAGCTTAAAATTAGTTAAAAATTGTCCAAAAACTGAGATTTTAAAAATATTTCTCTCTCTAAAAATATGCTTCACTTCAGTGATGGTCAACCTATTATCCACGGCACACTAAGTTGGGAAATCCTACGAACCGTATGCCGTGTGCGTCTGACGATTAAAGTGTGCCGTGTCACAATAAAGGTTGGCAACCACTGCTCTACTTGATAGCAAGTCCCCCTCTTCCCAACCTTAACTCGTTAATACGACCTTTATAATAATTCACTTTAAACATCAAGATTTGAATCCTAATAAATATTTAAAAATGTAAATGTTAACAAAGCTTCAAGCCAACCCATGAGGTAGATCTATCCAATTCCCATCTCAAGGCTCTCTATCTTCATAATCCACAGATGCCATAACATCATCATAACTTGGTAGATTTCCAAAATCCTCAATTGAAATCTTTGGTGCTGTTGGAAATTGAAAAATTGGTTCAGAAACTGGCGATAAGGATGAGACCGATGAACGCTGATTATTTGATACGCATGATGTCAATAAATATGATAAAGATTGATTAGAATCTGGAATGTCAGGAGATTCTGGTGAGCCGATTGCTTGGAGTGGCTCATATGAGTATGTGACCTTGGCTCGTCCAACTGATGGAATGAAACTGGGAATGGAAATTGATTGAGATTAGTCTTTCTAGTTAAAAGCTTAAGATCATCAATTTTCAACTTTTTGGATGAGTTTTGTCATGTTCAAGTCATCTTTTGTGAGATTTTGGACTCTTCTGTACGGATTTGCCTTAGTTCCAGCTACTAAATCCTTCAGTCCAATTTCTATTGCTTCATTATAAGGCATTAGATACAAAATTATTAAAACTTACGTTAAATTCCTATCAAGTTGTTCATTTGAGGACCAAAGATGATCATCAGTGTTGGTGCAAACAGGTTTGGAACTTTCTGCAGTATCAGGAGCATCTGCTTTAGTTTAAAAAATAAGAAAAATTGGTTCACATCAACTAGAGCCTTTATTGACTTGAATTCAAAGATTTGGAACTGACTTTTGGTCATTTTCGATCAGTGTCACACTCTTGCTTGAGTTCAAATAAAGTCATTCAATGTTATCTTTACAAAACTTCTAGCTATGGTCATCCTTTATAAAGGAAGATAGATTTATGCTTTAATAAATGCTCATAATACATTAATTTGTATCCCGAAAGGCACATGAAGTAAAATTGTCTCTCAATCTGGCGTTCATGAATGGCATGATCGCAGCACGATGTCGAATTTCACCAAATCCAACGTTATGCTGCGTTCATGCCGTTCTTGACGCTAGGTTGACAGCTGTTTTTACATCGTGTGCCTTTGGGGTGTGGATTGAATTGAAATGAACGTATTTTGAAGGTTATTTTATTAGAATTAGTGTCTCCTTCTTTAACTTCCATCACCTCCCCCCCCCCCCCCCCACCACTCCCCTTCCAGCTACTGTCACCAATTTTTACATATTATATTTGAAAGTGGGTTTTGGATGTCATCTTGGAAATCATCCCACTCGAGGATGATAGTATAAAGGGGGCGGGTGTTATAGTGACCCCAAACCATGAAGTTGACTGCTCAATCTTACATCAAAAGGCCACAAAAAAACAGAAGGACACCAACAAATCAATAAATGACCCAAGAACCTCCTTCCACCCCACAAAGTAAAATTACAAATAATTCTGAAATTATTCATAAAAAGTTTCACTTAAACACGACGGAAAGCTTTCATCGCAAAAAAACACCGGCATTTCACATTCGATTGCTTGCTAAGTTTCCGAGGGAAAAAAACTTTTTTTATTATTAATTTCTGCGCATGTCAAATTTTTGATTATTTTCTTTTTTCACAATAACATTGAATATTCATAAAAAGAATTTTGAGCATAGCAAAAAAGCCATAAAAGTTTTGTAAAGTCTGTGCATTAAACTTGGCATAAAGAGTAATATTTGGTCAATTTGGAGAGTCATCATATTCCTTACTTGAATTGTTGTCATTTTCTGCTGAATTTTCATCAACATTTCCTGAAGATTTTCGTCTTCCAGCTTCATTAGATTTTGGAATCTTAAGAGATGAAGTCCGCAAGTTCTCTGTCGATCCAGAAGCTTTTGATGAGCTCCCAGCTTGTGGTAATGTTCTTGACTTTTGGGATGTTGTGCTGTTTGCTGTTGATGGACTTAAGGAACGGGAAGTTCGTTGCTGGAATTTCTCGAAGTTTGTTGGTCTTGATGAGATAGGCACTTGTGATTGGGATGCTTTTGCGGCTCTTTCGGCTGCTAATCTTTTTCTGGATTTTTTGGGAGATCGGGTAAAGTAAAAAAGGCATGAGTTAACTTGATAAGAAGCGCATTTTATATTTATTTTCAATATTTGGACAGTTAATAGTGAAATTAAGCATTACTAACGCAAGCAATATCCACCCTTACTCCCTTACCAACCCACCCAACCCCAAAATTTTACACTTACTCGCTCTCCCTTCTACGTTTCAAAAATAAAATCATTTTTTTTTTGTTTAATGTCAACACAAAATTACTTCCAATTAATTCGAATGTTCGTTTTGGGAATCAAAAACTTTTATTTTCTACAAACTAAATGGACTTAAAACTAGAGCAACCACAAGAGAAGTTAAACTTGACACTACGAACTCAAAAGAACGAATGAAAGATTTTTGTTCGTGATATAAAATTATTTACTGGAGTAATAAAAGCTTGGCTTATAAGCGCATGTCAACATTTCTATTTCTTCTTACGGCTAGAAATTGATATCAAATTTATTTTTATGCATAAAAAATGTTTTTTTTTTTTGAAATTTTACGCAAATTTATTTATTTTGCATTGATTAAAGTAAACTTTGAATTGAACTTGTTTGCTTAACAATGAAGCTTTTTCAAGTTTCTGTAGTAATACATTGTCAATGCGATCATGAAATGACACGGAACGGTTCTAAAGCTACTCGTCTAGTTGCGTAGCCATGAGGGAAATTGGGTAAAAACTTCATGTTAACTGAAATTTCTTCAATTTGCTAGAGTTTTTTTATGAAAAAAACCTAAAACTTCCCCCTAAATTTTCCATATAAATCCCCCCCCCCCTCAAATTTCCACCCCCCCCCCCCCCCATTCTTCAAACTCTTAACCAAGCTGTTGTAGTTGTTGCTTTTGAAGATCAAGCCTTGGTAAGACCCCTTTGCAGGCACGTAACCAGGAGGGGGGCTTTTGAAGATCAAGCCTAGGTTAGACCCCCTTGCAGGCGCATAACCAGGAGGGGGGGGGGGCATTTGAAGATCAAGCCTAGGTTAGACCCCCTTGCAGGCACGTAACCAGGAGGGGAAGAGAGGCATTTGAAGATCAAGCCTAGGTTAGACCCCCTTGCAGGCGCATAACCAGGAGGGGGGGGGGGTGGCATTTGGAGGAAAAATCCCCCGCCGAAATTTTTTTCATTTTGCTACGAGTTTTATGACAAAATCATAAAAATTCCCCCCCTTCCCTCTGAATTTTCCATAAATTTTTTTATCCCTTCCTCTTCAAATTCCTGGCTACGCCCCTGCCCCCTTTCAACTCTTTCGCCAATAAAGTAACCAAAAAATTTAAATATCCATTAAATTATTTTTTTTTATTAAATCTTATCCTTTAAATGCATTAGAATTGACCAGTTGAATTCTGATTCAATTAACTTCTTCATAAAAGTCACCTGAGTTTTTACAATAAATTTGTTAACTTACAATAATTTTATTATTTCCTGCAAGGTGCGGACACTCAGGATAAATCCCAGAATATCCAAAATATAATCCTAAAGACTTGATTTTCTGTCGTTGTCTATTTTTTTGAAATAAACTGAATAGCTTCTTCATAATTTGGTGGTGCGTCATCAAGTAGATCTGAATTATTTGTTGATTGTGGTGCAGATGGAGGAACTAAATACGATCTTTCAGATTCTTGGGGTGGGTAAGGTCTTTGTGGTGGATACGGACACTCTGAGTTGATTGGTGGATATCTGTGATGATGAAAAAGATTAGAATTTAAATTTTATTACTTCTGGTAATTTTAGAGGGCGAGGGGGGTGTGGTGGGTCAAGAACTTTGAAACACTTCAAAAAAATAATTAATGGCCACTTGAACGTTACGCATAAAACAATTTTTGACCCCCCTTGAGGACTTGATTTATTGTTTGGCATGTTTCAAAATCCTAGACCTGGAACCCAGCCAGTACCGCACCCTTGAAATCAGCGTTATTTTCAGAGGAGCTTCAGACGTTCCCCTTCCGAAACTTACGGTTGTGCTTGAGATCCTGCAACATTCCAACCAACATTAGAATGAGGAATTGGCATCCGCCTAGTTGAGCTAGGTGAAGCATTAAGAGGAATTCGTAAGAAATTTTCTGGTATTGTGGTTGATAAAGGCACTTGACGAGTAGCTCGTGGACTTGAACTTGTGATAGGCTGTGATGATGGTCCTGGATATGTGATGGCACGATCTATTTAAGATTAAGTATTAAAAAAAAATCTCATTGCAAAATTCAAGAGAGTTTGAGAGCAAAACAAGCATGCCAAAAAGTTTAAAGAGCATAAAAATTTAAAATAAAATCTTAAAAATTACAAACTTGAGTTAATAGTTGCAGAAGTATTTCCTGATTGACAGCACACAGCAAAAAATATAATGCAGCAAGCCGCAACATAAATTATTATTAAAATTAAGATCAAACCCATTTGAACCGACTTTTTACTTAAAATTAATTTTGGAATTCGGAGAGAAATATTCACTGCTAGCTGATCATGAATACAAACTCAAACTGAAATGCAAAATACACACAAAGAGTTTATAAGTTAAAAAGAGAAGAGCAAAAAAATTGAGAGAAAAATTTCATCCAAAAAATGACGTCACAAATTATTTATTTTTAATTAATCCAAACTTTTCATATATTTTATGAAAAAAAACGAAAATTAAATCTAGTCTCCCTTTTTAAGTTAGGGGCCGTTTACTAATGACGTAACTCAAAAAAAAGACTTTTTAGGACCCCTCCTCCCCCCTCTTGTCACAAAATTTGTACAAGAAAAAATTTCTTTTGTTTGAACTGTCACAAAATTTCAGACTTCCTTTAAAAAAGGTTACGTAATAAGTGAACGGAGTCTGTAGGTCCGGCCAAAAGTAAGGTTCTTTTCTCAGATTCAAAGCTCAACCACACCATCCCAACAGAACCAATAAGACTAGTTTTTAGAATCCCTCCTCCCTCCCCCCCCCCCCTCTCAAAAATGTCTGACATCATATGTGAACAACCCCTTATGTAGCCTCAACCTGAGAACCGTCTAGTGTTACTCTAATCATTAGTTTTCCATTAAGCTTATTTATTTCTTAAAAGAACTTCAAAATCAGGAAGATGACCATCGATATCTTGTGATGATGATGAACTGACAATTGGATACGGAGCAGAACTCTGAATTGAGTTTAAACTTGAATAAGGTGGAAGTAATGTCTGTGATGATTCAGTTATTAGATAAGGTGCTGTTGGCTTTTGTTGCACTTCCTTCCTGTGGATATGGTGCAGTTCTATTTAAACCTGATGAAGACACTGTTGCTGGATATGGTAAACCAAATGGAACTGGCATTTGTGTTGGATATGGTGCTTGTGGTGGATATGGACATTGAAGATTCACTGGAGGGTACCTGATGATGATACAAACTGTAATTAATGGAAATCTTTGTTACTATGAATTTAAACTTACGAATAAGCGTTTGAAGCTTGAGATATGAACGGCATTGGCATGGCTGTAAGTCTGTCTGGAGTAAATCTTGATTTTTGTTCATTTTCTGATCTTATTGCTGTAATTTGTTTGGGTGGTGCACGAATCGGTGAAGGTTCAATTGTATCTAAATTTTTGAGAATTAAATGTTAATGGGGTTGTTTAAAAATGATGTTCCTCAGCATTTGACATCATTTATAAACGACCCACGATTAGCTATACCTTACTCTTTGGAAATTTTAATACAGCAAACTAAGATTACAGCAGCCAAATAAGAAAAAATAATCGAAAAAGCTAAAAAAACCTCAAAACTCATAATTCAAAAAAAAAATTAAGATTTTTATGCACAGGCTCCTTTATAATCACAAACAGAAACGTGAACTAAAATTTGCAGCAAAAAAAGTTATTTTAATAAAATTAATCTCATTTTGAGTCAAGAGACGTCATGAAGAAAATTTTGAGTACTTTTGCTCTTGAATGTGATCTTTTGAGTTTATCAAGCAGTGTTGCTAAGATCACATTTTTTCTGTATGTTTGAATTTCACCATCATATTCAGAAGCGTGGCTGATTTGAGGTCAAAAACCTATTTTTGGTGTGAAAATGTCTCAGAGAATTTTTTTTATAGATGACAAATTTTTTATTATTTTAAATTTTTAAATGATAAAATACTGCAAGAATATCTTATAAGGCTAGTCAGCTCCATTCCAAGGGTGCGGAACTGATGGATTAGATTTTGATCGATATCGATCATTTTTGACCATTTTGATCAGTTCAGCATTCTTCGTCCATTTTTGAGATGATATCTCTAGGTCAAATTTATAAACGGGACAGTCAACCAGCATAAAGTGGCTTCCTCAAGTTTGATGTCAGCACTGTTGAAGTCGTTCTCATAAAGCACTGAATTAAGGAACATTTTTATCAACATTTTCATCAGCTAAGTCCATGCTGTATCCACCTAACCCCAAATTCTTTACAAAACTAAATCTTATATTCGAATTTTTCATATAAATCAAAAGTTTAATTGAGAATACAAATGCAAAAACATCCAGCACTGCTCTAACTTAAGTGCTGTTTAAAGCGAAGCCTTCCATTAATTCTTATAAAAATTTATTGTCTTGTCTTAATTTATTTTGGAATTAAATTGATTGCATCTTCATATTTTGGTGGACAATCTTGAGGTTCTTGTGATGAACTGTTCGTTGGATAAGGTGCAGATGGTGCTGGGGGTTGAGTCCTATTGGACATTGAAGGTGAAGGAATTGAGCTTTGTGGCGGATACGGCAGCACTGGTGGGTATGGACAATCTGAATTTAATTCTGGATAGCTGTGAATTATTATTGAAAATTTAAAAATTTTGTTTAAAATTGCGAGGGGATAACAACATGATGGGGAATAATTTCATATAACAATTACTCTGGGGCGTTGCAATGAAAGTTGGGCAGACACGTAACCAGGGGGAGGGGGGATTTGGGTGACAAATAGAAATAGAAATTTATTCATTTTGCTGGGAGTTTTATGAAAAAATCATAAAATCCCCCCCCCCCCCCCCCCGCTGGGTTGAGTCAAACCCTCTTAGAAAAATCCTTCAATTTGGTAGGGATTTTTGATATTAATTCCCAAGACTCCCTAATTTATCCTCAAAAATTTCTGACTACGCCCTTGTAATTTACCATCATGTTGTTATCCCCCTTGGGAAATGAAAAATGTAAAACTTACGGTTGTTCTTGCGGCCTAGTGATTGTCCAACCTACATCAGTATTAGGCAATGGCATGCTAGTTGGTTGATTTGTGACTGGATTATCAGTAGGATACGGAATCGCACCAACTGGAGCTGGGGCAGTTTCTTGACAATTAAAATGAAATAAAATAAATTGATTAAATTCAACACACTGACAAAGCATGTGAGAATGTGCGTAGAAACGTTTATTTTGAAGAGTAATTTATAGAAATTAAAAGAAACCTTCGTCGTTGCTTAAAACAACACAGCAACCGAGACAAAAACAGCATAAAAGCCATAAGATAAGGAAGAAAATATTTATCATAAATTGAGATTTTTTTGAAATTCTTGAAAAATCTTTAAAAAAACTTAATGTTGACGAACACAAATTTAATTGAAGACTAACAGTGCTTCTCAGTTGTGATGTGCTGCAAATTGAGAAGATTGAACTCTCTTTGATTTTTGGTGAGAGAAAATAATTGTTTTCATTCTTAAATACAGCCTAATTGAGGATAAAATACAATCTAGATCCAGAATTGACATCCTTACAACACCTTTACATAACCTCAATTATCTTCATTTAACTTAATTTCCAATAATTTGATCAATTTAATCAAAATACTCAGATTCCAACTTACCATCATCCTCACAGCACTTTGCAGCACAGGCCGCACCAAAAAGAAAGCATATACAGCCACCAGCACAGCAGCCCAAATAATCCATTTGAATTTATTATTTAAACATTAAAATATTTTTAAGAAATATCAAAAAAGTTGTACACTAGCTACACATAAGGACAATAACACACTGATACGCAAATAACAGCTGAGAAATTGTTATTAATTCTGAGAGTCGATGAGAGAGGAAGTAACGAAGTTCTCTGAGCAATTCTGAATTTTGAGAGAATTAAACAAAATATTTTTTAAACTTTATTTGATACTTTGGTATGGCACTAGCTGCAAATATGATATTATGTATTATAAAAATAACTAAATCGTAAGACAGTAAAGCTAGCAGTGTCTTGATGACTGTGACAAAAGTAGAACACTTCAAGGAACTCCAATACATCATCTGCACTGATCATCATTAACTGAGGCAGTTCAGATAAGCTCCTATAAACTCACATCTCCTAGTCACATCACATTTGCCTTTAAAACTTCGTTGCCAGATCCAGTGCTTCATCATAACTAGGAAGATCATCAACTTTATGAGCTGATCCACTTGATGGATGTTGGACAACATTTGAGCAATTTGGAATGCTTGCAGTATAAGTTGGATTCGACACTTGCTGCTGATATGCTAATGGTACTGAATATGTGGATTCTACATTTGCTGGAAGGTATCTGTGGATTGATTAATATTTTTAATTCCCATCAAGTTGTTTCCCCCTCAGTCAATAATTTTACATACCGAATAATTGGTTGTCGATGCTCTCCAGACACATCAACAGGCACACAATAATAAAGTACAGGAACTCCAGATTCTACATTTTCTTGAGCTCGTGAATTCCTTGAATTTTCTGCTGTTCTTTGCAAACTTCGTTCTAATCTTGTTGCCATTTGCTGGAGCTCCGTTGGACGAGGTTGTGAGTTTCCCTCTATTTTGAGTTGAATTAAAAATCATAATTAATGAAATTAAATTAAATTTGATTCCTTTTGGTGTGACACGAACTGCACCTATCTTCAATGAACATGCAAAGACGCATTAAACCAAGAATCATGCAAGCTAGCAAAATTGGAGTTGCAATAAAAAATAAAACAAGAACTAAAGTCTCCCAATACATTTAACACTGATCAACTGCAACTTAAATCTTAAACTGAAGCAGTCAGGAATTTAAAATATTTAAAATTCGATTGTTTAAACAAGCCAGAAAATGTGCAGAGTTCCACGAAAATTTTAGTATAAACAAAACAAAAGATTGCGATGAGTTTTGGGTGTTCGATTAGTCATCTTCAAAATAAGAAGACAGTGGTTCCTAAACTCTGCTATGCGATGGACTAAAGCAGTGGCGCTTAAATGGAGCTCTACTTTGCTTCCTCAATCTTATTCAATCTTCCTCAATCTTCCTTAATCTTCCTCAATCTTCCTTAATCTTTCTCAATCTTCCTCAATCTTCCTCAATTCTTCCTCAATTCTTCCTCAATCTTCCTCAATTTTCCCCAATCTTCCTTAATCTTCCTCAATCTTCCTTAATCTTTCTCAATCTTCCTCAATCATCCTTTTATCCTACATCTCTTACCTATTACTCTTGCACAAAACGAACAGCACTCAATTGCAACATGAACCAATAAGTAAATTATTGAAATAATCAAACAAGCTACTAGGACAAATAAAATTGCAAGTAGTGCTAGATCTGACATTGCGATTAATAACTGATCATCCGTAAATTCAGTCTTAAACTGAAAATGTTCAGAAATTATTTAAAATTTTATTATTTATACAATTCAGAAAATGTGGGGAGTTCCACGAACTTTTTTAAGATTAAACAAATGACGTCACAACAGGCTCGGAGTCAGGGGGTGGGAGCTTTTTCATTTTGCTAGGGTTTTTGTGAAAAAAATCCTGAGCTTCTTTACTTTTCCATATAAATTTTTCTGACCCCCCCCCCCCCTCCCCCTATGAATTCCTTCCAACGCCCCTGAATCACAAAAAATTGTTATTGTACACAAAAGAATTTGAGATTTTATTCGGATGTTCTGTTAAGGATTTAAAAAAATAATCGCTTTTGATTGTAGGTTAAGTTTGTCGCCCTTTAGGTGTTCTTGTTTTGTCGCAGCTTAGAGGCCGTTCACTTTTGACGTTCAAGATTAAGGACGGGGGGGCAGAGGGTGAAGGGGGTTCAAAGATTAATGACAGGGGAGGGAAAAGAAGGGGTTCAAAAAATTTTGTGACATTCAATTTTACAAAAAGGAAATCAAAATTTTTGGTAACCTTTGAGTGGACGTCACAGCAAGGCAATGGCATCTATGACCGTTTTGGGGATGGGAGAGTCTAAAAATCATGTTTTATAATGAACGTCATAAGTGAATGGCCCATTAAAGTTCCCCTAATTTCACCTTTTATTTTGCCACAACACCAACAACACTTTTGCACAACATTAACGATTAGAAGAAATATGGAAATAATCAGTACAAATAAAATTGCCATTAAAGCAACTTCTTCCATTTTTAATTAATATCTGATCAATTGCAAGTCAAATCTCAAACTGAATCGTTCAGAAAACATCCAAAATAATGAGAGAAATTTCACAAAAATTTTAGTTTAAACAAAAATGAAAAATTTTGAATGCAAAATTGAATTTTTTTTTTCTTCGACATTTTAAGTCACCTGCACAACAAGAACAGCACTTATTGACAATATATATGGACAACAAAGGAAAAAATTAAGCACGTCAGTAAATTAAGTAAAATAAATAAAAGTCCACATTCATCCTGACTCATTGGAATTTAAACTCTGACTATCCGTAAATACAATTTTATGCCGAAAAACCTCTACAATTTTAAGAAAACAATTACATTATAATCGTTGTCTGGGGATGTTTGCATGAAATGTAGCTTTTCGGACCGTCCAGAAGACGCACGACACTTAAAAGTCTGAGAAAACAGTCACTTTACTTGCATAAGACTGATATGGAGCTCTGTGTGGACCATGAGCCAGCATAGTCACTTTTTTCGTGGACTTTTTAATGCCGTGTGCCTTTTTGGATCATCAATGTGTCACGGCACACAGTTTGAGAGCCACTGATCTACATAAAAATTCAAAGTGATCTTAAATTCTTGATTATTCACTTGTACTAGTCACATTACATTTAAACATCCCAAACAACTGAATTCTACGAAATTCTTAGTATGCGGACATCTGCAAATTCTTTTGTGCCTTGAGTCATGCATAAAATTTTATTATTTACTTCCCAATTTTTCTTCTTTCGAATCAAATAAGCAAAAGATGGAATTTTGAGTTTTACTGAATCAGGTCATGCTTGGTACCCTCCCGAAAAAAAATGTTCATTGTCAACTGCTAGTCATTGTCTGTCAACAAACCTGATCCTGGACGAGCAACACCTTTTTTTGACACAAAGTTAAAATAATAACAAGTAATAAAAACACTTAAAATAAATACAATTAAATAAATAAAATTGGGATCCATAAATTATTTTGGATTAAAACTGATTTAATCACTTTTGTATTCAACGTTCAATTGTGGACTGGCACGAAATTATTGAGAAAATGCAGGAAAGTAATATTTACAAAAAAATTAGAAAAAAAATCTTCTTTTTTTGCGAGAGGGTTTGAAGTCAAAACTACTTCACTAGTAACCAAAATCATCCATTGGCCTTCCCCTTGCTAAGGACACACTCCTTCCCAATCACACCTGCCTTTAAAACTTCGTTGCCAGATCCAGTGCTTCATCATAACTAGGAAGATCATCAACTTTATGAGCTGATCCACGTGGTGGATGTTGGACAACATTTGAGCAATTTGGAATGCTTGATGTAAAAGTTGGATTCGACACTTGCTGCTCATATGGTAATGGTACTGAATATGTTGATTCTACATTTGCTGGAAGATATCTGTGGATTGATTAATAATTTTGATTCCCATCAAGTTGTTATCCCCTTAGTCAATAGCTTTACATACCGAATAATTGGTTGTCGATGCTCTCCAGACACATCAACAGGCACACAATAATAAAGTACAGGAACTCCAGTTTCAACATTCTCTTGAGGTCGTCCTGAATTCCTTGAATTTTCAGCTGTTCTTTGTAAACTTCGTTCTAATCTTGTTGCCATTTGCTGGAGCTCCGTAGGACGGGGTTGTGAGTTCCCCTCTATTTTGAGTTGAATTAAAAAAAATCATAATTAATGAAATTAAATTAAATTTGATTCCTTTTGGTATGACACGAACTGCACCTATCTTCAATGAACATACAAAGACGCATTAAACCGAGAATCATGCAAGCTAGCAAAATTGGAACTACAATAAAAAATAATACAAGAACTAAAGTCTCCCAATACATTGAACACTGATCAACTGCAACTTAAATCTTAAACTGAAGCAGTCAGGAATTTAAAATATTTAAAATTCGATTGTTTAAACAAGCCAGAAAATGTGCAGAGTTCCACGAAAATTTTAGTATAAACAAAACAAAACAATGACTGCCAAACTTTGTTACGCGACACACTAATCCAGTGTTTCTCAAACTTTTAGGTCACCACACTGGCAACCACTTTTGACACATCTAGGATTTTTTTTGCAAAACAGTAAAGTTCCGTGTAACATAGTTTGAGAAGCACTGGTACAACAGCTGACGCTTGGGTTCATTCAATACAATGTCCTTATTTACCTATCATTTTGCCGCAATACGAACAGCACTTTTTCACAACACGAATCACTAGATAAATTATTGAAGCAATTAAACAAGGAATCACTGCAAATACGATAAAAAATATAGCCAACTCTGCCATAGCCATTAATATCTGATTGTCTGGAAATACAGTCTTGAACTGAAAATAATTAGATTGAGAACAAACAAAAAATACAGAGAAGATTGAATCCAGGAGATGACGTTTCAAAAGAAAGTGCTGAAAAATATCAAACACAGGATAAACATTTGCGAATTCCTATGGGGTCGTTCATGTATGACGTCCAAAAGGGGTCAGCAAGAACAGAACAATAGAAATTCCTAGAAATTCTAGAAAAGTAATGTTTATAAATTTTTTGGGGTTCATTGAATTATGACGTCAAATTTTAAAATAAACTACTTTAGTCTGCTTTTTTGGCAATATATCTTGGAATCTAAGGCTACGCCCCATCTCTATCACATCGTATCCCATCATCCATCTACGATAGATCATAAAAGTATTTTTTTAAAAAATCGAAAATATTCTTTTTTATTTTAAAATGAGATCAAAATTGTTACAAAGCAGTTTCGGTTGGTTCAAGTCATTCTCTAATGACGATCTATGATTAGCGATGGAAGCCAAAATTCTATTTATCAAGCATGTCACAAATGTGTCAGATCTTATGAGTCTTTTATGCTCTAAATTCCAGTCATTGACATTCTTATCGCCTCTTCATAACTTGGAGGATCGTCTGAATGTTGAACATTGTGGAATGCTGAATGTTGAGGTATTGTTGATGAACATGAACACTGCGATGATCCTGCAGGTAAAAGTTGTCTTTCTGGGCTCGTTGGAGTTACTCTAAAACATAAGAATTCAAGAAATTCAAATTCGTTTTTGAATAATAATTGAATTAGTTGAGGGGAGCCATTCAGGGCTTCTTAAGGTTGCCTAAGGAATCCTTTGGGTAACCAAGAAACTCCAAAGTTACTAAAGAATCATTACAGATTTCCAAAGAACCTTAAAGCTACTCCGAATAACACAAGTCGGTTAATCGAATAGAAATTCGGCTCCAAGCCGGTGCTGGGCCTAAGTTTTATGCCAGAGTAATGCCTGTTTGGTGCCAGAATATTTTTGATTAGCTGACTTGTGTTATTTGAGTGCCTAAAGTTAAAAAATCAAGTCAAGGAAAGACTTTATAAAAATTGATTGAAACTGTTTCTAGGATAGGGTATGCTAGGTAGCACTGTTGGCTGACGAGAGCTAGTTAAAGACCTAGTCTGCCTTCCTTGGTATCTAAGTCAACCCAATAAAGCTACAATCTCATCAAATTTGTATTCATTAACTCAAAAATCCAACTTACAACGGAAGTTCTTGCGGCAGTAATTGTAAAATATTTATGTCATCCTCCAGCTGCTCAGGATAGTCAGTCATCAATGGTGGACTCGATTCTCTAAGCACTGAAAATATTAGCAATTTAAATGACAACAGAAAATCAATAAAATCCAAAAAATCGTCACCTGTTGGCTCATTTTCATACTTTCCATCGACTAAATATTTATAATTAATTCTACAACATGCTTGACATGCCTTGATGATATAGAAAAGAACTGCAAACAAGATGAATGAAAACACAAGAAAAACTAGTATTTTGTAAAGTAAATCGTCCTCCATTTTTGATTAAATTGTTGATGGAAAAATTAATGCTAGTGAAACTAAGGAAAACACGCAATATTGTGAAAAATTTTCGGAATTTCCCGAGAGAAAATGAGCGGAAAAAATCGGAAAATTCTCTGTTTATATAGAAAAAAATGCGGAGAAAATTCTCAAAATATAGTTTTTATTACTTAAGGTTTTTGTACATTTTATACAAAAAATAATTCTGTACATAAACTCAAAGCATTAAGGCGAAAAAAGTATTAAATTAAATTCGAGGGTTTCTAGGGCTCCTTAGTCTCAGACAGGCGCGTAGCCAGGGACCTTCGTCTTGAGAAATTTCTTCATTTTGCTAGAGTTTTTATGGAAAACTCGAAAAATCCCCCCCCCCCCCCCTAAAAGTTTTCTATACAACCCCCCCCCCCCTTTTTTAAATTCCTGGCAATGACCCTGGTCTCAGATCAATCTTACATTGAAGTACATCAGATTTTATTCATTAGTGTAAGGTTCTTCGGATAGCCAAGAGAACTGACCTCTATGGTGAGTTCCTGCGTACACACCAAAACCTACACCTAACCTAAAATTACCATTTAAAGATGCAAGCTCAGGTTTAGCTCAAAGAACCCACTCCTAAGCTATATTCCTTAAAATTTAAACTAGTGAGTTAAATGTCGTTCAAAAACATACAAATAGGAACTAAAAGTTGCATCAGACAGTCTATTCAGCCCTTGTAGACCTTCATAACCTCAAAATCCCCTAAATCAACAACTCTTAACCTTAGTTCATTAAATAAATGCAATCTTTAAGCATGATTCCCTATCAAATCTACACCTTCTTCTGTTCTTTCGAGAAATTAGTCATTGCCTCATCATAATTAGGCGGTACATCCAAATCTTCTGATGAATAGTTTGTTGGATATGGCGCAGATGGTGGAGGAGCTGATGGCTGATGCATATTTGGCCCATGTGGTGAATTTGATCTAATTTGTGGTGAGTTTGATCTAATTTGTGGTGAATATGATGTTGCTGGTGGATATGGCATATTTGATGGAAGTGGCATTTGTTGTGGATTGTAGGCTGGTTGTGATGAGTATTGAGATTGTGGTGGGTACGAACTTTGTGGTGGATACGAACTTTGTGGTGGGTATGAACCCGTTGGTGGATATGAAGCTTGTGGTGGATATGGACGTGATGTATTCTTTGGAGAGTGTCTGTGAATATTTTTAGTTTAAATTCTGATCAATTTTTCTAATGAAAACTTACGGTGCGCTTGATCCAGTAACCACTAAGCCTCCTGGTGGGTACGATGTAGGAGTAAATTGACCAGGCGGTCTTGAGTTTTGGTTCAAAACTGTTTGTGGTCGGGTTGATCCAGGCGCTTGATGCGATTGTGATGTGACAACGATCGGTGCTGAGTAAGCTGATAAAGAGATATTTGATTAATTATGGTTTATGATGGGAGGGTGATTGGCTGGGGTGCAGAAAGGATTATCAATGACCTAAAGAAGCGTCATAACTTTGCTATGTCCCTGGTCGTTCAATAAATAGATGACAGGCCATCTGAATCATACAACTTTAATTATAGTTTAATTTTTAACAATTTTACCAAAACTTGACCAAGCTTTAAACCAAAAACCAGAATGTATAGCCAAAATTGAACAGCAGATGTCCATCTTATGCTTGATCAGTACAAGCCGAAGAAAAAAAAATCAAAAAATAAAAATAAAATTTTCAACATTTTCTTATCTCACAAACCTGGCACAGCATCATCATGACAAATACTTTCGCAGCACTTTGCACAAAGTACGAAAATCATCAGAAAAACCATTGCAAAAGCAAAAATGGCCAGAGAATCTCCACTCATTTTATGGCTCTTTAATTTGAATTTCTTGAAAGTTGCCGAAAAAAATAAATTTTTTACTTTTGTTCTGTCAAAAATACAACCAAAGACTGAAACGCACAACACAATAAAGAATGATTTTTATGTTGGAAATGAGAGAAAAATTTGAGAAAAGAGAATAAAAAGTCCAAATTGATCGCACATTTCCGTCGATGTTACAAAAAAGTGTGTAAGTAGTTGTGACTGGATATTGTAAAAAGTCTTGTATGTTGTGTGCTGCGAATTCTCAAATTTTTTATTTCATTCATATTTTTTTTTTCTAATTTTGTGATTATCTGAATATTTATTTTGTGCTTAAAAATAGAATTTAGTTTGGCACTTTTGTGTTATTATACAGCTCCGGTTACACATACAAGCAGACAGCCATTAACAACAGCTGACTAGTCGCGGGTAACAAAGACAGTCGAGTGATTAACATTCTAAATCAACGCGATCTTACAAACCTTGAGCAGAATCATCATCAGAACAAATTTTAAAACATAATATGCAGCCTCTAATAAAAGCTATGCAAGCTATTACAAGCATCAGCGGTGCAAACTCATTGCTCATTTTTAAAAAAATCTTTTCACTGAATGCTTTACGACTGTTCAGGACACAAATAAAGACTGAGTAAAATTGCGCATTTTTTAACAATTTTCAAACATGAAAATAATGAGAATAAGAGAGCAAGTTCACAAATGGATAGGAGGTTTACCGAAAAATTGGAAGATATTTCTCAAAAGTTGTGAATTCTCATTGATATTCTCACAGCTAGCCATCGTCGGCACCACTTTTGTATGTTGTCAAATTTTAACTCAATCTGGCTAGAAATTCATCAGAAAAGCTCAAATCAGTTAATCGATTAGAAATCCGATGACAAGCTAGTGTGACTATTTAAATTGATTTCAGCGTCATGCCAGAGTCAAGCCGACTTGGTTTCGGATTTCTGATCGATTAACAGACTTGTGATTTTTTGGATCAAATTCAATTGATTCCAGTAAATGTCAAAGCTCGGTTCTGAGTCAAATAAAAGAAAATTTTGCGCCGGTTTTTAGCTATTTTTCACCGACATCAGCTGCTGCATCTCCCTGACGCTTTATTTTACTAAGCAAACCAGCAATAGCAATAGAAGTGACCAGAGATGTAGCTACAGGCAATAAACCAACATGACAGCTACTAAGCCAGCAACAACACACAAGATTAGCACAAGTCGGTTAATCGAATAGAAATCTAGCAACAAGCTGGCAAGACTCATCGATTCAAATCCAGCACCATGCCCGAGTAACATTTGATTAGTGTCGGATTTCTTATCGATTAACCGACTTTTGCTAATCGGGTATGTTGGTGGCTTGGAAGCTCTCTTGTTGGTTTATTGCCTGGAGCTACATTTCCGGTCTCTTCTAATGCTATTTTTGGTTTGTTTATTAAGATAAGGCGTCGAAGCGATGCAGAAGCTACATTTCAAGATATATACAACATGACCTTACAAACCTGGAACTTCATCATTGTTGAAAATATAACTTTTTAAGCAACTTATAAAAATGACTAAAATAACTACTACAACAACTAGAATGATTATATCACTCATTATTAAAGCTTTTTGAATTTTGTCAAGTAAATTTCCTTTCCGACTGCTTTAGACATAAACAGAGACTGAATAAATATTACGCATTTAATGTAAAAATGAGAATTAAAGTCACACATGAATGACGTCACTAAAACAAGAAGCACCAAATTAAGTGAGCTGCTTGTAAATGCCGGCAAGTTGTTTGTGTATTGTGCTAAATATAAAATATTTTTTTTTGGGAATTTTTTCTCTCATTTTTGAGAATTTTATCTCTGTTGCGGATCATTTCAATGTGATTGAAAGTCGAATATGGATTTTACGAATACATTCAGGAACTGAAGAAGAAATATTGCCAAAAAATAATAGTTTATAATTGCTGAATTGTAACCTAAGCGTTAGCCTTACGTGCCAAAGGTTCTGGAGGTCTTGAATTCAATCTCAGTACAAGTCAAGCTCTTCTTCTATTTAACCGTTCTAGTTAAGACCAGCATCTGGATGACTTCCTAACAGCATCTTGAGCACACAAATTGTGACTTGATACATTGCATTGTACATCAGGTCTTTCTACGTACTCGTGTCTTTACAACGTGCAGAGCTTGCAAATACTTCAGATTCCACTATAAACTGAAGGTCTAAAGGGTGTGGGACAATAGATTCTGTTCTATTTTGGTCCCAAACATTTCATTTAGTCATCCCATTCTCATAATTCCAACACAGCATAAGTGAATGACCGAAGTAAATGTTTTTTACAATTTTCTTATTGAATTATTTGTTGTTTTTTTTCTGTCGTAGAACAGCATGTAAAGTGGCGCCAGAATGTCTCAAGGTCGATCATGTCGAGCCTCTTAGACTCGCTTCTGCGCATTGTGTCTGTATATTTTTGGAACTTCTCAAGTCAAATAATATTTATTGTTTGTTTTATTAACAAAAACTTTCGGAACACATTCGATAGTAAAAACACTTAATTAATAATTAAAAATTTGATATTCTAAAAATTATTTCTTATGTCCATAAAGTCCATCCATCACATCATTATAGCTTGGAAGATCATCATTGTCCTTAGTTTGGTTTTTAGGGGGCGCTGTGGGTCGTGGTGATGATGATCTAGCTGCTGATGGTTGAGGTGCCGATGGCTGAGATGTTGTCGACCGAGGAGATGACACAAATGTTGTGGATGTCTGATAAGTTCGAGTATTTCCATTTGAATGAGATTGCGATGTTCTTGATGAGTCATTAAATTGAGTAAAAAAGTTTTGAAACATTTCTTGCGTTGGCTCATCAATTTCGATTCTTATATTTTGATTATTGGTTCCAGTGAAGGTTATGGTTTCAGGATTTGTGGTTTCTGGAAGTGATTAATAAGATAGAATGTTTATAGATTTACAGTTTTGATGAGAATGATGAACATTGGTCGAGAATGAGACTTCAAAAGACTGTAGAAAGTGAAGACTAAATATAAAAAATTTTGGACTCACTGCTAACTTCCTCCCGAGCCTTCCTAGCTTCCAGATAACAATAAAGATCTCATTTACCTGATTCCTTGTCATCACAAAATCCGAGATATTTTTGCATAAAGACAAAAATTACAGAAAAATGATAACAAGCAGAATTGTGAATATAACAAAAACAGGAACTCCTCTTTCTTTTTCCATCGCTAAAATAAACCTTTTGAAGATTATTTTCTTTCGCTGTTGATCTATGAATTGCTCCTGAGGCAAAAAAGAGTTACTTTTCTTTAAATTTTTGAGTTTTTCTCTCTCAATTCTCACTAATTGATCATTTAATTTGACATTGACTTTCAATAAGGTTTCAGGTGGCAGGTTTAAGTGGTCCAAAGAAGTGCTATTGACTTCTTACTATACAAAACTGACAAGATTCAGTCTTAATCAAGAAAATAGACATAAAATGAATTCAAACCTGTTTCTTCCTCGTAGCAACACTCGAGATAAATTTTAAAGACTGTCCAAACAACCGCAAGGATAATAACAAGTGTGATGATGATTATGACATAAACTGGAAGTTCCTTCTCTTGAACCATAATTTACAAACTAGTTAAACCTAAAATTAACACTAAAATGCTCTTACTTCCTTCGTTGATCTCTTATTCATTACTGATAGAAATAATTTTGAGTAACTGTGAGCATTTTGTGTATTGAACTGTCTTGTTCTCTCATTTGCTCTCTCAAAAAGGTTCTCACAAGCTATTCAAGAGTCAAAAGTATGCTTTAATATAGCACATTGCTTTATTATTATAAAAATTTGTACATTTGTAAAGAAAATCATTTAATACATCAAGTCGAAGCATTTGGATCCAAAAAAGTACTTAATGGTATTGGAAGAGAGTCATTGGTCCATTCCTCTGCTCTTCTGCTCCAACCTATACTACCCATGTTCATCAATTCTGTCTTAACCTTAGTTCAATCAATAAATGCCAGTTTTAAGTATATTCCTTATCAAATCTACATCTTCTTTTGTTCATTTAAGTATGTTGTCATTGCTGCATCATAATTGGGCGGGACATCCATCTGCTGTGATGAATTGTTTGTTGGATATGGCGCAGAGGGTGGTGGAGCTGAAGGCTGTTGCATGTTCTGTCCTTGAGGTAAATTCGATTCAATTTGTGGTAGATATGATGTTGCTGGTGGATATGGCATGTTTGATGGAAGTGGCATTTGTTGTGGATTGTAGGCTGGTTGTGATGAGTATTGAGATTGTGGTGGGTAAGAAGCTTGTGGTGGGTATGAAGCTTGTGGCGGGTATGAAGCTTGTGGTGGGTAAGAAGCTTCTGGTGGGTATGAAGCTTGTTGTGGGTATGAAGCTTGTGGTGGATAAGAAGCTTGTGGTGGGTATGAAGCTTGTGGTGGGTAAGAAGCTTCGGGTGAGTATGAAGCTTGTGGTGGGTATGAAGCTTGTGGTGGGTATGAAGCTTGTGGTGGGTATGAAGCTTGTGGTGGGTATGAAGCTTGTGGTGGGTATGAAGCTTCTGGTGGGTATGAAGCTTCTGGTGGGTATGAAGCTTGTGGCGGGTATGAAGCTTGTGGTGGGTAAGAAGCTTCTGGTGGGTATGAAGCTTGTGTAGGGTATGCAGCTTGTGGTAGGTAAGAAGCTTCTGGTGGGTATGAAGCTTGTTGTGGGTATGAAGCTTGTGGTGGATAAGAAGCTTGTGGTGGGTAAGAAGCTTCGGGTGAGTATGAAGCTTGTGGTGAGTATGAAGCTTGTGGTGGGTATGAAGCTTGTGGAGGATAAGGTCTTGATGCATTCATTGGATGGTACCTGAAAATAATTTGAATTAAATTATGAAAAATTTTATTGCTCAAAACTTACGGTGAGCTTGATCCAGTAACCACTAATCCTCCTGGTGGATACGACACAGGAGTAAATTGTCCAGGCGGTCTTGAGTTTTGGTTGAGAATTGTTGTTGTTCTAATTGAACCAGGCGCTTGATGTGTTTGTGATGTTACGATGACTGGCGCTGAGTAAACTGAATTTAAAATAATGTTAAAAATGAGAGTTGGAGTTCTTATCAAGACTTCCTCAAATGAGAGAAATTTGAATTTTATGAAAATTTAAAACTTAACATACCTGCACCAGGCTCGCTTCTGCACAAAACTTTAAAACATTTCCCACAAATGACACAAAGTGATACGATAGTGCATACAACAATAAACAATGCAATCGGTTCTCCCATAATATACAATTGTTTTACAATTTATCAACAACAAAAAGAAGCCACACTCGAATGTTGCTCTTTTTTTTACTTTTGGACTGTCAAGAACACAACCAAAGGCTGAAATGCATAACACACAAACTAAATGAGCAAAAAAGAGCGAGTAAAATTCACACATGGAGTGTGACGTCATCAAAGTTAAGAGAGATAAAATATTTGTGGATTTTCTCTTAATTTTCTAATCAGTTTAATGGCAGTGATGGCAAACCCATGTGCCGTGGAACCAAGTTTCTTCTCCTCATCTAATTTCAGCTCTAAAAAGCGGAAAAGACCAAATTTTCAAGCATTTTCCAAGAAAAAATGGTTCAAAAAATAGGGACTTTCCCGGTCAAAAGATCGCAGCTGAACAGGCTTATAATCATTCACAACCAAGCAAAAGACTTGATGAGGATCACTTAAAATATTTTACTTTATTCTTACCAGTTTCCTAATCAACACAAAACTCAAGACTCAATAATAACAAATGTGATAAAAACTATATCAAATTTCGAACTTTCTCCGCAGTGAGCATTTTGTGTATTGAGCTGTCTTATTCTCTCATTCGCTCTCTCATAATAGTTCTCACGTGTTCATGTAGAGTCAAAAAAAGTTAATTTGCTTGATTTCAAGGTCTTTGAATAAATTTATACACATTTTTCACGCACATTACAGAAGTTCCTTGACTGAAGGAAAATTAAGCATTTTTATTGATTTTTGCGTAGTTTTTCATGGCACACCTTGAAGTAAGGATCGTTTTCACTCATTGTGGAGCTTAAATTATGTCTTGCTAGGCATTAACAGGCATAACGCTGGATTCGAAGGAAGGAAAATTAATCTTTTAATCAACCATCGGGTCACAAAAGCACTTGCTACACTTCAAGACATTTTTCTTCCTGAAAACATGTTTTAGGGGTGTGAAACTACGTTATGATCAAGGGTGTGAAGCTACGTTGATCGGATAATTAACGGTTACTTTTTGAATAGACATTTGAGAGTGTAAAGTCCAATAAAAGGATTTATTATTTTAAAATAAATTTAAACTAGATGTCACTGGCATGAACCCTGCCAGGGGTACCCAATATCCAACCAAACTTCACTCAAAACAATCTCTTGATTCTCAAAATCAAACTTAACATAATTGCACTTTTATTCACAGAATTGAACACAATTTATTTTTTAAAAAAACATCACACGAAGTCTTGCTTATCATTAGCTTTTGGTACACGATGAGTTTTGACTTTGTTGACGAGCCATTTCTGCAATGGCTTCATCATAACTAGGCAGACTTTCAGTTTCCTCTGGAATGTCTATAAGCGAATGATGTGAGTATATTCCTGATGATAGGAGGGACACTTGTGAATTTATTGATGATCTGCGATCGTTTCTGGAAGGAAATTTTATAAAGGATTAGATTAGTGCTTATAGGTTGTGTCTAATGGGTGTTCAGACAGAGCCAAGAGCCAAGGGTTGACACGATTTCATCTTTTCATATAAAAAATTCATCTTTTTTCATCTTTTCATACAAATTTTGTATGGAGATGAAAGAAAATTCATCAAGATGAAATCGTGTCAACGCCTGGGCGATGAGTTTGGAACTGGCCTGGTTTCAAGAGGGCTACCTTAGCCACGCTCTCTGAGTTTCAAATTAATTTTTATTTATATCCTTTATTGTAGTACATCGAATTGAATTTTTACCTTAGGGTGCCTTGGATAGTCCTAGAAACCGGGCCTTAATCAAATTGTTCAAAAAAAATCGACTTCGAGCTAGGCTTAGGAGGACAATAAAAGATTCAGCGAGCAGTCATAGCTCTTTCAAAATCAGCACCAGAAGTTCGAAAGGTAAAAAACAATTAAACCCTCGCAACTCTTTTAATCTCAAAATAATGACCTACTAATCTATTAATTCAATTTGAATCCGAGTGCGGCACTGATGAAAGTATCAAAATGTAATTTATCAGTTCTGCACCCTTGGTTCAAATCGTGTAGAACTGAACCATTACATTTTGATAATTTTTTGATCTTTTTTGATCATTTTTGATCATTTTTGATCATTTTTTGATCTTTTTTGATCATATCATCACTACCACACCCTTGGTTCAAACCAAAGCTCAAAGCAAACTTAGTTAAGTCGACTTTGAATCGACTCGAATTAACTTGAAGCTATAGGCCAGTTTCTAGAGCTCCCAATATCCACTATGGATGGACTGAAATTCAATGTCTTTTTAAATGAGCGATGAGACTAAAGTAGGATGCTCTGGGTTGCCAGGTTTGAAGCCCTTTGAAAAAAACAGCAAATACTTACTGGAGACTAAGTTGAGATACATTAAGTGGACGACTAATGAACAAGCTGTCATCATAACTAGGCAGTCGATCTCTGATAGGTTCAACTATAATACCGAAATTTCTGGAGGATATTTGATGAATTACTGGAATATCTGCAATAAAGTCCAATTAATAATCATTAAAATTTGTTTAAAATTTGTCAAAATTGAGCAGAAATTTCCATATTTGACAGTCATGGAGTCCCGTTAATGACATAGCAGAGATTTAAAGCCACACTGTCACTAGGAACCGGAAGTTTAGCATCAATATTAATCAATTCAAGGTGAAATCTCCAAAATATCTCAAAAACCACACACACAGACACACACACACACCTGTTGAATCTTCATCACATTTTGAACAGCAATAAAATTTAAAAAATATTGGAGCAATTATACCAAAAATAATAAAAATTAACACAATTAAATCCATAAATACTAATTTTTAACTAATATTTATCAAAGCCTAAGCTGATTCATTGCTTATTAAATACTAGACTTTACTACAAACTTCAAGATTGTAAACAAAAACATCACAAGTGTGTCGAGATCTGAGAGAGTAAAACACGATAAACGTCATTGAATGTTGAGAGATAAAAATGTATTTACTGGCTTTTTTGTTTATGAGCGCGTATAATTAAGAAAATGTCATCGGTTGTGAATTTGCATTTTTTTTTTGAGTGACGCAAAAAAAAACTTTTGGTCAAATTTCCATTAAAAATCTTCAAAATGATCTCAAAAATCCCAATTCAAACTTCTAAATCCACAACAATCACATCACTTGACCCATAAACCCACAAAGCACTTGACACTAACCTCCTGAATCTTCATCAATATCATAATCAGGTCTACAATAATACCTGCACCAAAAATATATTGTCAATCCAATCAGAAACAGAAATAAATTTGCAGAATCCATGACTAAAATTATTTTAAAGTTCAGCTACGCTACAATTTTACTTAAATGTCAATGAGTTTGTCTCTTGTTTTAGTATTTTTAAGTAATACATTCTCCAAATTTGTTCTCAGCGACGGAGAGATAAAGAAAATGTGAGGAGCAGTGCTCAATTTTTAAGAATGAGAGGAAAATAGATGCAAAGATATTGAAGATTGGGGCAAAGTAGCGCGTTTTGATGTCAATTAAGGTTTGTTGAACTAGGATGTTGACTTACAGTTCAGGTTAACTGAGGTTAGATCAAGGTATTCAGCTCAGGTTAGCAAAACTAGGTTCAAGGCCTAAAGTTCAGCTTCAGCTTTAGTTTATCTACAGTTCAGCTGCAGTTAAGCTTAAGCTTCATGGTTAGCTTTAGTTAAGCTTCAGTTTGAGTTCAAATGCAGTTCAGATTTATTTGATCAGCTTTAGTTCAGCTTGAGAACCAGCTTCAGTTCAGCTTAAAGATCAGCTTCAGTTCAGCTTGAGAATTAGCTTCAGTTAAGCTTTAAGATCAGCTTTAGTTCTGCTTTAGGATTGGTTTTTGTTTAGTTTAAGTTTAGTTCCGGATCAGTTTAGACACAGCCTTAGATAAGGATCAGTTTTAGTTCAGCATGAGTTCAGTTTAAGAATCAGCTTCAGTTCAGCTTAAGGATCAGTTCAGTTCAGTTGCAGATGCAGTTCAGTTTAAGAACTAGCTTCATTTCAGCTTAATGATTAGTTTCAACTCAATTTTTGTTCAGCTTCAGTTCAGCTTAAGGATCAACTTCAGTTGCGCTGCAGAATCAGCTTCAATTTAGTTTAAGGATAAGCTTCAGTTCAGCTTTAGCTCAGATATAAGATCAGTTTTAGTTCAGTTTAAGAATCAGTTTTAGTTCAGCTGCACAATCAGCTTCAGTTTAGCTTAAAGATCAGCTTAAGGATCAGCTTCGGTTGAGCTGTGGAATCAGCATCAGTTAAGCTTAAGGTTCAGCTTCAGTTTAGTTTTATCTCAGCTATAAGATCAGTTTCAGTTCAGCTTCAGCTTCAAAATCAGTTCAGCTTCCGATTCAGGTCAACAACAGCTTTGGCTTTAGTTCAAGCGTGCAAAAACGCTTTAATTGATCAAAACATGCTTCTCGCTTGTGCTCTATGTGATCGCTTAAAACTCTATTAATATAAAAGCAGCCTCTTCATTACTGCAAAAGTCTCTCTCGTAGCTTCTTGATCCTCTCTCCAAAATTTTTATTTTCGATAAATTCTCTGTTTACATTTATTTTTGGACAACTGATAACAAATTTTAATTTTTCATAAATTATTTTTCTAAATTTGGATGCATTTTTATTGCTGCTGCATAGTTGGGCGGTAGATCTAGTTGATCAGTTGAATTGTATGGCTCAGAATGTTGAGATCTTTGTAATGAATGTGAGAATGGAGGAGGATGTTCATGCTGTGTTAGATAAGGACATAATGGCGGGTATGGGCATTCTGAGTTGATTTGTGGATAGCTGCAAAAATTACAAGTGTTGGAAATTCATAGAAAATGATGAGCAACCTTGCAGCTCCTTGATTAAATCTGAAAAAAAAATTGACAACTCTACTCACGGTAATGACACTTGTGATCCATAAGGCATTGGCATTGGTATATGAGTTTGGGTATTTTGTGTTGGATTCTCTGCTTCATCTGAGACTGAATTGCGTGGTTGAAGCACCCGGGATGACATGAAACCTGCGGATTAATTTTTAATTTTAAAAAATCGATCCTTTCTTGCCGGAATTTCTCACTTGTTTGTTGTTCTTCTTTTTCGCATGCCTTTTTGCAGACATAAGCACAAGATTTGTAAATTACATAAACACCAACAAAAATTAAGACCCCGATGAATGTATCGTTCATTATTAATCTCAAAAAAATACTAACAATTCCGCAATGCAGAGCAAATTTTCTATAAAGAATCCATCTGATATCGACAACATCTGAAGGAAAACTGTGATCGGTAAAATAAAAAAAAAAAATTAGATATTTTCCACATTTAAACATCGAAAGAGTTTGATGACATTCTTTTTGACTGAACTCTCGCGACTCTCTCGATTGACACTGAGAGAACAGTAATAACTTAGTTCTATCGACTCTCATGAATTGATTAAGCTCAAAATGACTCAATATAAACTATTAACTCTTATTTAAATATTTTTATTACTTCCATGAAGACATTAAAAGCTATAATTAAAGGCAAAATGTAAAAAGGCTTGTTCACTTATGACGTCTAATATTTAAGGAGGTTAAGGAGAAGGGAAGGATTTTGTGCAAAAGAATGTAAATTTTGTGATAGAACGAGTCTAAGAATCTCTTTTTTAGATAGACGTCATTTATGAACAGCCCCTAATATCTTTTAAGTATTTCTATTGTAAATATCCCTTTGCATGTCAGCATATCAACCGAAAAGTGTTCAGCACAGATGTTCTGATGTCATTAATTCCATGATTTACTGCATTGTATCCTAATCGGGTTGAAGCATCAAAGGAGAATGTTGGAGAAACTATAAAGCACATTTGGGACTTTTTTGTATCAAAAAATATTGAGTTTGTCTTTCGAGCGATTAGTACTGATTTTAATACTTTAATGTAAATGCAAAGTTTTTCCATTTGTTGAGGTGATTCTGCTGTTATTGTCATTGTTACTGACGCCTTGTCATATGTACCATCGCTTCTTCATAGCTTGGAGGACAATCAAATTGTTCTGTGAGATTCCTTTCTGATTGTGGTGCTTGCTGGGCTGTAGGTGATTGTGTTGGTGCAGTAGGAGCTTGTGTTGCGTATGCTGGTCTACAAAAATTTGGGAATTTTTTATTAATTTCTACCAACCTAAATTTGGTAGAAAAAAACTGGATTTTTAGAACACCTCCGCTAACCCCCCCCACCTCTCCCCACCATTTCGAATACCACAAGTCAATTAGAAACCAGAATCCGGATTCAAATCACATCCAGCATCATGTCAAAATAATCCCGACCTGGTTGTGGACTTCCAATAGATTAACCAACTTGTGCTGTTCGGGTTGCTTAGTCTATAAGATTTGAAAATAAAACTTACGGCTGATTGGATTGCGTACCGCTAATAGCATATCCATTGGTATTATTATTAGTGTAAGACTGTGCATTTATTGTTGATGTAGTTATAATATAGCCTGGTCCACTTGGATGCTGATTTTGTGGTGAACTTGCAGCTACTTGAGCTGCTCGCAATCCGATCAATATCAAAATAAACAGCAATATTGAACTAAGTTAAATAAGAATCATTATAAAAGTAGTACAAACCTGCAGGATCCTCTTCAGAGTCAGTTTTACAACAAATTTTAAGGCAAATGTAAAATACTAAATAAATTACAATAAGAACAAATGCCGCTCCATCCATTGCCATGGTTTAATGTGGAATTGTGTCAAAAACTTTAACAATAAATTAAAAAATTTATAAAAAAATAATATTAAAGCTTCACCATTTTTTGAAATGAAAATAAAAACAAAACAGCCAAAATATTCTCAGTGAGAGGAAAATTGAGCAATAATTAGCGACTGTGAGAAACAAAAAGAGAGAATTATTGACTTAAAGTTGAGTGATTGTAAATGGAGAATGAAAATTGCGTGAGATGCGTAAGCTGACTTTAGCAAGTTTTTGGTCTCTGTCTGTCTGTTTGTTTGTATGTCTGTATGTTTGTCTGTATGTCTACCTGTATGTCTGTCTGTCTATCTAGCTATACAAGTCTTTACAAGTCTAAGTGTAAAGTGGGGCTTAAAATAGTTGCTGCCCACTCGTGATTTGAATCGATAGTCAAAGCATGAAAACTATCCCAAATATCCCAAAAATATTCAAAATAATATCTTTATTGAGTATATAAATTACATAATTAAGTATAAACCAAAATTTATTTAGACTGAGCCTCAATCATAATGTCTAAATTTATACTTTATCAGGACTATAAGGCTCCGAATAGAGTTCTTGCACATCAGAATTTGCCAGTGGTTCACAATAATCAACATTAATCGATTCTCTAATTTTTGGCAACGTTGCGTTGTTACGATTTGGGAGCTCTGGTGCATTTTCATCCTCTGGAATTTTGGAAACGTTACTTGACGAAGATTTCTGGACTTTATGATTCTTGCTATCTTTTAAATTTAATTGAAATGCAGTTGTTGACTTGAGTGTTCCTGAATTTGAATTATTTTGAATTACGTCAGGCATGATTGGTGACGTTTGAGGACTTTCTGATGACATATTGATGCTCCCAGGTAAGCTTGGCGACTGTGGATCAAAAGTAAATGATGGTTGATCCCAACTTACAGATCCCGGTGACTTTATTGGAACTTGACGAGAGCGAGCAGATCTAAAATACATTTTTGGCGACTTCTTATTTTTGGATTTTGGCAAAGAACCATTAATGGCTGGAAAATCAAATGTATTGTTATCCTTTGGAGTCACAACATTAAGCTTTTCATTAAGATTTTTCATAAAACTTGACTTTTGCAAGTTTGGAATGTTCTTAGGTCTTTTAAATGATTCTGTGCTTGATTGAGTTGAATCAATTTGAATCTTAGGCACCTGAGGCTGACTTATTTTGGCATCTTGATCTATCTGTGATTTAGATTGGCTTATATTTGTATATATTACTGTCTTTTTGCCAATTTCTCCAGTTTTGATGGATCTTTGTGTCGACGAATCATAATTTGATGAGATATTTAATGATTCAGGCTGTTTTGAAGGACTTAGATCATTGATTGATTGTGTCATTAGAGTTTTTGATGAAGTCACTGCTTCTGATGGCTTTTGACTGAGTGTTTGAGGATAGTTTTCATAAATTGTGCCAATTTTTGCTGAAATGAAAGAATTTTTTTAATATTTTGACATGTTTTGGTCTGTCGTGGACGTCTAGATGTGCATTGGTACCATAACAAGATACTTATATGCTTAAGTGATGAAATCATCTTAGTATAATGACGCAAGACATTACTGGACACATGACAGCGGTCCTTTGGCCTGTTCTTAGTAAAAATGATCTACCTCGGGTAAGTAAGGGCATCTTAGGGCTCCTAATCTTCCAAAACTAAAAGATTCTTGAATATTCTATACTTTTAAAGGCATCTCAATGTATTAAACCTTGCTTTAGGTATCCCACTTTATCCAGGACCTCTTAAAAAATCTACCGTACCTTCTTGAAGCTTCTTACGAGTGCGATATATTATGAACCTTAGAACTTCCCGCATAGCCCTTTAAACAGTTGATAAAAGTTTCTTGACTTACCTTGTCCAACACTTTCAGCTAAAGCGATTCCTTTAAAAAAATTCGCATACTCAGCTGATCCTTGTCCACCATTTTGGTTCCCTTTTCCAACATCCTGAATATTCAAAGTTGAGGAATCACCTAGCTCAACTAAATCGTGAGTTGACCGACCAAATGGATAATTTTGATATTTTACATCCGAACCGTCACTAAGTTGTCCACAATTAATATAGTTTGGTGCTTGATGTGAAGGATTGACTTCAGAATTCTGATAATTTGTGCTATTTTGCTGTCTCTTGTGGATGTCTTCCTTTGTAAACAGAATTGGATCAGCATATTCACTATAAACATTCTCAGGCAATTCATCTTCAGCATTTATCGATTGATTTTCGTTCATTATGTTCAAATTACTTGCATTTAATCTGACTGGATAGTCGTCAAGTCCACCGACTGTTGATGAGAAAAAAATGCTCGAGGTTTCTTCAAACATGTCAATTTTTTCAGTTACTTTACTGTGGAATCGTTGACTCGATGACTTTTGGCAGTTCTTACGAATTATGTAAAGAATCAATGCAGCAATAACAAAGCATAATGTTATGATTGTTATAGCTTGTAAACTTATCATTTTTGTTCGCAATTCCTTAACTTCTATCGATAGTCTGAATTTTTCACTTTTTTCCTTCTCAATTGTTTTATTAGCTTGACTCAACTGGAGAAAACAGTCATTCATGCACAAAGTTTTGAGTTTAGTCATTCCATTTTTGATTGCGTGCTGATTGGCGAATGTATTTTGTGATGCACACTTATTATAAAGGATGTTGAGATATGAGAGATTTAAGAGTGACTCAAACACTGTAGAATGTATTGCGATGATTTGGTTGGAACTTATGTCGAAATATTTAAGTTTGAGGTTATGTTGAAGTAGGTCCTTTTCGAGATATATGAGATGATTGTCACTAAGGTCGAGAACTTCCAATGATTTGTAGATTTTTAAGTCATTTGATGTGATTTGCTTTAAGGTTGAGTGTTTGACAATCAAGATTCGAATTATTTCTGCTAGGTTTATTGGACCTAAGGAAGGAAGATATGAAATTTGTTTATTCTTGAATCCTACACCATCAATAGCGTTGTTGGTTCCTATAGCAACTGGAAAGTTCTGCTTATCAATTCTGACTGCTGTGGTTACTTTGCAGTAAGTAAAGTTTCCAACATTATCAAACTCCTTAGTAGTTTTATGGCAAATAAGAACATCCGGGTCAATACAATTTGATGCGCAGATAAGAAAAATCAGTCCAAAAATTATTGAAATTCTGTGAATATAAAAACTAGCGATCAATTGGATTTAAAAGTATTTAATTAAGAACTTACAAGTTGAGCTTCATGACTATATTTCATTAGCTTATACATTATCTATCTACAGCTAATACTCTAAAATAAAATAGAAATAAAAACTAGAGTTTGCAGGCACGGAGTCAGGGGGACTTGCGAGGTGACTAACCTCATTTTGGAAATTTCTCTGAACGGTTAACGATTTTTGACACTGACTACATCCCTGGATGAGACAAAATATTATCATTTAAAAAGCAAGCTACTCCACATCATGCATTAGTCTCTTGATGTTAGTATAACCACAAATCGGTATCATCAAACTTCCTTTTATGACTATTTTGATTTTCAAAAATAAATAATGTTCATTAAATATCCAAATATGGTAATAAGTGGCTGATGAGAATACTTACTTACTTCCTCAGCTGGGTCGCAAGTGGGCCCATTGCCACGCTTAGAGAACGTTTAAACACACTTTAGACACCTTCTACCAGTTCGGGATATTCAGACTCTAGCATCATTTTCAACTCAACCAATCCAAGAGTTCTTTTGTCTTTCTTTTGCTCTCTTTCACTGATTAGAATTCAATTAGTGTATTTGAACGAAGGGTTCAACGAATTAGATTTGGACCGACGATAGAAGGAGACTTGTACAATAGCAGAAACAACGCAAAATTATATCCGCTTTTCAGTGAAACTATTATCTTACGATAAATCAGAATTAACAGGCTCTGTTGCGCTGGACACGTTGAACTTTTTATTAATAAAGTCTTTAAGAATGTATTTGTAGATGGCAAAAGATCACGCTGGCGTCTGAAGAACTCATAGAAAGAAGCTGTTGATAGAGAAAGTATTCCTCTTGATAATAGTAATTGGCAATCGAGAGCCAGCGATAGAGCTAGCTTCAGGCGCCATCTAAGTGAGCTCATGAATCACAATTGATGAGCACGGTCAACAACGTCTGGCTCGGATGACACTCAGCATGGAAAAGTCAGTTTGAGCTCCGTTGCTGCTCCAAGTTGGCTTAAAGACAGTATTTTCTACAAATGAAGACTAAGCTTGGCATTAGATTGAGTATGGTTGGATGGGGGGTGCATAAACTATGGTAATAACATCTCAACTTAGTAAAAACCACAAACATTTAATACCCTTCCTGTATTTAGTCATCATATGAGCTCGAAATCGATGAAATTTTGTATGCAGTCGAGTCGACTCAACCAGATAAAATCGATAAAAATCTCAAGTCAACTTCGAGCTCTGAACATCATAATTGTAACATATTTTATTGAACCTTCTTAAAAATAGCCCAGCTAACCCAACACAAATTCACCAAAAAACCTACAGTTGTGATCAGCATCAAAATCCAAATTCCTATCCTGTTCATCTCCAATTTAACCTTAAAAACATCCAAAAAACTAAAACTTTTTTTAATTTTGACTGGCTCATTGATCAGTGTCAAAGATTCATTTGTACAATTATTAAATCCACACATCTTGACACCACATTCATTAGATGATTCATATCCATTTCCGAAAAAGTTGAAAAACTTTAGTTTTTGCATCGATTCAAGGATTGAAACGTGAATTGAGTTGATTCTATTGGAACTGAAGTCAACTGTTCTTAGTTTTGTGTTTCTGATCAGTAAGTTGGCTCCAAGATAAGTAATCTCATTTCCATTCAGCTCCAGCACCTCCAAAGATATAAAATTATACAAATCTTCAGAATTTATTTCCTGCAACTTTGATTTTATGATTGAAAATAATAAAAAGTCATTTTGGAATTTTTTGTCAAATTTAGGAATATAAAAGACTTCTTGATTGATGATTTTGACTCCAAAAATTTGATCTGTGTTGCTCGATTGTAGATTTATGAATGTGTTTCTGTCATGGATGATTAGTGATGATTTAACTTCACAATATGAAATGAATCCGGTAGCTTGAAAGAGTTTTTGCATCATTGAACAATCCATATTGATAGTTTCGCAGTTTATCGAGGATATAAGCAGCAATGATGCCGAGAAGAGCCTAAAATAATTTGGAAAATTTAAAAAATAATTAAATTGATCAAAAAATCTTACTTTAATGTGTTGTTCGCTTCCATTTTGATAGTCAACTATTTTATAAATTACAATTCAATTTAAAATTGTAGCTTAACTTCCGAGGAATAAAAATTGAATGACTTTTGAGCAGATTTGTAAGAACTTAATTGACATTTGCGTAGTTTTATAAATAATCGCTAAATTCATTTTTGAATCATGTTTTTTTTTGGCAAATCCGCAAAATTATGAAACTGGCAAAAAAGCGAGTTGTAATATTTCTCTACTTGGAAAAATTTGAAAAATAAAAACTCGTTACAATTTTTGAACAAAAATAAACATTATTGAATCAATTCTTTACTTTTTTAATTAATTAAGCAATTAGTGTGTTATCGTTAATAAAGCTTTATTCAAGCTATAAGTTACTGCATAATTTAGATATTTCAATTAATTATAATCTTAACGTTTTATAACTTTTCAAAATTTATCGTGTGTTACGAAAAAATACTCTAAACTGATGTTTTGCAACAAAGTGTTCTTGCAGGAGAGATTGACGCTTTTTTCTTTAATTTCTCTTAATTAAGTGACTTCTTTTAACACCTGATAAAAGAATATGATAGAAAATTAAATTTGAAATGCTATAAAACAAGTCTGGTGCTGTCAAGATTTATAATTAAGAAAATTTTTGCTTTTTTTTGAAAATTAATTTCGATTGCAGGAGAGATTGACGCCAGAAAAATCAAAATATCTCTTTAATTAATGATTTATTTCATGCCAAAGTTATCGAAAATTGTACATTTGTCGGAAGTACGCATGTTTTGGTATTAAAATATCACTTAAATAGCCAAATAGAAGAGAAATTTGAGAAAAACAAAAATTTTAAGCTTTTTATTGTCCGCGGATTTGCCCTTTTGCATATTTCATTCACTTATAACCACCAAAATCAGCGGTGGTCAAACTGTGAGCCATGACACACGATGAACTTTAAAAAAATTCATACTGAAGGGGTACACAAGACACTTACTACACCCTTTAGACCTTCAGTTTTTAGTGGAATCCAAACCAAGCCCTGCACATTCCAAGGACACGAGTACGTTTATAGACCTGATGTACCCTACAATCTACCTACAACACTCTTTTGTCAGGGGTGTAGCCAGGAATATAAAGAGAAAATTTGGAGGGGGTGATGGGGGGGGGGGGGGGGGGGGGGGGGGGGTTAGGGTATTTTCTTAAAAACCCTAGCATAATGAAGAAATTTTTGTTACGACGGGTTATTTGCCACTCAAATACCCCACTTCCCCTTCTCCCCCCTCCTCTCCATCTTCCCCCCTCCCCCCTTTTTCCATCTCCATAAATCCCCTCTTCTCCCCCCTCCTCCCCCTTCCTCCTCCCTCATATCCATCTTTCCCCTCTCCCCTTTTTCCATCCTCTCTTCTCTCCTCCCCTCCCCCCCCTCTTCATACCTGGCTATGCACCTGATTTTAGTTAAACAAGATCCTCAAACCACAAAGTACTGAAAATGTCACTCGAAGCCTAATTGTCCGACGTTTGCTAAAGTTTGAGAACTCCTGTAAAATCCAAAAATAGTACAAATTTTTAAAATTTGATGAATATTTATTTTTAATTTTAAATTGTAAGTCATTATTACATTATAATCTAATTTGGACTACACAACTATCGGAGCTACTCATTTAATTGTTTCATAGAAATAAAGTTTAATCAAATAAATCAAAAAAAAGTTCCAGATTAATATAAACTCCAGCACGAGGCTAGCTTGGAGTCAGTTAAAACCTATTTTGGTACTCAACTGACGCCACGTTGACTCATTGCTGGAGTTTGTCATCATCTCAGTAACTATAAGATTGTATCTTAGCTGCTAATATTCTCCAAGGGGATAACAACATGATGAGAAACTGATTTGTTTCAAAATTTTCACAAATTTCCCAACAAAATTCAAAATAATTCCAGAAAAAAGTTTTTTCTCATCATGCTGTTATCCCCCTTCTGCTGCCTACATAACCTCAAAAAATACCAAAAAAAAATTTAAAATAATCCAAGAATCTCTCCAGTTTCCGTACACAAATCAATATCAAAGATTGCTGGTCTTGTCGGCAATCCAGGCATTCTTGAAATTTCACCAATCATTGGAACAATAAATCCAGCACCAGCTGATAAGAAAATGTCATTAACAAAGATTCTGAATCCAGTTGGTGCGCCTTTAATGTTGGGATCGCCAGTAAGTGATGCTGCTGTTTTAGCCATGCAAATTGGCAATTTTGAGTATCCCTTCTCAGCATAGAGTCGCATAGCTTCACGAACTTTAGCTGCAAAGTCGACAGTTCCTGCTCCGTACATTTCTTTAGCTATTTTATTGATTTTCTCTTCAATTGTCAAGTCCAAGTCGTAAAGGAATTTGAAGTCACTTGGCTGATTGCAGGCATCAATGAGAGCATCAGCAAGGTCAACAGCACCTTTACCACCTTCAGCCCAATGATTAGACACAACACATGCATATGCACCAGCTTCCATTGCTGCTTTCTTGATAATTTCATGCTCAGCTGCTGTGTCATCTTTATGGACATTAATGGACACAACAACAGGCAAACCAAACTTCTTTCCATTGTCAATGTGCTTGACTAAATTGCATAAGCCTTGCTCGACTAGCTGGAGATTCTCTTGTGTGTATTCATCCTTTAATGGCAGTCCAGGAACGACTGCTGGTCCACCGCCATGCATCTTTAAGGCACGAACTGTAGCAACAAGAACAACTGCATCTGGTTTAATTCCTGAAGCGCGGCACTTAATGTTGAAGAACTTTTCCATTCCAATGTCACTTCCAAAACCAGCTTCTGTGACTACAAATCCATCCTTACCGACAAGCTTTAATGCAATCTTGTCAGCTAAAATTGAGTTGCAGCCATGAGCAATATTAGCAAATGGACCAGCATGAATCAAGACTGGAGTTCCTTCCAAGGTTTGCATCATCGTTGGCTCAATTGCATCTTTCATAAGAACCATAAGTGCACCTGTCATGCCCAAATCATCAGCTGTGATTGGAACTCCTGTTCGTGAATATGCAACAACCATTTTGGCAAAGCGCTGCTTCATATCTTCAAGGCTTGTTGCTAGAGCAAGGATAGCCATGATTTCTGATGCAACTGAGATTGAGAAGGATTCTGTGCGTGTGAAGTTCTTCTCAGTTGGCGACTGACCGATTGTGATCTTACGTAGATATCTGTCGTTGATGTCCATGACTGAAAATGGAAGGATTTTGGATTGGTTTTGGACATTACCTCAAAAACTTGTGTCATAACCTCAAAACTTGATTAAATTTGAGAACATAACCTAAAAATTCGATTAGATTTCAGAGCCTAACCTCAAAATTTTATGAGATTTTGAAACCCAACCTCAAAATCCTAAACTCACCTCTTTGCCAGACAACCTTAGTAGGATCAATATTCAATCTAGCGAACTTAGCAATCTCCTCAACTGTCAAAGTATTTGGATCGGTCTTCTCGATCCCTAATCTATCCAATCGTCTCTGTTGAATGGCTGAGAACTTCCTGACTCCATGACTTGTTGGTACAAGTCGATCATATAAGGCTTGATCAGCTTGTGTTGCTTCGTGGAAGATTCTGGCATCGAGTTGAGCTGCAAGGAGGTTGTTTGCAGCTGTGACTGCGTGGATGTCACCGGTTAAGTGGAGCTACAATTAGAGATTTTTAAGCTATTGATCAAATTTCTCAAAAAATCAACAAAACTTACATTAAAATCCTCCATCGGAATAACCTGCGAGTATCCACCGCCAGCTGCACCACCCTTAATACCAAAAGTAGGACCTTGTGATGGCTGTCTCATAGTTGCAATAGTATTTCTAGTCTTATGAGCCATCAAAGCTTGTGCCAATCCAATTAAAGTTGTACTTTTTCCCTCTCCCAATGGTGTTGGTGTGATTCCAGCAACAACAACATATTTACCAACATCATGTTCCTTCATCCTGTCCAAAACATTCAGTGATATCTTAGCCTTCTTGTGTCCATAAAGTGACACTTCTCCAGCTAACAAGCCAACCTCGTGAGTGAGTATTGAAATGTTTTTATGCTCATGAGCACGTGAAATGTCAATGTCGCTTGGGATTGGTGATTGATATTTTAATGGTAAGAAAGTCATTGGCCAGTGAGTTTTCATTAAGAGCTCTGCAAATGCTTCTGATGATTGGACTGTGTTTGCCATGAGCATTGCAACTGTCATTGGTCCGACGCCACCTAAAAAGTTGGATTTAATTATGAAAGTTTTAATAATTTTGAACAAAATTGGTGAAAACTGAGGTGAGTTGGGTGAAAATGGTGAGTATGGTGAATAATGAGGTGAGTATGATGAGTAATGAGGTGAGTTTTGTTAATATCGAGGTGAGTTTTGTTAATATCGAGGTGAGTTTAATTATTATCTAGGTGAGTTTGATTAATATTGAGGTGAGTTTGGTGAAAATTGAGGTGAGTTTATCGAATAATGAGGTTAGTTCGGTAAATAATGGTTTGAGTTTGTGAATAATGAGGTGAGTTTTGGTCAAAAAAGAGGTGAGTTTGGTGGAAAATGAGGTGAGTTAATGGAATAATGAGGTTAGTTCGGTAAATAATGGTTTGAGTTTGGTGAATAATGAGGTGAGTTTGATGAAAAATGAGGTGAGTTTGGTGAAAAATGAGGTGAGTTTGGTGAAAAATGAGGTGAGTTTGGTGAATAATGAGGTGAGTTTGGTGAATAATGAGGTGAGTTTGGTGAATAATGAGGTGAGTTTGGTGAATAATGAGGTGAGTTTGGTGAATAATGAGGTGAGTTTGGTGAATAATGAGGTGAGTTTGGTGAAAAACTTAAATCTTGAAATAAAACTCAATGTTACCTGGAACAGGTGTAATAAATGATGCAACCTTCTTGCACTCCTCAAAGTCGACATCTCCAACCAATTTCTGTCCAACCTTCTTTGTAGCATCTAAAATATAAAATTAAAAAAAATTGTTTAGACTTTTTCCTCGCATTTTCATAAATTAAATCTTCATTGATCTCATTTTTAAGTAGATAATTCATTGATTAAGGTAATAAAATTTTATGAATGTGCGACGGAACACGAAGCAGAAAATTAGAAACAATTTAGTAGTCAATTAATTTTTTTTGTGGTTTCTAAGGAACTGACTTGATTATAATTCGTAATAATTTAAATATATGACGTCAAAAATGGGTGGAGGTGATGGAAATATTAATAGTGGGAATTTGGAATTTTTGAAGCTTCCGTTAGATGAAGCTGAGGTATTTATTAAAGATTGCTGCAACTTGTTGAGAAATAAAGACAAAGTCAACAAGAAAACATCACAAAAACATTGAAGAAGCAAGCAATACAGTCGCTGCGACATGATGTCACACAAACACACATTTGTAAACATTCTGTTCAGTGTCTATCAGTCATCAACTCAATTAGCTAGGCGACCTTGACTTTGAGTTGATAATAAACGATGCCGGTTATTTACAAAAAAAAAATAAGAATTGAATATCAGCAGATTCTCAAAATGAATTAAGAATGATTGACGTTGTTGAGTGGAATGACACTCGTGTGCATTAAAAATTGTTATTGAGGATTAAGATCGTATGATGTGGATGAGGTTCAGTTAAATGCTGTGATTCTTTTTATTTTGACTCAAAAATACAGTTGGATAGATTATTTCACAAAATATGAAACTTTTACATCATAAAGTGCACCCCAACCAGCATAACATGACGACATGTCCCTTTATAGCAGTGATGGTCAACTTATGTGCTGCGACACAATAGTTTACTGTGAAAAAAGGTCGGTAAATCCAACAAACCATATGATATGTGAAGTTTCAATCACCGTTAACCATCAAGGTGTGCCAAAGCACAAAAAAGGTTGATCACTACTGCAATTAAGTATTATCACATGTGTCCCATCTGTTCAAGAATGTGGGAAGTCAATTATGATATTTTTAAGGATCAATCCTAAAGGATGACTTTGTGCCTTTTACCTGACTAGATCCTATTGAACCTTTTTTAAGAGTTTAAACAATTTTTTTGAGTTTTTTAAATCTTGTTCTGTTATCAACATTCAATGGAGTTGATTTTGTGAACACACAAGCATCATCAACTGTCATTTGACCTCAAGTACATGAATATTTATATGAAGCTGCTTCCATAAGTCCTCAAAAATCTTTTATTTATAAACAAATAACCTCAAAAAAATTTTTTTCCCTCCAAAACAAAAACAGAACTTTGCCATTTTAACTAAATTAAGTGAAAATTCAAAAATTAATTATCTTTTTCATAAAAATCCCAACAAGTTGTTCATAATTATCAAGAAAAAAAAATCATATTAATTTAAAGTTCAATTTTTTTTCCAAATTATCTCACACAGCTTCTGTTCAATAAGACCTCACACGCGTCCATAACCGTCAAAATCAATGACCTCGCGAAAAAATTTCTCAAAGAGTGCGACTTAATATTATTCTTGGCAGCTAATCAATGTTATTGCAATAATTTCAGCTGGAATTTCCAGTTGGTGTTAAGAAAGATTTTGTGTTGATTGATTTCGGATGTTGCTTGGGGTTTGGGTGTGCGACATGTGTCAGGAGGTGCTATATGCAGCACAGTCGGGTTTTTTTGACTGCCAAGCCTAAGAATCAACTCAATTCAACCTTAAAGCATTAAGAATCAGCTAAATGCAACCCTTAAATCCAACAATTAAGCCAAAGTAGCCACTTAATTCCATAAAAATCCCCAAAATTCACTCACCAGGTACAGCATTAATCCCACAATCGATAACAACAGCTCCCTTCTTAACCCAATCTCCTTTAACCATCTCTGGCTGTCCAATAGCAACAACCAAAATGTCAGCACGTGCTGTAATATCCTTCAAGTTCTGTGTCTTTGAATGACAAACTGTGACAGTTCCGTTGTTCCATTTCAGAAGCTCTGCTGCTGGAGTTCCAACAATTCTTGATCTTCCAAGGACAACAACTTCTTTGCCTGATATCAATGTGCCTGTTTTCTTGATCAACTCAAGGACACCACTTGGTGTGCATGGGAGGAAGCCTGAAAGGTCACCGACAGCGATTTTTCCTTCATTAACTGTATTGAGTCCATCGACATCCTTGTCTGGTGAGACTGAGTCAGTGATGAGATGAGAGTCGATCTTGTTGACGGAATCGAGAGGCATTTGGACGATGATGCCGTGATATTTTGAGTCCATGTTGAGGTGCTCGATCTGTGCCGGGTTGATTTTTTGAGGTTAGAATTTTTTTTTAGATTTTTAATACTTTTTATACCTTAGCAAGCAGTTCCGTCTCAGTAATGGTCTTTGGGAACTGGATGTGTTCAGCAGCAATTCCGATTTCAGTGGCTGCTTTCATTTTCATGCGAATGTAGACATTTGAGTCTTCACGTCCACCAACTTGAACAATAGCGAGACCTGGACGGAAGTTTGGAAGTTTCTTGTGAAGATCAGCAACGCGACGCTTTAAGGACTCACGAATTTCTCTGGAAAATGGAAAGTTTTGAGGATTTTTTGTTACAATTTGGGTTTAATTTGGTCGTGGTGGAACTTCTGGGTCAAGAACTAAGCGTCAGCCTTAAGACAAACCTTTCACAAGCATCTGCATTAATTATATTCGAAAATTTTCTTAAACTCATCAATTTCACTTGCAGTCGCATCTCAATTTTGAACATTACTAAGGTTTTTAATCGATTAATGAACATTGTCAGCTCTCAAACTAATCATCTTTGAAGTTCTTGTGATAATCACTAAAATATGAGAGACTGAATGGCTTAAAGTAGGTTAGTCACTCTTATCAAACTTGAGAGAATTTAAGTTCTAAAATTATTATCAGTGCCTCCCCTATGACTATGTTTTTGTTTTATATTAAACGTGAATAATTATCAGCAAAATTGTTGATGAGTCGTAGACCACAAGTGATGATCCGCGTGGTTGTAAATAAAACATTTTCTTATCAAAATATGATTGCTTGGCAAGATTGAATCATGATTTATGGAAATTTATAAGTTCTAGATCTACAAATCAATCTATATCAATAGCCCGAATGGCACAAGTCGAGTCAAATTCACGATCGTGAGTGTTTAATTAAAGCAATTAAGACTTCCAAAAATACATTTTTTCCTTATCTTATCGTCGAGCTGTGCTTGTTTGGGGTTCTTTTATTATTTGATAATTGTTTGCCATTCAGATACGGTTGATTGTTTATGAATGAAAAGTTTTTGTTTTGATCAAATTAATGGAATTAAGTGCTGCTCAGTTTAAGAATTAAGACTATTTGAGATGTAGGAACGGGTCAAGAATTATGTAGATAGAATGAAAAAAATACAAGAGCTGTGAAATTCACCATGGAGGGCTTTTACTGGAACGGAGCTGGAGACATTGTGACCTACTGAAAATTGGAATGAGAGCCGACATGAACATGAGTTCTAAGATCTAAAAACATTTTTTAATTGGCTGCTGGACACAAAACTGCTTGTTGAAGATTATGTGCTACACACTGAGCTAGCGTACATAACAGGCGCATAATCAGGAGGGGGGGGGGATTTGATGGTCGAATCCCCCGACGTTAACATAAATTTCTTCATTTTGCAATTTCTCATGAAAAAATCAAAAAAGTCCCCCCCCTTCCCCCTGAAATTTTCATATATTTTTTTTGTCCCCCCTCTGCCCCTGCCTCTTTAAATTCCTGGCCACGCCCCTGGTACATAATATAGATTTAAGAATTATTAATAATAAGAATTGTAGGTTTTAGCTTTAAGGTTTTAGTAATACTGTTGCATAATTTAAGATGAATAAATTGACATTGAGAATTGGAAGTTATTCTCCTTTCTGTTTAACAAAAGACCCTCCAGAACCCCCAAATCACAATTCTTTAACGATCATGACCTTATCTTAGCTTGTATTACTTAAGTGCATCATAAATCCCAAAATAAATAGCTCAGATATCCAAATAGATTCAAATTAATTGTTTAAATGAGTGTCAAGTGTCTCAATTCATTAGCTATGACTTGATTATCACAATATTTTGCAGATTTGACAAAACAAAATACCCAAAATTGACCAGTTTGCTCAACAAATTAGAAAAAGTCTTTTGTTTATTTCAATTTTAATTCATTTTTGCCTTAAGAAATAATTTTTAAACTTTTATTCAACCTACTTTGAAACCTCGTTTCCTGACAAAACCTTTCCTTCTTCTTCTGGCATTTCTAAAAATTCACTTTTTTTCAATCACAATTTTTAAAGAACACAAAAAAACTTTAATCCTCGTCGTCTTCACAAAAATTATTCCACACCTATCCGCACCGATTGCTCAAACGAGACTAAACTGCTAGCTACAAAATGATATTAATATTTCGAAAAAAAAAGATTCAAGTTTCACGTCTGACTGGAATTATGTGCGAATAAAAAAAATTGAGAAACTTAAAAAAAAATTTATTCTCTGAGATTTTTTTTTATGTTTTATTTTCGAAAAATAAAGTTTTATTAAAAATTGCGTCATAAACAACTTTTTTTTACGATTTGTTGATAAAACGGGAGTTTTTTTAGGTAGTTGTGTAATTTTACTAGTTTAAAGACAAACACGTGAGATCTTCAATGTTGTGTGACAAATTTTTTGAATGAGAATGTTGCATGTGACATGTTGCACGTGACATGTGACATGTTGTGCAACATTTCCTTAAAACATGATCGACTGAAAAACATCAAAGTTGCAATGAAAAAATTGACATTGACATAGGAAATGTGCAGCTACTTGAGAAAATATTTTTACAATTTTTCCCGAATGTTGTCATTGACAAGTTATTTGATTTATGTGTCTTTTGGCTAACAAGATGTGATTTTGTCAACCAGCTGTAAAAAATCCACTGAGCATCATTTTAATATTTATTTTTACAGGCGTTTAATCATGCAATTCCGGATGTTTTTTAAAAATTTAAAATGACATTCCAAAACCCTAATATTGCTGACCATCTGCTTGGGTTTTTAGTGGACAATCCATTATATTCCAAAATGTGTAGTTTCACACCCTTTAAATCTATCTTTTCTTCTTCATTTGACAAGAGCTTGTGGCTTTGAAGGCTATTCTGGGACTAGCGATGTTCAAAGCTTGAAAGTGACAGTGCTTCTCAAACTTTAATAGAAATAAAAGTTGCAAATGTGAAAGGACGAACTAAGCTCACTTTTCTTGCGTAGGTCAGTAAAGATGTTAATGTTAGCGTTTAAGTCATATCTGGAACTTAAAAGCATGATCCAGTTAACAACAAAAAATCCTGCAAAACCTACGAACTAGCAGCTTTGTAACTGAAAAAACCAGAGATCTCCAAATGCTTCTAGTTCCTGCACTCGTGGCAATCAGCCAGCCAGCTACCCAAAGTGGACATATAAGCGCACTGTTTTCTAAGGGAAATGTCACCAAGGGAGTGGTTCGGATTCCACTATAAACTGAAGGTCTAGGTTTGAGTGCAATGATCATCACTCATCAAACTCTCTTTAGCTGCTTAATACCCTAGCTCACAGAGACTATCCTGCAACTCAAAATAAATATTTACAAAACCACAAACTTTCAGTTCCACTTGTCTTTATTGGTTAAATTAACAAAATGAACAATTTGATTTAATCGAGATTGGATTTTAAAGCTCAGAGCTTGTTATGCTTGCAAAAAAATGCATGGCCAACTTAATGATTTGATCAATATCCCTAGCATCGAAAAAAAATTATTTCTTGCTTGAACTTCCAGTAGCTTTTTCATCTCCTTCCTCTTCCTCGTCTGATTCCTCATCCTCATCATCATAATCATCATCTGACTCATCACTGTCATCGTCGTCATCATCATCATATTCATAATTTCCATAACTGGAAGCACCAGCAGTGTAGTCATAGTCACCACCCTCATAGTCATCATCCTCACCATCATGTGCTTGCTGCTGTCGTCCATACTTGAGTGTTCTTGTTGACATTGACAAGTCTTTAGTCTGTGACGTATCGTAATTGCATTTCGGACATGGAATTGCTTTGTTCTTGTCGTATTTGAAGCCTTTGCGCTTGACGTGGTCCTCACAGTAACAGACTGGAATTAGAATTGTGGAATGTTGAGATTAAAAGTATGTAAAATGTGTTAATCTTCAGTTTGAAGTCAAAAAACAGCCCTGCTGGGGTCTTGGTACTTAAATTTTTACTTCATCTATCATAATTAACAGGTTCTGGTTAAAGACAGTGAATAGATATCGAAAGTAGGTTCCTAAAACCTAATCTAGAGATCAGGAACCTAATCTAGAGATCAGGAACCTAATCTAGAGTTCAGGAACCTAATCTAGAGACCAGGAACCTAATCTAGAGTCTTGAAACCTAATCTAGAGTCCAGGAACTTAATCTAGAGTTTAGAAACCTAATCTAGATACCAGGAACCTAATCTTGAGTCCAGGAATCTAATCTAGAGACCAGAAACCTAATCTTGAGTCGAGGAACCTAATCTAGAGTCGAGGAACCTAATCTTGAGACCAGGAACCTAATCTAGAGTCTTGAAACCTAATCTAGAGATCAGGAACCTAATCTAGAGTCGAGGAACCTAATCTAGAGTCGAGGAACCTCATCTAGAGTCCAGGAACCTAATCTTGAGTCCAGGAATCTAATCTAGAGTCCAGGAACCTAATCTAGAGTCAGGGAACCTAATCTAGAGTCCAAAAACCTAATCTTGAGTCCAGGAACCTAATAATCAATCCATCACAATCAGCTCACCTTTACACTTCAGACACGAGTACTGTCCAAGTCGATTACAGCTCTGACACTTATAATTCTCAGATTCCAACACTTGACAACTCGCCTGATGCTCAAACTGATCATCCTCACACAAAAATGCACTACAAAATGAACACAAGTAGATCCGTCCACCGTGACTGTAAACATCTCGATCACATTCAATGCAGACAGCATCACGTAATGGACAGCTGCAGGCATGAGTTGTGAGACACTTTCGTCCATGACAAACAAATGCTTCACAAAAATCACATACGGCACCGACCATACCAAGACCGGTCGAGAAGACTGAATGCTTGACTACACAATCGCCAGACTTCATCATGCACTTGACTTTACCGCATTGTGCGCAAATTGGGAGACGCTGGACTGATTGACAGAAGTAGCAAAATGCTCGAGACTTTTGTTTTCGTTCACATTTATCGCATTCCATGTTGGCATTGCCTAAAAGTTGAGAGAATTGAGTAAACATTGATGAGAATTTAGATTCTGGATCTTACATGGATATTCAGCGATATTTTTCTCCTGATTTCTGATTCCTTTCTGTCTGAGCTTTTGCTTCTCAGCCTTCTTCCGTTGTCCAGTCTTCTTCTTTGGCATCTTTGATTCTGATTGAGCTTAACTTCTCATTAAACTTTACTAATATATGAAAATCTGAATCAAAATAAAAGAAAGTTATGTGTGGACTACAAGTATGCTTTCTCGAAATCCCGGTCCCGACAAATTTTCGGGATCGGGATCGGGATTGAAATTTTTCGGGATTTCCCGGGAAATCCCGGGAATCCCGAATGTGTAAAAAATTTAAAAAACAGCATTTTTCTGCTTTTTTTTTCCCAAAATAATTATATATTTTTTTGCTACTTATACGGTCATTTATTCCTTAATTAATTAGTTATACTTTATGTGTTACAAGGTAGATGTTTTAATCCATGTTTCCTTTGAAAAATGTGAACATAAACAAAAATAGAAAATAAATGTTGATAAAGATGTAAGTTAAAAGGTTATAGAAAACGGTGTGAATATAATAATAAAAATTAAGCATTAATGAAAAAACTTTTAACAAATGCAATTGCATTTAGATTCTTGTCAAGTAAACGTTTTCTTTGTTTTGTAAGAATGTTGTTACTAATAGAGAAATTTCGTTCGCTTTGAGTTGAGGTCGGCTGCATTGTTATCAATGCATCGTAAAGTTGATCTAATAAAACGGTTCTCTTCTTATTTTTGTCATACCAATTAAACTCTCTTTTCAAGTTATTTGGTTCTGTTGCTGCTGCATCTGTTGTTAATGATGTATATTCAGATATGCTTAGTTTCAATCTATCTCGAATAGAAATGTTTGACGGTTGGATTTGATTTGCACTGGATGTTGAAGCTTCCATAGCTCCATTTGTAGAGTTTTTGACAAAATACTTCTTCAATAAGTCAATGCCAAGTTTATGTATTGCAGCTTTTGTTGACGATTTAAAATGCTTGTCTAAAGAAATATATTGAGGATTATTCAGGTAAAGTATTAAGTCAATTAATGTTCCATTTCTTCGTGCAACTATGCGAGCGCAATTCATATCGTAAACCTTTTGAGACAATAATGTTCCTTGTAGCAACAATTCGTCTAGCAAAAAGTTAATTGTTCCTTCAGCAATTAATAAATCGTTTGATTTACGCAATAATTCTTCTGTCGCGTATTTAGCAGGTTCTAAAACATCAATAATTTCCTAAACTAAAAAACCGGGATTTTCAATCCCGATCCCGATAAATTTCGGGATCCCGGGATTGATCGGGATCGGTAAATCCCGGGAAATCCCGATCCCGATCCCGATAGCGAGAAAGCATAACTACAAGTTTATTGCGATTGTTGTGAGAAAAGTTTATGAAGATGCGAAAAAAATGATGCGAAAATTTTGAATTTTTATTGTAACGGAATATTTTTTTATTTATGAGCGATTCTCAATTCATTGTACAATTTAATTTTTAATTTCTTCTTCAGCTACATCACCTCTTAGTTCTCTAATGGATGATTGAATGAAATCAGCAAAACAGGAAACTTTTATTAAGCCAGCTGTAAAAGAAGAAGTAAAGTTTGTCAGTTAGTATATGGTGAAATGGCATCAGGAGCTTAAGCAGCAGTGCTTCTTGATCAAAAAGCTAGTCCATCCCTTCTAGCTAGCTCTTGTGAACAACGGAAGCAGATTTTCAGCTTGATATCATGAACCCTCCCACGAAAATTCCATATCAGTGGTGTCCAACCTTTTTTGTGCAACGGCACATTTGTTTTTAAGTCATGACCAAAACTGTACACAGCATCGTGGGATATCCAAAAACAATTCGCGAAACTTTAGTGTGCCGCGACACACAGGTTGACTATCACTGTCTAGAGGATCCTCAATTGTTAATAATATCTAATCAAAAACGAAATTCCTTCTGATTAATAATGTTAATTAATAAATACATGGAAAATTTTGGTGATTGTAATGCTCAGTTCCAAACGATACAAAACCTTGTAAGTATGGTTCACCGTCAATCCAATTTATAGCTCCACTGTCTGAAAGATTTTTAAATTATTTTTATCATTTTTTTGCATAGCCAGGAATTTGAAGAGGGGGGACAAAAAATTTTTTTTGTATGGAAAAATTTAAGGGGGTGGAAATTTTTGTGATTTTTTTATTAATACCCTAGCAAAATAAAGAAATTTCTGTTTACTTTGTGGGATTTGTCAACCAAATTCCCCCCACCCCCCTGGCTACGCGCCTGCCGTGTGGTTCACAATGTCAATCACTTATTGACCAAAAAGTCCGAAATGCTTCAAAAGGTGAGACCAGCTCCAATAAAAAGCTTCATTCAGTAGCATTTTTTTTCAAGTTTTGCAGGTCACTAAGCTGAGTTGACATAAATCATAAGATCGAGATCGATTAATATGACATGTTAATGTGTCTTTATAGAAATGTAAAATTGGTCACAATTGCCTCAAACATAACACTTTTAATGATAATAAATAAGCAAATGTCATAAATTGAGGTAGTTTTGAAATCATAATACATTTTAAATTGAAATAAATTGCCAAAAAAAATCCCCAAATCACGCATTTTTAGCATTTTTATTTAATAAAATGAATTTTGAATCAAATTGTGACTGCTTAAATGTTTGGAGAATGAGACTAGCTATAGACATTGTTAATCATTGTAAGCATGAACAAGTCCATGCATTTGGCTACATCCATCCTAAAAACCCACCCTAAAAACAAACACAGAGGGTGTAAATGGATGCATATAAAGTATGGAGAGGACCTCGACTATGCAGATGACGAATAATACATACAAGGACACACAGAAATCAAAGATCATCATAGACCAGGTGCGTAGCCAGGATGGTCTTGTCCCCCTCTTAAGCATTTTAGGCCGTGCTCTTGCTGTGGTTCAAAACGTTCAAGGGGAGGACAAGACTCTCGAGGTTACGCGCTTGTCATAGACATTTCATCCCAAAAATCCCCCCTCCTCCCTTTTAAAGTTCTAGCTTCACTTCTGTGTCCAAGCATTGGCATTTTTTTCTAGCTAAGTGAATATCCACCTGTGCGTTCTCATACATATCTAATTTAACCTGGGCTATTTTTAAGGGCTAGGCATCCTGCTTTAGACTCAGATGAACTCAATTAACATCTAATGTTGAAGTCCAATGAATTTTACCAGACTCGGAAACTAGGTCTCTCTTTTACAGACGGTATTTTGGGATATTTTGAGGTATTTGTATGAAGTTTGCGGCATTCCGCCTAGCTTCCGAGCCTGGAAAGTTCATTCATTCTCTTGGGTCTTAAGAAAGTCTTGAAAACCGGTCCTGGTTTTGAGAAAGCTTAAGATTCCATATTCAACACTTGCTTTCTATTCCATCAGATCATTAGAATAACCCTTGATAGTAAGTTTGATTACGCATGAAAAAAATGATCAACATAAGTTGCCGATAGACCTACAGATGTTTCATACTCTCATTTTGCTCTCATCTTTCCATTCGTTGGAAAAAAAAATATCTCTCTGTAATTCGATTAAGAAGACCCGACGAGAGAAGTCATGGAAATCCCGATCATATATTTAATATTTTTTGTGTGTATAATAAACCTTTTTCAAACTGTCCAAGGAAATGAGTAAGTATATCTATTAAAAACGGTGAATAGCTATAAATAGCTAAAATCGAGGGTTTACAAGTTCGATGAAATTTAATCAAATCAACACGCAGCATATTGTTGATTAAAATATAAAATTCTGAGAAAAGTCAGAGGCTATGGAAAAGTTATCAACACAAAAGTTATTTTTGTAAACAGCGAACTTGTGAGTTCAAAATAAGCTAGAGCAACAAATGAGCATTTTGTGATTTTTGCAAAGCTTTGAACTCAAAAGTATTTATCACGTTTTTAGTTTAACATTTCAAGCGACATTATTGTCTACTGAACCCTTTAACCCCCTTCCCCCTTCCCTCCCCCCTGGCGCCCTACCCCCTATATGACACAACCGTCCTCATCCTCGTTTTATCAAATTAGCAATAAATCATCCAGGGTTGTGATACAGGAACCTGTTGAGAACCGTACAATTCCTTCTTCTTCTTCTTCTTCTTAATTAACTTTATTATGGTCCATCAGCCTAATGCTATTTAAAGACCGTTCACAATTCCAGGTAGTTCAATTTACAAATATACACAAAGAAAAATCAAATTTTTGTTATGTCTCGATTGTGATCTGTAATTAATATGTTCTGCTGTATTCCGAGATGATCGATTCCTGTTTGTCAATGTTGATTTGTTGAAATCCAGTCAGCACCAATTGATTGATAGAATTGCCCGCGATATATGGGGAAACACACAAAACCCATCGCGAGACAAATTCTCCTCACAATTAACGATAATCCGTTGTATTCCAATAATATTCAATGTCTAGGTTATGGTTATGATAGAACCTTCTTGTCCACGATTGTTGGTAAAACACAAAAAACCCACGTGAAACAATTGATTCTCCTCACAACTGCCGCCGATCGTGATTTGTCAATGTAATTAAATGTTCGTTGGTATTCCGATGATGATTAATTCCGTTTTATCTTGGTTATGTTCAAAATTTGCACATTTTTTTTTCCAATTTCAATTTATATCCAAAATTTAATTAAATCGCGACTTTGCTGAGTTTTCTCCTTGGTATCTTTGTTCTTTGTTACTTTGAAGACAGTTCCCGAAGGTTTGTGACTTATTCCTACGCGTAATTAATTAATTTTGAAGTATTGCACAATTCCACAACCTCCTCATTCGGAGGTTGGGAGAAAAAAGCCGTACAATTCCTTGATAATTTATAAAGTTTTTCTAACAGAACCATATAAGTTCTAATAAAACCCCACAAATTATCAAAGAATTGTACGGTTCTCAACAGTGCACAAGTTCCTGTATTGCAACCCTTAAAATCAACAAAAAAAAATAATTTCCATTTGTAGATTCGTCACTTTATGGGCACAAAAGACCATCCTCAAAGATCAACAATTCAGTGCAGTCATCCTGCCTACAAAGCTACAAGGCAAGACAGAAGTTGCTTTACAATTTCGAAATTTTAACCTCACCAAGAATCTAGAAAATGGAAAGGCAGTTAGAATTGAATATCCTGACAAAGTAAAAGGAAGTAGAAAGGAAGTCAACCTGATTATGACTCTGCATGTCAATGAACGTATAGATGAAAATGAAGTCGTTCGGATATGCTCAACTAAGTCATTGAAGATAAAAATTGATAATCGAGCTTACCACACATTTATTCAGACTGACAAGCCAATTTACAAGCCTGGAGATGAAGTCAAAATAAAAGTTCTAGCTTTGGACAGGAGTATTAAGCCATTCCATATGAATAATATTGCTGTAGACATCATTGATCCTTTAAACCGATCAATCGCTCATTTTGATGAACTTGATGATCCAAGTTTTGGAGTTTTTGAAGGCAGATTTAACCTCAGTACGCAGACAGTTCTTGGTGACTGGACGATTCAGGTTGTGATTGACAGATCGAAACTAATCACTTTGAAGAGATTTGCAGTTCAAAAATATACGTTTCCATTGTTCGATGTCTTTGTTGATATTTCTGATCAGCATGTCCTAGTTTCCTCAGAAGTCACAATTTCATTTTATGCAAAATATCCGTTTGGCGAATTTGTGACTGGAAGTGCTGAACTTAATATCATCGACTTAAAAAATCGAAAAAGTTATTTGAAGCATAACTATAGCATTGATGGGATTCAAAAGTTAACCTACAAATTAAGTGATCTTAACTTGGGGAAAGAAGATATGGAACTGGAAGCTGTTGTCACGTTTACAGAACCAGAAAGTACACTTAGTTACAAAAAGTCAGCAAGATTCTTTGTTCATACAGACATAAGACATAAAATTGTTGCAAAACATCCTGAAAAGTTCCTGCCTGGACAGTTGTTTACTGTTAAAGTTATCATAAATGATTGGAAGGACCAACTGGTAGCAATCAACTCTACAAAAGCCAACCTTACTGTTGTTTTGAAAGTTAACGATGAATGGAATCGAACAAAACTTAATCTTGAGTTATTTAATGGAATTGCTAGTGAAGATGTCATGGTTCCTAAGGAAGCAGTTGGCCTGAAAATTAAGATTGAATTTCTAGATTCTGAAAAGTATGAGAAGACAGTTATACTTGGGAATGTAGAAGTCGGTATCAACGATCTCGAGGTTTACCATCTTCCAAAATTGTAAGTATCTAGTATCAAGTGTTAAAGCACCTTAAGCTCAAAAACCTAGTGTGAAAGCACCTGACACTTAAAAAATTATTGTGAAGGCATCTGAATCATAAAATCTAGTGTGGAGGCACCTAAAGCTCAAAAACCTAGCGTGAAGGGACTCAAAGCTCAAATACCTAGTGTAAAGTCACCTGAAACTTAAAAACCTATTGTGAGGGCACTTGAAACTTATAATTCTAGTGTGAAAGCACCTGAATCCTAAAAACCTAGTGTAAAGGCACCTGAATCTCAGATAACCTAATTTGAAGGCACCTGAACCTAATATCAAAATTTTAATCAGTCCTTATTTATTTTAATTCCAGTCCTAAACTCAATCAAACCATCGATGTTTACATCAAAAGCGACAGAAACTTCGAGAATTTACTTGCAGTAGCTATGACTAGGTACGGACCAGTAAAAAGTGGAATGATTAAATGTAGAAATGAAACAAATTGTCAATTTAATGTGACAATCAATGCGAAAATGATGCCTGAATCAACAATAATTATTTATCATCTCAAAGATCACGTAAACGTGTTCCTTGGTAAAACAGTAGTTGAGACAGAAAATTTGGGAGCTAATTATGTAAGCTGAATTTAAGAATTTTGGCTAGTTTGACCTAATTCTTGTATTTTTAATTTTAGCTTAACCTCAAACTATCATCAGACGCTCCAAAACCAAAAGAACAACTCAAAATGTCATTTTCAACAAAGTCAAGCTCAAAAATCCATCTGCTAGCATTTGACAAGCGTCTAAAGTCTCTTAAAGAAGGAAATGACATCACAAGGAATGACTTATTTACAGCCTTAGCTGACTATGACAAAGATAACTTCCTCTTGATAGATGACATGACATCCTGGCATGAATGCACTGAAGAAGAACTAAATAGAGTTGATAAAGGAAGAAAAGCTATGAATGACATTGAAAGGAAGGCTATGGAAACTGCTACAATGTTCGCACTTAAAGGAAATCAACATATAAATGAGATCGAGGATGATGATGAAGCTCCTTTAGTTTGTAGCTCTAACGATTATGATGACGAAGCTATTGAAGATCACAATGATGAAGATGACATGCCAGAAATTGTTGATGAAGATGTTCGCAAAAATTTCCCAGATTCTTGGATATTTGAAACAATTGAAGTTGGCAACACAGAAGAAGCTAAAAAGACCTTCACAGTTCCAGATTCGATGACATCCTGGGACATTTCAGCATTCTCTATCAACCTAAAAGATGGACTAGCAATCATGAAGCCACAAGAACTGACAGTCAAAAATGAATTCTTCATTAAAGTCAACCTTCCATACTCAATCCGATACAAAGAGGTCCTCAAACTTGATGTCTTAATCTACAATTATGTTGAAAGCTATGAGCAACTTCAAGTCACATTCGATTTAAAAAAGAACTCAAACTTTCAAGTTGTCAGATATTCTTCAAATTGCACAGCTTTAGTTGATCAGAACAACATATGGACAGCTTTAGTTCAACCTATGCAGGTTCAGAAAGTTTCGTTCTATATTCAAGCTGGTTCCGTCGATTCTTCGGACTTTGAAGCTAAAATGAGCACTATAAAGCTATTGATGACTGCAATAGGCACAACTGAAAGTGGAATCACATACAAAGACATAATAGAAGAGGAACTAAGAGTTGAGCCAATTGGTCTTCGACTTTATGATATTACTGACAGTAAATTTTATTTGGATAAATCATCAACTTCTAGGAAATTTGAGTACACAGGAGCAGATGAATATTCTCGATTCAGTGCAATTGTTAGCGGGGATTACTTAAGTGATGTAGCTAATCTGGAATCAATGATTGAGTAAGTTAATTTTACTTGCCTTCACTCTTGGGCTTAATGCTAATTATTGTCATTTTAGAATTTTCTCGAGTAACTTGGAGGATAAGGCTTTAAGGATGAAGGAGTCTTATGAAGCTTATCGATTCTTGTTCTCAAAGGGACAGAAGACATCTGCAAACTTTGTCAATACTCAATATCAGAACATTATGTCTGTTTTGAACAATAAATGGGTAAGTTGTGTGTTTTGAAGGGTATGAAACTATGACGAGTTAAGGTATCTTTTTGAGTGGAGTGTGCAACTAATAAGGATGTTCAAATGGAAGGGGTATTCAATTATAAGGGGTATTCAACTAGAAGGGGTATTCAACAAGGAGGGGTTTTCAACTACGAGGGGTATTCAACTAGGAGGGCTATTCAACTAGAAGGAGTATTCAACTAGGAAGGGTATTCAACTAGGAGGGGTATTCAACTAGGAGGGGTATTCAACTAGGAGGGCTATTCAACTGGAAGGGGCTTTCGACTAGAAGGGGGATTCAACTGGGAGGATTATTCAACTAGTAGAGGTATTCAACTAGGCGGGGTATCCAATTAAGAAATGTTTGCAGCTAAGAGGGGGTATTCAACTAAGAGGGTTTGCAACTAAGAGGTTAAGAAAATAAACGGAGTGTGCAATCTAGAATAGTCTGTTCCAAAAAAGGGTATGCAACTTAAAGAAGTTTGCAACTATGAAGCGCAGTCAGCATTAATAGCTAGGAAGGGTATGCAACTAAGAAAGGTACATAACTTAAAGGGGTATGTAACTAAGAGGATTATGTAACTTAGATATGTACCAAACCGAAAAAGGGGCATGCAACTAAGCAAATAACCTTAAAAGTATTTCTTTATTTTAGGTAAAACCCTCAGTCCCATTCAGAATAGTATTTGCTGACACCTTAGCATCTCTTATGAAGATCAGAGCAATTACAATAAACAAAGCTCAAATTTTAGAATATTTTGATGCAATTGAGACGGAATTTTTCGATTATATTGGTATAAAGTCAACTCCATGGTTCCAAGAGAATATTGAGTCAGAACACTTTAAAGTAGCATTTGCATTGATTCCTTTGATTAAGCATAGCGATTTGCTGTCAAATTCTTTTATTCAATTGAAGTTTTTCTTCAATACTGGAAGGATTATGATAATTGTGAAAAATTTTATTGGTACAATTGAAAAAGGAATGAATTATCTTAAAAACAATGAAGGAAGCTTGAAAAGTGACGCAGTTGGATTGTCAATAACTGCTTATGTCCATGCTCTCTATGGGAAGAGCCAAGAAGCTCAAAAATTGATAGTTGAACTAGAAAAATTGAAGATTGAGTCAAGTGATTCTCAAAAATGCTACAAACTGAAGACTAGTGACGCTTACTGTAATAATCTAGTGACAGCCTACACAGCACTGACCTACATGAAGCTCATCAAGACACAAGAAGCTAAAACAATCTTCAATTGGCTTGTAGAGTCAAATCCTTTAAATAAATTCACATTTGAGCATGCAATTTTAACAGAAGCAATCGCTGAGATCGGAATTAACCTAAAATTTGATCCAGCAAACCTTAAAATTAAGTTGGAAAATAAGCTCGGCTTTCAAACAGTTGTGAATATGAAAGGTTCACTATCAACACCTAAAATCATAGATTTTCCAGAATATACCCAAACTATCACGACTTCAGTCACTGGAAATGGTTTCTGCTCGGTGACAATCTTATCTGAGAGGCTGCTGGCTGTGCCCCAGAAAAATCCCAAATTCAACATAACAATTGAGACAGATGACGGCAAAAGGTATAAAAGTGAAAGGACAGTTAAAGTTTGTGTGGTTTATCAACAAATTGAGTCAGATTTTTACTACATTAGTGACGTATTTTATGAAATTGAGCTGCCTAGTGGATATGTCTATAATGGATATTTAGAGCAAAGTGGACAAAATGTTATGGTAAGTTTGGTGAACTGATTGTGAGTCGTTCATAAATTACTTGAAGTTGGGGAGTATAAAAATGACACTTTTTGATAAACATCATTTATGAACTACCCCGTGGTAAAAAGTTCTTAATTAATAATTCCAGGAAGTCCAGGAAAGACGAAAAGGAACAGTTGTCAGTGTTTACTTTCATGAGTTTGAACTTTCGAAGCTTTATTGTGTGAATATTAAAGCAACTAAACTTTTCATTGTCAAAGAAAGTCGCGATGCTGCTGTAAGGGTTTATGACTATTCGGACAAAGGTTAGTTTGAGCTAAAAGTTGACCAAACTTGAGTTAAAAGTTGATTTGAGATTTTTATATGGTTGAGTTGACTCGACTCTATACCAAATTTCATAGACTTGGATCTCTGCGACCAAACTAAGCAAACCAACTTATTCTTGTTGTTTATTTCTCTTTCTAGCTAACAACATCATTCAATTCTACAGATTCTCAAATGAAGATTGTTAAGATTTTATGCAGCCATAATCAGTAAGATTTCAGTCTATTTTGCGGATGCATCTTTTTAATTTAATCTTAAACCCAACCTGAATTTTTTTTAAAACGACAGAAAAAAGCATCAAATTTCTAAACGCACTCATCACGTGTTTTTATATGAAATAAAAAGAATCATTAATTATAGTACAAATACACTGTTTTAAGACTTTTAAGTGCTCGATCGGCAAATAACTCGACAGAACTGAGCTGCAAGCATTTAGCTGGGGATTTGTGGGACAAATCCCTCTCCGACATCAGAAATTTTTGATTTTTCTAAGGTTTTTAAGACAAAATCCTGAACCTCCCCTCCCCCAAGTTCTGCTTCGAGGTCTAAAACACGTGTTCTAGGATGAGTAAAAAAAGACAAAAAATTTTTTCATCCTCTTGAAAGAACTCGAATAGGGGGGTACCTGGGGTTCAATATCATGTTGGATGCATCTCAGCCTGTAACAACTCCCCTCCCCCTTTCTTCTACATTACTGGCTACACCTCTACTGAGCTGATAAAACAAACCTGAGCTTTCTTTGATGTCAGATGTGTGTCGAAACAAGTTTCAAAAATGCATAACAAAAACACATTTTTTTACCTGGAATTGACACTTATCATTTACATTCATTTTGATGACTAATGGTTTGTTATTATTAAATTTACTGAAGACATCAATCGAACTAATGTCTCATCATTTTTAGTATTAATTGGAAGTTTGTGTGAATATTATTTTTTGGTTCGTTCATCAAGCTAATTTAGCTTTTATGCCCCCCCCCCCCCCTCCTCCTTCTCATATTGTAAAAAATGTTCTAATACAGCCTCAGCTCTTAGTTTTCTGAACAATTTGATTAAAGCACAACATAAGTAGGGTGACCATCTGCGTAGTTTTTCAACGGACAGTCCTCTTTTTTTCAAGACTGTCCTGTATAAATTTTTAAATTTTGTTCTTGGTCCTGTATTTTTTTCATGAAAGTTTCCGTTAATTTTCGAATTTTACTCTATGTCCTGTTTTTTTTTCAGACAAGTCAGTCAATCAAATAGAAATCCGGGACCAATCCGGTGTTGATCTGGCATTGTGCTGGTCTTAAATAAAATCGCCTGAGATAGAGCCAGCTTCAGGCGCCATCTAAAAGAGGCTATGGATCACAATTGATCTGTACGGCCAGAGAAGTAAGTAAGGAACTAAGCCAGATTCGTGCCGTAGTGTGCTTTTTAGTTCTCTCCGTTGACCCTAACGTCAAAAGGTAGCGCCGGCTGTTATCAAGCTGATACAAAGTGGCTACAACAGTCGTTACATCTTATCTTCGCATGCTCTTTACTGTTATGTGGACATAAATTCTCTGAAACACGGTAAGCAGAGCATAAGAAAGAGAGACAAAAAAGAAGAGTTGAATGACACTGCATGTAAACAAAGCATTAAAGTCTCTTAAATTGTGTCAAAATGATTTCTTTGGAGTTGGTCAATTTTATGTCATAATCCCCCCCCCCCCCTTCTCTCCCTCTTTATTAATTAATTTTGTATGGTAATGTTGATCAGTTCCATGATTTTGACCCTCCATCTCGTCGTCACTCAAGAAAACCTAATATAAATTTTTGAAAAATAAGATTCCGATCATAATTAAGTCACAAAATAAAGACAGCAACACTCACACTTGTGCAAAAAAAAGAAGAGAAAAACATCTTATAAAAGAAGTATGAAGAGCAATTCAAGTCAGTCTGTTTTCAATTTTTGTATCGAATAAACTGTTAGAGGTGACCTTGGTGAGTCACTCGGTTTGTGCTTTATATTGCATTTGTGTACTTAAACATGACGCCGACCTTCAATTCCTTTATTTATATTTTTGTTTTAATTATTTCGAGATGTTCTAGGTAAAAAGTTGTGAATTTATTGATTAATATTTGCTGAATAATTTTGGTAAACTTTCAATTCTAGTCAAAGTGTGTCACTCATTGGATCTCGATTTGTGTCAAATAACTCAACTTATAAAGCATATCTGCTTACAAATGGCTTGAGTGATGACTCATTGGTTCATGTTGGATTTGGACCTAAAGGTGGAGATTTAATGATTGTTAAGGATGTTGATCAAAGTCCATTGAAAGAGTTGAGTTTTGATGTAAGTGGGGATTGCTAATATTGATGTATAGATGCATAGTATTTATAAAGTCACTGGCAGGGGCGTAGCCAGGAATTTGAAGAGGGTGGGGGGAAGGGGGGGGGGATACAGAAAATTCAGAGGGAAGGGGGTATTTTTGATGACCGTTCAAAACACCTAAAGTTTTTTACCTCTAAACATTTCAAATTTATAAAACCTAAATTTTCTGCATCTAGAGTTTTTAATCTCTATATACATTTGTATATAGGTGTTAAAAACTGCACGTGCAGTTTTTTACTTCTAATGATTTTTCCATTAGAAGTAAAAAACTACACGTGTAGTTTATAACTTCTATATACATTTATATATAGAGATTATAAACTGCATGTGCAGTTTTTAATTCCTAATGAAAAAATCATTAGAAGTAAAAAACTGCACGTGCAGTTTTTAAAACCTATATACTAATGTATATAGAGATTAAAAACTCGAATTGCAGAAAATTAATCCTCGGATTTAACTTTAAGCTTTTTGCTGAATTAACCAATTTTGATCATTTAAACGGTTTTGAGTATGTTATTGACAAGACTAATAACACAAATGGACAATTCTATCGATTGACGTTTTCAAAAAATTCGTCAATGAAACATTATTTATCTTTATTAAGCTATCTAGTCGTTCTTAACACCAAATATATTTATGTATGGTGATTAAATTATATCCTTTTGTTGCAGTTGGTTCCTTCTACATGCTTTAAATTACAAAATATATAAAAATCTACATCTCAAAAAATGGGCGCATTCATAAAATATATCGCAATATTTGAGAGCTTCAATTTCATTTATTATATTAATTCTAATTCTTATCGAACTTGAAATTATAAAATTTTTGAATACTTTAATTTAACTAAACTTACACTTTACGAAAACCAGCTTAACATATTCATTTACTATTATTTTTTCATAAACAACATTCTAATCAAAAAATATGTTGTTAATTTAAGTAAAATTTTATTTTTTTAAAATCATTTTTTAACGGATTAGGAAAATACACGCTTTTGCGTTGCACTTGTACAGAAATTGAATTAAAGTTCTTCATTTTTGTACTCAATATGTGCTTTATAAGGTAATTTAAGTAAGCACAATAATAAAACAACATATATGTAACGAAATGTAAATCAATAGTTTGAAGTTGTCTAGACTTTAGAAAAGAGAAAACCTTTCGTAAAAGTTCAAAATTTTGCATTCTGTACAAGTGCAACGCTTACAAAAAGTCAAATATTTTGTAATTTAAAGCATGTAGAAGGAACCAACTGCAACAAAAGGATATAATTAAATCACCATACATAAATATATTTGGTGTTAAGAACGACTAGATAGCTTAATAAAGATAAATAATGTTTCATTGACGAATTTTTTGAAAACGTCAATCGATAGAATTGTCCATTTGTGTTATTAGTCTTGTCAATAACATACTCAAAACCGTTTAAATGATCAAAATTGGTTAATTCAGCAAAAAGCTTAAAGTTAAATCCGAGGATTAATTTTCTGCAATTCGAGTATTTAATCTCTATATACATTAGTATATAGGTTTTAAAAACTGCACGTGCAGTTTTTTACTTCTAATGATTTTTTCATTAGGAATTAAAAACTGCACATGCAGTTTATAATCTCTATATATAAATGTATATAGAAGTTATAAACTACACGTGTAGTTTTTTACTTCTAATGGAAAAATCATTAGAAGTAAAAAACTGCACGTGCAGTTTTTAACACCTATATACAAATGTATATAGAGATTAAAAACTCTAGATGCAGAAAATTTAGGTTTTATAAATTTGAAATGTTTAGAGGTAAAAAACTTTAGGTGTTTTGAACGGTCATCGTATTTTTTTCTGGTTTTTCATAAAAACTCTAGCAAAATGAAGAAATTTCTGTTAACGTCGGGGGATTTGTCCTCCAAGCCAGGGGGGGGGGGGCTACGCGCCTGGTGACAGACAGACACTAATTCAGGAATTTAAACACAATTGTCAATTCTATTCTTGACTTAAATTAAATCCAATTAATTATCTCATGTCACAGGTTCCATCAGATGACATCACTGACTATGAGCTAAGCATATCATCAAAGCTTAAAAGTACGTGCCGGGAGCAGTCAGTAAATCTTTTTAAGACATCAAATAATCCAATTATTTTCATACAATTCAGCAAGCCAATTTACAAAACGAGTGAAATATTTAACTTTAAAATTTTCATTTTATCACAAAAGCTGCTTCCAATGTCAAAGTTTAGAGGCATGAATGTCAAAATAGTCAATCCAAGAGGTGTTGTTTGGAGTCACGATAAAGTTGCAGAAGTATCAAAATATGGAATTTATGAAAATTCAATGAAACTTTGGGACATTCCTAATTTTGGAGAAAATGATTTAGGAATTTGGACGATCAATGTTGAAGACGATGGCAAAAAGGCATCAAAGTCATTTGAGGTTCAGTATATAAGCAAAGATGACACTGAAGTTTTCGTCCAAGTTCCATCAGAAATCGCATTTGAAGATCGCAGAATTTATGTCAATATTTTCACAAAAGATCCAAAAAATCGATTTGCTGCAATCTTTTTGACAGCAAAGTTTGTGAATTCATCACGTATTGAAATTGACAAGCATATAAAAAGTGAATATCTAACAGACACTAAGACTGTGATCACGCTTGACTTTAAACAAGATTTTGGAATTAATTTTCCATCAAGTGACATGATTCTGACATTAAGAGTCGACATCGTGCAGGACAAGAAGACAACAACAATCATAAAAGATGTCAAAATGAAGCAGAAAGAAAGGCACAAAATTCAAATTGTCAGAAAAAAATATTTCAAGCCAGGATTTAAGTTTTTAATGAAAATTCGAGTAAAGCTGCTCGATGGAAAGTCAGACAACTCACTTAATCAGCTATCAACAACAATCAAGTATTTATCAAGTAAAAATGGACCTGCTGAAGAGAAGAGCTTCCAAACAAATTTAAAAAATGGAGATGCTGTTCATGTTCTGCAGCCTAAAGCTAAAACTTCAAGAATCATAGTTCAACTAAAGTTCGCAGACACAGAACTTGTAGAGGAAATTGACAAGTTACCAGGAGTTGAGGAGTATCTGCAAGTTTCTGTGCTTAGTAAAAGGTAAGCCTTATGGAGACCAGCTGCTCGGTCAATCATACCCAAATTCGGCGTCAAGCCAACATGACTCTGGCATGGTGCTAGCTTTGATTTAAATCCAGCATAATTCCAGAGTCACACTGGTTTGGTGCTAGATGTCCGATCGATTAACCAATTTGTGCCATTCGAGCTAGTAACCATGACTTATACCATTAAATAAACTTAATCCTCCTCCTTTCAGCACAAAAGTTGGGTCAACAGTTCAAATGAAAGCTCAAACTACAGAAGAAATGGAGCAGCTTAATGTGCTTATTTTTGGCACCAAAGGTATCGTCCATACCAAAACATTTCATGATGCAATTGGTAAAGATGTTTTTGAGTTTCCATTGGAACTGACGGATGAGATGAGACCGGAAGCACGTGGACTTGTCTTTTACACGAGAGCTTCTGATGGTGCGATTGTTTATGATGAATTCTCTTTAAGTATTGGATTTTCTGTTAACAATTCTGTAAGTTTAGCCTTTAAACCTTGTCTTAGCTTCCAAAACTAATGACTTTCAACTTTATAGCTTGACATCTCAGCACCAGAAGCAGCTGAACCTAATCAAATGATGAACATCGAAGTTAAAACTGAAAAAGATTCTCAAGTCTTTCTTGTAGCTGTTGACGCAAATTCAGAGCTTTATAATGGAGATAGTGGAGTCTCTAGGCTCTCAATTTACAACGAGATTGCATATCATTTAAACAGAAAGTTCTCAAATCCTTCAAACTATCAATTTGAGAAGCTTAATGGCTTCATCTTGGAACCTCTTAAAAATGGACAAAATTGCAATTCTGGTCAAATTAAGGAAGACAAAGAATTGCTAGAAATTCAATCATCTGATCCCTCATCACAAAAGTACTTCCCAGACACAATACCTGAACTAAGTTTCATAGCATCAAGTGAAGTTCAAACAGTCCAAATGAAAATGCCAGACAGTACAACAAAATGGAAGATTTATGGAATCTCAGTACATCCAACAAAAGGTTTTACAGTCTCAAAGACAAATCTTGAAATTTCTGTCAAGGAATCAGTCAAAAGTGGCGTTCAAATAGAAATCGACAGTCCATCGACCATCAAACAAGATGAAACTTACAGAATACAAATTATTACCAAAAATTTGCAGCCATCATACTTAACTGGAATCGTTACTTTGAATATTGAGGATGGAACTATTTTTGAATTAAAATCAGAATGGAACAATAAATGCCTCAAATATCTGCCTAGAAAAGCTCCGCTGACTTACAATGTTCAATTTACACCACAAAACAGTTTTAATGGACAAAATTTCGGCATCTCAGCTAAAAGTGATAAGCCAGTCAAAATAACAGCCAAATTTGAATCAATCAAAGGCAAATCTGAAGCAGCTTCAGAAGTTCTAGTTGAAGCACTAGAAAAATTAAAGACTGAAGCTGTAAAGTCTAATTTAATTGAATTAAATCAAAAGTATCCAAATTTTAAATTGGAACTGCCAAGCAATGCTAAATCAGTCAAAACATTTGTGGATGTTCATGGGAATTTACTTGGACCAGCATTGGATGGACTTGAAAAGATGTTGTGAGTAGAATTTTTAATATCCATATAGAGTGCGTTCAGTAATATTTCACACAGAAATAAGATTCTTTGACTGTTATGAGTTTCTGACGTATCATGGAATCGAGAAGTAATTAGAGACTGAGGTCTAAGGGGTCCGGGACAATTGAGCTTGAGTTTTAAAAATAAAAAAAATTGTTGAACGCACCCCGAATTTTTTTTCTTTCAAATGATTTTTGTCTGTTTGGCAGGGGCGGAGCCAGGCATTTTTGAGGGGGGGGGGGGGGGGGTGTGAGGGATGGGGGATTTAGGGGGATGGGGGGATTGAAGGGGATGGGGAAAGCGGAATTATTTTTTTGGACGGGAAAATTTTGAAAAACCCCAGCAAATTAAAAATAATTTTCAAAAAAAGGTGGGGTTACCCCTAAAAAACCCCTGACTACACCTCTAGTTTAAAGTTGACATGCTCCAACATGACTAACATATTAAATACTTCTAAGCGTCTACCTTCAATAGATGATTGAATGATGACCTCATACTGATCTACATTGACAATTACGTGTATGGCTTTAGCTAGTCGACATGATCATGTCAATCATTCTATTATGGAAGTGAATTTGTGCTGTATGGAATTTTTATGTAATTTTTTAAAAACATTTTTCCCTTTTTTTACCTACTTTAGTGGAAGACAAATGTTCCTGGATGAAGAGAAGGTCCTCAAGTTCCAAACAGCAATAATAAACTTTAAATTCCTAGACTCAATTGGTCAATCCAACCATGATAAAGCTAAAGCAGCTAAAATTGAAATATTTGAAGGCGGGAAGGAAGCTGTCAACATTCTCAGAAACATATCAAAAGACAAGACAAGGCTTTGGTTCAGTGCATCCATAATTGGAATTTTAAAGGACGCTGATGGCTTGTTTCTAGCTGATCAAAAGCTAATTGCTGATTCATTAAACTTTATTGCTACTCAGCAATTAGGCAAGCAATACAAGAATGCAGGAAGTTTTGCCTACTATCAAGACACTGATGATCATAAGGATATTGGTGCTGGAATGCGTGAATATATCCAAAATGCCTTAATTATCTCAACATTCTCAAAAGACAACAACACTATGCAGCAATACAAAGACTACATCCTGAACTCATTGAATTATTTATACTCAAAAAATAGAGAATTTAGAGGAGATCTTGTAAATGTCATCATGGCTTACACATTTGCACAATTTGGTAGCAAACAACATGTTGCTGAATTTATTAAAAAACTCAATCATGGATATGCGACTCCAAATGCTCAAGCTCTCAAAAAGCATCACTCGATGTATGTTGAAGTCATTTCCTACCTGATTCTTACAAAAATTCTCATCAATGAAGATCCTCGAGTTGAAGTCGAAAGGCTGCTTGCATATCGAAAAGTCAATGGACAATTTTACTCTCCATATGATACAACTTTAGCCTTTAAGGCTCTATTTGAGTACTCAAAGTATAAAAATAGTGGAAAAAGTTTTGTATTTGAAATTGATGGGCAGCTAAATATGATTGGACAGCTTGAAACTAAAACATTTGGTCCATTTTCAGATCCAAGACATGAACTGATTATTACGACTCAAGGTTTAGGATATGCAACTGTTCATCAAGAGTTTGATGACAACAAAGCACAAAATAAGCTAATTTCAACGCTCAGCACAGCTGTAAAAAAGACTGGCAAAAATGACGACCAAGAAATCAGTTTTTCCTTTAAATATTCACCATTTGATCAAACTTTAAACAGCAATTTGTTGGTTCTTGATGTTGAAGTTCCAAAAGGATATAAAGCAGTATTTGGCAAGCAATTACAGGACATTGAATTTAGGGACAATGGATCAACTGTTGTCTTTTACTTACGCAATATTAAGAAGAACATCCAATACAGTAGCACAATGACAGTAACAAGGAACAAAAATGAACCAGAGCATCACAACCAATTTAAGATTAAACTTTATGATTATTATCGTCCAAGTAAGTTGAAAATGTGATTTAAAATGTTTAAAAAATTTGATTATTAATTTGATTTTGTTTCATTTTAGATATGATTGATATTGATTTACTTTGCATATAAAGCTTTAATATAGAATGACAAACTTGAAAATTCAGAGCTCAAAGAAGAATTGATTGTTTTTTGATTCGACTATGAATCGTCAGGAGTACAACTAAGTCGACATTAGTCTATTCAACCTAAACCTAATCGATTCTTATTTAGTCTACAACAACTTAGTTTACTACAACTTAGTCGATTTCAAACTAATTGATACTCATCTGGTGGACGCTTAACTTTGCCTTGTTCAACTTAATGTACTCCAACTTAGTCGACTCAAACCTAGTCGACTTCAACCTAGTCGATTCAAACCTAGTCGACTCCAATCTAGTCGATTCAAACCTAGTCGATTCAAACCTAGTCGACTCCAATCTAGTCGATTCAAACCTAGTCGACTCCATTCTAGTCGATTCAAACCTAGTCGACTCAAACCTAGTCGATTCAAACCTAGTCGACTTCAACCTAGTCGATTCAAACCTTGTCGACTCTAACCTAGTCGATTCAAACCTAGTCGACTCCAATCTAGTTTACTACATCTAAGTCTCCTCCAGCCTAGTCGATTAAAACCTAGTTTTTTAATCGTGTGGACCAAAACTTGATCTAGTTCATCCTATTCAACTTTTACTTTATCGATTTCAAGTTCATCAACTAAAATTAAGTCTGCTACAACTTAGTTTACTCTAACGGAGTCGTGCCGAAAAATTCGCCCCTAAGTCGTCCCTGCGTAGGATTTCATCTCGATTAACCGACTTGTTTTATTCGGGTTTATCTGTTTCAACCTAGTCGACTATAGCTAAGTCAACCTCAAACTCTGTTTAAAATCAATTAATTATTTTTTAATAAAAACCAACTTAATTTATTACAAATGAATAATATTCGAAACATAATCTATTCTTTTATTCAAGCATAGCCACATTATCATATCAACATTATTTTTTCAGTTTAATGCTTCATGCATTGATGTTACCATCTGAGAAATTGGTTCTTGATTCTTTTTTTCAGTTTGAAGGATGTCATCCGTGTTCTTCTCTAGACCGTCAATAGCTCCACTTTTTTCTGAGGTTTGATCATTGTTACTGCTAACTGAGCTGCTCTCTTCTTGATGTTCGTTCTTCACACTTGTTGATGCATCGCTATCTTCTTCTTGAATTGACTTTGTTGACGCATCAGATTGTGTTATTGATGTCTGTGTGACTTCATCGTGATTGTCATCTGCTGTATCATCTTTATGCTCTAAGGCATTGTTTTCATTGTTGTCATCTGTTTCTGAGTTTTCATCATTTTTATCATGTTCAGGGTCTTTAGATGTAGATTCAATGTCTGTTGGTTCACTGGTAACATCTTTGGGTAACTCTTGTTCAGGATCAACATCTTCATTTATAGTTTGAGTGCTATTTGTTGTGGTTGCTTCATAATCAATCTTCTGCTCTGATTCCTTGTCGTGTTCATGCTGATTAATCAGAGAATCTTGTGTTGAATTCTCCTGCTGTACTTTACTTTCAAGTTCGCTGTCTTGAAGTTCCTTAGCTGATTTTTCGTTTTCTGCAATTTTTTGAATTTCTTCTGCAGCTTCTTGTGCTTTTGATGCTGCATCTTTTGCTTCTTTATTTGAACTTTCAGCTTTATCTGCTCCTTGTTCTGCCTTGTCTGCTGCTTCGTTTGCTAGATCTAATAGATTTTGAAGATGACTAAGATCTTCATCGTAATATGAACTTTCGATAGACTTTTTGTTATTCAAAGCGATTACTAAGCTATCAAGTGTATTAATTGCTGCTTGATATGTTTGTTCTGTTGCAGTTTTTGCTGTCATCGCTAAGTTTATGATTCTTTTAAAGACTTCTTCAGCATCGGTCTTGTTTTGGAGTAACTTGTAGGTAGCTTCAGCTGAAGCTTGAACTTCTTTTAGTGCATTTTCTTCATTGATTGCACTTAAAGCTTCTTTCGATGCTTTAGTAAATGCATTTGCAGCTTTAATGACTGAATCACTAGCTTGTAGACTTAATGCAGCTATTTCTTGTAGCTTTGTGACGTCATTTTTGTACTTAATAGTCTCATTCAGGCTGTTTTCAGCTTGGCTAGCTAATGTAGTTGCCATCTGTAATGATTCAGCCTTGATTGTTGCTTTTGCAGCTTCAATAGCTTGGTTGATAGCTAAATCTGAATTTTGAGCAGCTTGTAATGCTAGAGATGCTAAGTTTTGATCATTCTTTGAAGCATCAAGTGTCAATATCAAGTTCTCAAGTAAAGACTTGAAATCATTCACGGGAGAGTCTTGGTCGACAATCTGATATTGAACATTTTGGTTAACCTGCTGGATGTTAGCTGAAATTGGACCAACCAAACTGTCGATTTTAATTTGAATATTTTCAATAGATTTTACAGCTTCTGATGCATCAATTGAATGTTCCTTAGCTTCAGTTGCAAGTTCAACAGCTTTCCTAGCTTGATTGACTATTCCTTGATTTTCTTCAGCTTTTACTTTCAGCTGTTCTGATTCTATTTTCAAGATTTGAATGTTTTCTTTGTGTTTTTCAACTTCTAACTTTGCTGATGCTGCTGTACTGTAATTTGTAGATATTCTTGCTTTCTTAGCAGTTGACAGTGCATCTCTGGCCTGCTTAGTCGTATTATTCTTTACATTTGAGACTTCTGAATTAGTTTTTTTGATAGAATCTGCAAGATTGTCTAAACTTTGATCAATTTTTGACTTATTTATTTCAACACTCAATGATTTTATATCCTCAGATGTTGAGCTTCCTATTTTGATTACATCTTTCAGAACTTTATTAACTTCAAGTGCTTCAGTGTAAGTTTGTTTGGCTACCAAAGCTGTGTCTTTCGTTACTTCAGCTAACAGTTTGGATTGATTTAAAGTTTCGTGAATCTTTTCAATTTCTGATTTTATAGCTTTGGCACTAGTTGTGTAATCTTTAAGATTTTTTAGTGCTTCTATGACTTTTCTCGACTCTTTTGTTGTTTCTACTGCGTCGGTTGCGTTCTTTGCTTTTTCAGCTGCTGCTTGTGCATTTTGCAGACTCTTTTGTGCTTGATTATTTGAAAATTGTGCTTTGGATGTCAAATTTTGAGCTTTTTCAAGTTGTTCATTCAAAATTGTCAATTTCTGTCGTTCCTCCTTCTCTCTTCTTGCTTTAGACTCTCCAATTTCTTCCCTAGATCTTAGTCCTTGTTCCACAGATTCTTCAGTCTCTTTAGCCTCAATCCTGAGCTTCTCAGTTTCTTTGCCTATTTTTATAGCATCTTCTGCCAAACTTGATATGTTTGCTGCAATTTCTGCAAGAATTGACATTTGTTCTGCTGCAAGATTTGCATTATTATCTGCTTTGTTAGCTTCTTGTTGTCTTGCATTATCAGCTTCATCCTGTGCTGTCATTGCTGCTTCATGTGCTTTATTAAAGTCATCTTTAGCATTTATAGCTTTTTTATTAAGATTCTCGAATGTAGTTTGAGCTTCTTTGGCAATTCTAGTCATTTCAGCTTCTGTTTCTTGTGATTTTTTATACTTTTCACTTTTTTGTTGAGATTCGGCATGCAATTGGAAAGCTTGATGCTGAATTGACGCTGCATTAATTCTTACAACTTCACATTCCGTTTTAGTATCTTCGCTGATCTTTTTACCTATTTTAATGCTGTTGAAATCTTCTACAGCTTCTGATTTTGCTGATTTAGCAGCCTTAAGAATCTCTTCTGATTCTGTCAGAACATCCTGTACATCAATAGCGGCTTTGTCAACTTCTGCTTTTACATCAACTCCTTTTAATGCTTTTCTAGCTTTGTCAAGCACATGATTAGCTAAAGATATAGCTGCATTGACATTTTTTTGAGTTTTTGTAAAGTTTAACTTGATTTGCTCAATTTTACTTCTTGTTGACTTGATTTTATCTTCTGATTCGCTAACTTTTTGACCAGCTTTGTAGACCCTACTTTCCGTCTGATTTGCTGTTCCTTGAGCTTTTAAAATACTTTCTTGCATTGACTTTGCATCATTCTGAGCAGCTTCGACATCAGAAAGTGCCTTTGAAGCTTCAAGTTTGGCATCTTTGACATCTTGTTTGGCTTTATTTAAATTTAATGTCAAATTCTTCAATTCGTCTTTTGCAAAAGTTGACTCTTCGTTTGCTTTATTAGCTGCCTGCTTAGCTTGTTGTGCCTTAATTTGTGCTCTTATTGCTTCACTTTCCAATTCGTAAATATCTCGTCGAGGACGTTTTGGAGCATTTATTGACCGAACTTGCAGAACAGATATATTAATTATTTTTGAATTTTCTCGATCCTTTGCATTTGAAGCTATTCTGTATGATTCCATGGCTGTCTCGAGTGCATTTAATAAATTTCTTTGTGCATCGTTAATCGTTGTATTTGCAGAATTGACATTATTTCTTGCAATATTTGCGGTCGTTTGTGCATGCTTTATATGGTCATCTGCTCCTTTAATCGACATTTGTGCTTCTGATGTAATATTTACAGCAAGTTGAACGTTAAGGAGGACATTTTCAGCTTTCTCGATTTCTCTTTCAACTCTGATTCTCTCGCAGGACTCTTCGTTCTTGTCATAAACGTAGTAGAATGTATCTTTGATGTCTAAAATTAGAAATTGTATTTAAGTTAAAGGATGTGATTTAAAAAGTATTTCAGGGGGATAACAACTTGCTGGGAAAATTTAACTTGTTGAAAATAAATTAACAGACAAAAAGTGGGAATAATCCCACAATTTTCAGCATCAAAAAAATTGTTATCCTTTTAGACCAGTGCTGGTCAACCTATGTGCCACAAAAAAATTAAGAACGCCCACGAACCGTGGGCAGTTTCTGTCATGGCTCGCAAGAAAGGTGTGCCGTGGCACAAAAAGGTTGCACACCACTGCTTTAGAGAATGCTTCAATAGTGCGGAACCAAAGAACCATCCATTAATCCAGTGGTGACCAACCTTTTTTGTACCACAACACAACTTGATGATAAGCTATGACTTAAACCGCACACAGCATACGGTTCTTGTGATTTCTCGAATGTTTTGCTGCACACTCTAGTGCCGCGGCACATGAGTTGACCATAACTGTTTTAATCAGTTCCACACCCTTGATATTGTCTTACTTGATCTGTAGTAATCATAAACTTTGATCATTGAATATTGATGATTGCTGATTTCAAAGATTTTCAATGCGCTGATTGATATTTTGAGGTTTTGGTCCTTTTTAAGCTTGTTGATTCTGAATGCCACTGAATTGCTGTTGGTTAAGGTCTCGAAACTCTGAAATTAATTTTTTAAAAATTGTTAATGAAGTCAGCAACCGAAAATCATGTTATTGTAGCTTAAAACAGAGTTGGGAATCAAATGGGAGTCAACTTGATTTAATTCGAGTTGAAGACGATTCAAAGTAAACTTTGTCAATCCCGAAAAGCACAAGTCGGTTAATCGAATGGGAATCCAGTACCAAGCTGGCATAACTCTAGAATTTATTTTGATCACCATGCTAGAGTCACGTCTGCTTGATGCTGGATTTCTACTCGATTAACCGACTTATTCTATTCCGATAACTTCAAGACAGCTTCAAGTCGAGCAGACTCAAATCTACTCAATCTAGTCATTTTTGAGCTCTGTTACAGAGCAATAGTAACAACTTACCAAGACATTCTCACTAGAATCATGACCAAGATACCTAAATCCTCTCGGAAGTTCAATTTCAAGGACTATCAAGTTTTTCACACTTTGACTTCCTTTGACTTTAACATCAAGCTCAATTTTGAACTCTTTGTCACTAATTTCTACTCTATTTGCAGTAATTAGGAAGTAGTCTGATGTGTTTGCTGGTTTTCGAGCATCACTTTCTTGTCCAAATGGTTTAATACTATTAGTAGCAACTAAACTTAAGTCTGGCTGAGCATTTTTAAACTTTGCGTATTCAAAGAAAGCACGAAGGACTAAATCTGCATCGTATGGTGAATAGAAGCCATTTGATGTGCTTAGCTGCTTGGTTAGCCATTTGACATCACCTTGCGGATCCCGGTTCAGGAGGATTTGAGTCAAGATCTTATAAGCTGCAATCTCAATGTCAGCTGCTTCATCACGTGCAATCCTTGTCAAATCCTTGAGCAAATTTCCAGCATTTATCATGTCTTGGTTAAGTGCAAATGCATAAGCAGTGATAACTTTTTGATAATCACTTGCCATGCTGGTGTATTTTAAATATTTCAATGCTTTTGTGACTTCATTCTGGAATTCTAACCTATCTTCATTTTTCAGGAATATAGAAGCAATGTAAGCTGTCTGAATGTCCTTTCGGTTGCCGCCCATTTCTTCACGATAGTCGAACTTTGAGTCATAATAAAATGAACCGTCATCTTGTTGCTGTGATTTTATGAAGTCCAATGCTTTTGTTATTAAGTTTTGATCAATATTGATGAACTGTCGAGCTTCAATTATTGTTTCTGCTGTTAAGGCTGCTAACATGACGGATTTTGGTTCTTTGGTTTCGAGAATTTTGTCAAGGATCGATAGAGCTTCTTGGTATCCTGCTAGAAGATTATTTACTGATTTTTGGGTACCACTTTTACTTAATTGTTGATATTTATGGCTTGTGATTGCTGTTGAGAATGCCAAGAGCCTTTCTTCATCTGAAGATATCGGATTATTGCTATAAAAATTCAAAAAATTTAAAAAAAAAATCGAAAAAAAATTCAAAATTTTTTAAAAAATTCAAAAATTTTTAAAAAATTCAAAAATTTAAAAAAAAAATTCAAAAAATTCAAAATATCCAAAAAATTCAAAAAAAATTCAAAAACATTCAAAACATTAAAAAAATCAAAAAATTCAAAAACAATCAAAAATTCAAAAAAAATCAAAAAATTAAAAAAAATCAAAAAAATTATGATAAAAATCAAAAAATTAAAAAGTTCAAAAAATTTAAAAAATTCAAAATTTTCGAAAAATTCCAAAATATTCAAAAAATTAAATATCCAAAAAATTCAAAAATATTCAAAAAAATTCAAAAAATTCAAAATCATTCAAAAAATTAAAAAAAATTCAAAAAAATTCAAAAAAAATTCAAAAAATTTTAAAAAAATGTCAAAAAATTTTAAAAAAATGTCAAAAAATTCGAAAAGGTTCAAAAATTAAAATAAAAATAGAAAAAATTTAATAAATTTCAAAAAATTTAAAAATGTTCATAGAATTTAAAAAACCAAAAAATAAGCTAAAAACCCAAAAAATTCACAATGTCAAAAATTCAAAAATACTTACAAAAAACTATCCAAATCATCAACAGCAGACAAAAGAATGTTTTTATATGAAAGCTCAGAATCAACTTCAACCTTAATATCCTCAGAGATAACTTCACTTTCGAAATCACTTGGACTAGCTTTATTCTTCAATTTAATAACTTTTGTAACTTCGTCATTGTAAGTTCCAGTTGTTGCTTTAACTGTTATTTTAATGTCACCATTGCCATCAGGTTGAATCAACAATGTCTTAGTTGCTGATAACTTTTGATCTCCAATATTTAATGAAATATCGACGCTCCTTAGATTTGATGGCTGGAAGTCTAGACATTTAATATTGTGCTCTATTCGTGGACTTTTGTCAACAAAGAATCCATTTTCAAGTGTAACTGAGAAATCAGAAGTTATAGCCTCAAACAGAGTGTTATATACAGCCACATCAATCCATAGAATCTCGTCATTATTTACTGACGTTGGTGATTTAAGCTGAATGGAAATTTCACTTTTGACAGTTGTCTTTGGCACAACCTTTGCAACTGTCAAACCTTTCTTTGGATGCACAGAAATCCCAAAGTATCGGAATGTTGTTAGAGCTTCTGGAACTTTATGGCTTATTTCATGTTCGTCATCACTAACAGCATCATAAGACTCATCAAACCAAACATCTGGGAAGTACTTGACATCGTTAATGCTTGATGAAGATTCTTTAATATCATTTGATTCATAGCTGAGCACTTTAGATGTTCCATCCTCACATGACTCTCCAGATAGCAAAGGATTCAATACAAAAGCATTTAACTTCTCAAAATGATACTCTGAGGAATTTGGATACTTTAAATTTAAGTAATAAACTAGCTCATTGTAAATGTCATTTCTGGATATTTCATTGTCGCGATTGATTGACAATGGATTGATATCGGAAGCTGAAAGGTAGACTTTTGATCCTTGTACAGTTTTGAATTTAATTGTTGCTTCCTTGTTTGGCTTTGTGTTTTCGACAGCAAAAATGTCGATCTGGAAAATGGATAAGAATATTTATTTAAGTCGGAGACTTAAGGATCACTAAGATAAAGCTAGACTAAATCACACTAACCGCGTTCTCAATTGAAAATCCAAGACTAAGCTGCAATTCATCATAAATAATCACACCGCTTTCAGGTTTTACATAAAAGGCAAATACACGTGCTTCTGGCTTCATGCTTTCAGTCAATTTTATGGGAAATTTGTAAACATCCATTCCAACTGCATCGGGAAACTCTTGGCTCTGAATGATGCCTTCTTGTCCAATCACTAGGACATGCAATGTTTCCAATTCTCCTGTTGTATTTGCTGATATGAGGACTTGATTGCCAATCTTTGAGCTGAAAGTATTTGAGAGCATTAATGGGAGGAGAGGTTCAAAAAGAAAGTGGGGAAGGGGCAAAGAGAGAAAGGGGCAATGGGGGAAGATGCAAAAGAGCAAATGAGGAAGATGCAAAGGAGCAAAGGGGGAAGATGCAAAGGAACAAAGGGGGAAGATGCAAAGGAGCAAAGGGGGAAGATGCAAAGGAGCAAAGGGGGAAGATGCAAAAAAACAAAGGAGGAAGATGCAAAGAAGCAAAGGGGGAAGATGCAAAGGAACAAAGGGGGAAGATGCAAAGGTGCAAAGGGAGAAGATGCAAGCAAAGGGGGGAAGATGCAGAAAAGCAAAGAGGGAAGATGCAAAGGAGCAAAGGGGGAAGATGCAAAGGAACAAAGGGGGAAGATGCAAAGGAACAAAGGGGGAAGATGCAAAGGAGCAAAGGGGGAAGATGCAAAGAAGCAAAGGGGGAAGATGCAAAAAAACAAAGGAGGAAGATGCAAAGAAGCAAAGGGGGAAGATGCAAAGGAACAAAGGGGGAAGATGCAAAGGTGCAAAGGGAGAAGATGCAAGCAAAGGGGGGAAGATGCAGAGAAGCAAAGAGGGAAGATGCAAAGGAGCAAAGGGGGAAGATGCAAAAAAACAAAGGAGGAAGATGCAAAGGAACAAAGGGGGAAGATGCAAAGGAGCAAAGGGGGAAGATGCAAAGGAGCAAAGGGGGAAGATGCTAAGGAGCAAAGGAGGAAGATGCAAAGGAGCAAAGGGGGAAGATGCAAAGGAACAAAGGGGGAAGATGCAAAGGTGCAAAGGGAGAAGATGCAAGCAAAGGGGGGAAGATGCAAAAAAGCAAAGAGGGAAGATGCAAAGGAGCAAAGGGGGAAGATGCAAAAAAACAAAGGAGGAAGATGCAAAGGAGCAAAGGGGGAAGATGCAAAGGAGCAAAGGGGGAAGATGCAAAGGAGCAAAGGAGGAAGATGCAAAGGAGCAAATGGGAAAGATGCAAAGGAAAAAAAAGGGGGAAGGGGCAAAGGGTAAAGGAATGTTTCAATAAACTAGAAATGTTTTAAACTAGGCCCCAGTTTATTCTACCCTGCTCCCCTGCAGTACCTAAAACTCCCCTTTACTACTTCCTAGTTCGAAATTAACCCAAACCCAGTCAACTTACCTTTTTCTAGCAAAATGAAGTTGCATGTATTCATTAGCTTCGTAAGTTGGCAATGGCTCAAGCTGTTCTTCTAGTTCAGCACCAGCAAATGCCAATTTAACAACAATCCGTTCAGTTTCAGGCTTAGTTTGAAGGATGTTACTAGCTTCGCCATTTTTTAAATTAACTGCAAAGGATTTTGTGAGTATTTGGATCTTATTTGTTTTTTTATTCCTGTTGTGATACTCATTAGTGACTGAAAGCTGGTTGAATGAGTTGTCAAGACGTCCTTCAAGCAACTTGACTCGAACTTTTGTTGAAAATGTAAAGCCAGGTTTGAAATATTTTTTCCGAACGACTTGGATGACATTTTTAATTTTAAACTTCATCTCAACTTCTTTGGACACTTTTGTGGATCTTTTTGTTGCTGCATCTGTCAATGTTATGTCAAACTTCAGCAACATGTCAGCTGTTGGGAATCTTAGCCCTAAATCTTCAGCAAAATCGATGGCAAATCCTTTCTTGTTTCCAAAAATGTCAACATCCTTAACATGATGATTAATTTCAATCTTTTCAGACCCTTTGAACTTAGCACTTGCTGACACACTAGCGGTTCCGATGAAAAATTTGTTTGTTTTATCACTGACGATGACTGTTATGTACATTCTGTTGTCTAGAAATGACACGACTAATGGCATCTCTAACTGGACTTCCAATCCTTCCTCAACTGACTTTCCAACATTGAAATATTTTAAAACTTCTCTGCCCATGACTTTGGTCACAATTTTCCATCTTCCCAAATTTGGTGCATCTGCGATCTTCAGCAATCCTTCAAAAACTCCATTTTCAGCTTTAATGTTGTCTAAATTAAGTACAACATTGTCCTTAGCATCATGAATTGTGACATCAATTTGTCCATGAGATGATAACGGAATCATGCCTTTATTCAGCACAAATATTCTAAACTTAAAGTCATCTCCTGTTTTGTAAATTGGTTTGTTTAATTGAATGAATATTTTTGGATTTTCATGTGGCTTGATAAGCTTTATTGACTGCAGGCTGCATTCATCTTTTTCAAATGTTGTGACTTTTAGTTCATAGTTGTTTGTGGTTTGCTGGGGAACCTGAAATGGCAAATATTGTTTGAGAATTCTGTGGTTGATTTTATTAATTGATTCTTGGCAGGCGCGTAGCCAGAGGTGGGGGGAAATTTCGTGGACATATCCCTCAACGTAAACAGAAATTTCTTTTTTTGCTAGGGTTTTTATGAAAAAATCACAAAAATCCCCCCCCCCACCCAAATTTTTACCCCCCCCCCCCCCCCTTTTCAAATTCTAGCCAAGCCCCTGATGCTTGGTTACGAAGTATCCCTCAACTATGTCCTAGCTATACACAAGCATTCATAGTCTAGGTCAGTGCTGTCCAACCTTTTTGAGGTAAGGTACACCTTGATGTTTAACCATGACCAAAGCTACATGGCATTTTTGGTATTTGAAAAAAGATTGTACTGTTTAATAATATGCCGCAGCACAAAGTTGGAGCAACACTGCCTTCGGTAAACCCATGTCATAATCTAGAATTAATCTTCTATACATGCCATGAGCATTGTAAGTGGGTTCGAAAACCAGTGATGACCAACCCATGTGCCGCGACACACTAGAGCATAATAAAAAAAATTGAGAAATCCCACGAATCGTTTGCCGTTTCGGTCATGGTAAACACCAAGGTTCCGTTGCACAAAAAAAGGTCGATCACCACTGTATCAAGCTGATTTCTTCGGTACTAGTATGGTCTAGATTAGCGTTGGTATACAGTAGTGCCGCTGGTATTGGGACGTTAATAATAATAGACCAACTAATGCCAAACTACTCCAAGTAGACTTAAAAACGGCTCCAGGATCGGAGTAAACAGCTTCAATCAACTTTCAGCTTCGGTTCGATCAATGATTCTCAAGTCATGAGCTATTATTAGCTTTTTTACACTATCAATTACCCAACATACCTTAAAATTAACTTCACTGTATGAACCATCTTTAAAGTTCCTAAGATGCTGTGGTGATTCGATTCCATCACTCAATAAAGACACATTCACAAAAGCCGCTTCATCTAAGTTATTTGTCAATAGGAGAACTTTATAATTTGAATCTTCCGGAATGTATTGCGAGCCAATAATTGAAACGCGTTGACTGAAATGAAATAAAGATGACATTTAATAAGGATGTGGAATTTTAATGAGTATAGTCAGAGATGAAGGTTGGGTGTGAGTAACGATTTCTCATGTGTATGGTACGGTACGACATGAGAACAACATTAGTAAGTCACACTTTAAATGCAGCAATAGTAAGTAATACAGATTCACATGGGATGATAAAGTAGGATATCATTTTGAACAAGCTGGCCATACCAGGTACATTGTTGAACTGTGCCGATGATGTTCTTACACTTTTACTGAATATATGGATTCCAACATTCAAACTTTTAACCAAGGCAAGTTTCAGATGACCTGCACAAGATTACTTTTCAAATTTCTTAAAGTATTATTTTTTCCTAGAGTACGTGTCAGTAAAGTAGCAAAGTGAACAATTATAAAAGTTCAACAAGAAAACAAATTAATGAAATGTATCAACTTAATAAACACACACGCAAATAAGACTTAATTGACCATGCAAAATGTTGATTAACTCGAATTTCATCAGATTATTATGGCTACAAATGAATAATTTTAAATACTCTGTAGCCGGAATTAAGGCTTGTTATTGAAATATTTAAACTGAAATTGATAAAGTTGTGCTACATTTTGAGCTAATTTAATGATGAATTGAAAACAAGGAGAACATCATAAGGATGTAGCAGGGATATTTGTAGCTCGAGGCCCGTTTTGTATTGGATAATCTGACTTTTCTTTGTGGCGCCAAGGCCACAAAAGTCCAAAGACTTGGTTACGCTCCCTTGACATGCGATATTGATGGTTACGGTGCTAAGGTCAAACAGCAGGTGCGTAGCCAAAGGAGGGGGGTATTAATGGACAAATCCCTCAACGTCAGCAGGATTTTTTTCATTTTGCTAGGGTTTTCATGAAAACAAATCCTAAAATAAGCCCCCCCCCCCCCTCCTTAAATTTTTTATACAGATAAATATGTGCCAGGTTTTGCCAATGGAACTATTGCACCTTAGCTTATGAGACAAATAGATGAGACACTAAGGTTATAATGAATTTATAGATGAATGAATGTCAGCTTAATGTGCGGACAGAGAATATGTACAAACTAGATGACAAGGTCAGCAACAGAGTCAGATGGAAAACCTTTTGTTGTAACCTTAGCTCCACATAGGAACATGGTTACAGTAAGTAAGTATGGAAGTAAGTATTAAGGTTATAAGCTCTAGAACAGAAAGTTGAAAAAGAGTGGTTCACATATATTGGCAAATTGCTAGTTCAAATGGCAAAGCCCAATGTCTTTGTGGCAGAGCTCGAAGTCGATAGAGTTCGAGTCGACTCGAGTCAACTCGAGTCGACTTCGAGCTCTGCTCTGTGGTCTGAGCACTTGATCGGCAATCTGAATGAACTTGAGTGAATTTCCTTTTTTTCAACATTTTTTGATATTTTCATGTAACAAGCAAAAATCTTGTTGAAAGTTCGTTCATTCAGTAGCTCAGCTACGCTTTGCTCCAATTTCAAACCCCATCAACATCAATAAATTTAAAACAATTTGAATATACACACCTCTTTATAGCTTTAAAATACACTCCAAAAATTACTATAAGTATGAAGTCAAGCTTCATTTCTGTCGAAGATTTTTCAACAACAAAAAAAAAATTATGCAAAAATTCAATTTAATTTTTGTCTTTTCACTCAATAATCACTGAAAGACTAAACTGTTCTGACAAGTTCAATCGTAATTATTTCGAATAATTAAAAGTATTTACTAAATAATTTATAAATGTGCAAAAAATTGTGATGAACGTCTTTATGTATTGAAGCAATTGAGTCTTGTTTTGATTTGATAATCGACAATTTCTCAGAAAATCAAGAGCAAGTGAGAGTGGGAGAGCATTGAGAGAACTTTAATCCCCCACTTAAAAGTTTTGGAAATGAGTGAGAGAAAGTTGATTATTTTTTCAAATAAAAATTAGCCAGTGTCTAAGCCTGGAAAGTGGTGGGAGAAAATTTTATGAAATCTTTAATTTTTCATTATTTTTTAATTGCAGTTGATACTCAAACAAAGTGCTTTACACATGAGAGTACCCCCCACTCTATTTGGGAAGGGGGGATATTGTCATAACAAGAGTAGAAGAGTCCTGATTTTTTTATACTTATTTTGTCTACACGTACATTTTTCATCGCGTAGCCAAAAGGGTCTTGCCCCCTCCCCCCTCCTCTTCATTTTACGGGGACAAGACTCTTTTGGCTACGCGCCTTACTTGAATTCTTGAAATGATTATTTTCGGTGTACTCGAGTCAGACGCGTAGCCAAGGAGGGTCTTGTCCCTCCCAGGCACGTAGCCAGGAAAGAGGGGGGGACAAATCTACCAACGTAAAAAGAAATTTCTTTAATTTGCTAGGGTTTTAATGGAAAAATCAAAAACATTTCCCCCCCCCCTAAATTTTTACATGCAAAAAAAGTTTTTGCCCCCCCCCCCTTCTTCAAATTCCTGGCTACGCCCCTGTACGCCCCTGTACGCCCCTGTACGGCCCCTCCTTTTGTCTAAGGGGGCAATACATGGACGCTGCAAGGAATTTGAAGAGGGGGACAAAAAAAATTTTATATGGAAAATTCAGAGGGGTAAGGGGGGATTTTTATGTATTTTTCATAAAACTCCTAGCAAAATGACGAAATTTCTCTTAACGTCGGGGGATTTGTCCCCAAAATCCCCCCCTGGTTACGCGCCTGGGACAATAATCTCCTAGCAACCTTTGTTCAGGGAAATAAGACCCTCCTGGCTACCAGCCTGTCTCCAGTACATCAAAAATAATCATTTTGGTTAACTTTTTAATGACATTTCAAAAAAATCTTAAACGTTTTTAAATTAAATTAAATTTTTATTTTTAAAATTCTATTTTATTCATTACTAATTTAATTAAAAATTAAGTTCCTCAAATTTTGGAGATTCCATCAATTTAATTTCATCATAAATCATAAAAAGCAAAAATCAACGATCATTTCCGAGAGAGAATTCATTCCTCGTTCCTCTTTCCAGCCTACGAATATTTATTTTATTTTTGAGTGAGTGATAATTGACTTCGGCTTCATTTCAGTTTTGTTTGACGTCGAAAGAAGATCTGGCAATTGTGAATTAATAAGAATTATTTGAGAATATAAAGTTATAAGAAAAATGAAGCTTCGGTTTGCACTTTTCTTTCTCTTGGTGACTAATTTGACATTTTGTTACTGGTATGGCAAGTTTTAAGTTCTTAATTATTTATGTTTTGTGCCGGTTTTGATGGAAAAATTTATTTGATTTAATTTGAGCAATTTTGAAGATTTTTTTTGTCACTCAACTGATTTTGAGTCACAAAAATATTTAATTCTATTTCTTTGGGGGCCGTTCGCTTATTAAGGAACGTGAAATATCATTTTTAGAGCCCCCTCCGCCTCCTTCATCCTTGTTTTCGCAAAATTTCAATAATTAATGCTAATTTTGTTTAAACTAAAAGAAAATCACATTCTCAGCATTATTTCAAAAAGCGTTACTTAAAAGATGAACCCTTGGATTCATATTTCATATTTTATGAACATTCTTTCACGTAATACACGTTGTGTGGCAGTCATGGCAGATCAAGTGACATCATGCAATAATAATCTTATTTGTTTTTCGAGTGAAAATTGTATTAGAATTTAAACAATAAGATAGAGCCTGTTGAGTGGGATGATGAATTATCATTATTTCTTAAGGGGAAAACAACATGATGGGAAAATTATTATTTAAGAAATTTACAATGATGCTGATTCCGCCTTGATGAGAAGGATCAAAACTGTTGAAAATTTAAAGGAAAGAAAAATCAAGAGTGCGGAACTGAAAAATGAGTTTTTGATCAATTTTAAATGTTTTTGATCAGTTTCATAAGCTTTGAAAAACTTGAATAATTATCAGGAGGGGAGGGGGGGGGGGAGAGGGGTGTATCAAAGCGAAAAGTTGAAAAATTGATTAAAGTTAAGAATTACTGTCTTATTACTTTTTGATTTGTTCCCCCTGAAAATCCTTCATCAAAATTATTTCCCATCATGTTGTTTTCCCCTTGATGTTTTTGCATATTAATCATTTCTTGAGCTAAACGTCATGAATTGGCATTAATAATGTAATTCAAGAATGCAGAACTGATAAATTACATTTTGATCATTCTTGATCATTTCATCCAAGGCGTGGAAACTCAGGATTAATCCTGAATATCCCAAAAATCCTAAAATAATCCCTGAGCCAATAGACATGAAAATGTGAAATCCCCTTTATATCCCGAAATTATTCATTAAATGCATCAGGGTTTTAAAAGGATTTTACATTTTCAAATTTATTGGCTCAGGGATTATTAGGTTTTTTTTGGATTTTTCAGGATTAATCCTGAGTTTCCACGCCTTGATTTCATCAGTTCCCCACCTTTGATGTGGTTTTGGAGTCTTCCTTTAACGTTATAACCAGAAATCGAAGCCGCCGGTAAATAAGCCGGCTAAAAATTCAGCTTAATTAAGCCGCGCTAAACCGCCGCGTTAAGTGCCTTCGATCTCTGGTTATAACCAACAAATTCCTCATTTTACTAATATTATTCCATTTTAGTGAGAAAATAGCACTGCTGGGATCGCCTTATTTATCAAATTCATCATACAAATTCTACCTAATCACCGATGGAATGATTCCACAGTCAACTGTTAATGTCAACCTTAACACAGATGATAATCCAATTGAACTCAAGACATTCGATGATTTTTCAAAGAACCTGATTGAATCTGATGTAAGTAACTTGAGGATTTTACTATCCTTTCCATGGGCGTAGCCAGGAATTTGTAGAGGGGGGACAAAAAAAAATTACATGAAGATCTGAACTGATCAACTGTGTTAATGATCACTTTGGTCAATTTTGCTTCTGCAGGGTCCTAGCCAGGCTCTAGACCCTCTCCCAACCCAAATCCCTCTAGTCTCTTTCCCTTGTATTGTAAATAATCATTCTTAAACCTCAAATTATTGTCTGAAAATTAGTTTGCAGTTGAAAATTCCAACAATTACGAGTTAAAGGTAACAATCACAAAATGCAGCCAGTCAGTGAATCTCATTAGGACATCAGAACAACCAATGATTTTTATTTCTTTCAATAAACCAATTTACAAAACTGGCGAAGAAATCAACTTTAAAGTTTTCGTCCTAAATCAAAAACTGATCCCATTGAAGGATTACAAGAAAATGGACATAGCCGTTTTTGATTCCAACAAAAATGCAGTTAAGATCGTCAAAGATGCAATGGGTGATCAATTTGGTATTTTTCGGGAATCACTTCAAATTGCTGATGATCCATACTTGGGGAATTGGATGATTCAGGTTCTTATTGGTGATAAAAATGTTACAAAAAGTTTTGAGGTTCAAAAGTACGATGAAGGTGACATTGAAGTTCTTATTGATGCTCCATCAACTGTAGCACATTCAGATCGTAGGATGTATATGAGCATATATGCCAAAAATAGCGATGATAATTTCGTAAGAGGAACTGCATCAATTTCTCTGAAAGCTTCATTCGTCGGTCAACGCGATGCAAAGATTAACAAACCAAATTTTAAGGAAGTTGAGCTGAATAGCTTCAAAACATCCATAACTTTAGATTTTTCTGAGGATTTAGACCTGAGATTCCCAACATCTGACATGATTTTGATGTTTGAAGCTAAAGTAACTGAAAAATCATCAAAAATTTCAAAAACAGCTCAAAAAGAGATCAAATTGATCCATAAAGGAAGAAACACAATCCAAGTTATTGGAAAAAAGTATTTTAGGCCAACATTCATGTATCAATTAAAGATTAGAGTCAAGACACTCGACGGTAAGGCTGACAATTCATTTAATCAACTGTCTATGGAACTACAATACAGCAATGATAGACCATCTGATGCTAAAAAATACAACATCAATCTTAACAAAGGAGAAACTGTGCAATATCTACAACCTACAAAGGATACAAAGAAAATTATTGTCAATCTCGAATTTGGAGGAACTAAACTTACAAAAGAGATTCATGTGTTACCTACTTTTGGTGTTGAGGAGTTTATTCAAGTTACTGTTGTTAGCAAGAGGTGAGTTGTGCCTTCTTTTGACTTAGAATTGTCTCATAGGTAGTTTTTGCAAAGGGACAAAAGAAGCTAGCTTTTGATGTGCTAAGTACAGGGACATGCTTCCAAGGCTTCTCGGAGAACTCTACCTCTAGTTTTAGAAATATTATATGAGCACTAGTTTAGTCCCCATCAAGCATGAACATTTTGAATTCTTCAAAAATACACCATTTTGAATTTTTAAAAATCCGCCATTTTGAATTTACAAAATCCGCCATTTTGAATTTACAAAATCCGCCATTTTGAATTTTTAAAAAATTTGCGATTTTGAATTTTTATAAAAGCCGTCATTTTTAATTTCACAATTTCGAAAAAATCGCACGGTTTATATTATTTCTTAGCAAGGACACAGACTGGATACCATTGCTGCAATCAAAGTCAGGGTTGTGGCCAGAAATTGAAGAAAGGGGGGACAAAAATATTTTTTATATGGAAAATTAAGGGGGAAAGTTGATTTTTAAGATTTTTGCACAAAAACCCTAGCAAAATGAAGAAATTTCTGTTAATCCAAGGGGATGTGTCAGCTAAATTCCCTTCCCCGACCACCGCCCCCCCCCCCCCTCTCCTCCCTCAGCTTCCTGGCTGCACACCTGATCAGAGTGTTTCGAAAACTGATTTTTTTCTTTAGGTTTCATCTGCAGCTAGTCCATTTTGAGATCATTTTTCACACTTAAGATCAAATGTTTTCTTGTTAAGCACTCCTGCATCTGTGAGAGGTCCTAATTGACACTAGAAGTCAGAAAAAAATATATTTGATTAGATTTGGTTAGCTTTAATCAGTTTCAATCCATTTCGATCAGTTTTGACAATTTCAAAACCTTTAACAACAATTTGTAACCCAAATTCAGTGCCTTCTTAATTTCATTCCATCTAACAATAAACAATAGCCAACCGCCTTATTTATTTTTTCAGCACAAAAGTTGGCGACCAAGTAAAACTGACAGTCAATGCAACAGAAGAAATGAATGAACTTCATTTGGTAGTTTTTGGATTGCAAGGAATTGTTTATAGCAACAAGTTTCCAGGATCAGTTGACAAAGACATTTTTGAGGTCTCATTTGAATTAACTGAAGAAATGAAGCCAGAAGCCCGTGGAATTGTCTTTTACGTCAGGAATGGAGTGATGATTTATGATGAGTTTTCAGTATTGCTAGGATTTTCAATTGATAATTCGGTAAGTTTGAATGTATTGGTGTAGCTTCAAGTAGTTGGATGTTAAAGGGGTGTGGAACTATCAGATTGGTATCAGTTAAATCAGTCGGGAATAGTATATAAGATATTAGATAAGGAAAAGTATACTGGGTACCCTTAAAAATCAGCATAAAGACAATTTCATATGATTAATCATTTAAAATTCTTTTTAGCTCGAACTGACAGCTGACAAAGATGCCAAGCCAAACACAATGACAACAATTGGTGTAAAAACAGAAGTAGGAGCACAAGTGTTCCTTACAGCCATCGACAGCACCTCAGCATTGCTAAAACGAAACTATGAAATATCGAGGACAGATATCTACAATGAATTAGTATATTACCTTAATAAGAAGTTTCCAGGAGTCAGCAGATATCAACTTGAGAAGCTTAATGCTTACATTTTAGAACCATTGATTAATGGACAGAATTGTGGATCAGAATTGTCAAGTCGTACAAACATTGCAAGTGATGACGAAGAGGAAGTGAGAGACAATGAAGTTCATCAATATTTCCCAAAAGTATATTTTGATGACAGCTTCAATTCAACATCTTTGGATATTCAAAATAAGCAAATGCAGGTCCCGAACAGCTTGTCAACATTAAAGTTGTATGGAATTTCAGTTCACAAGACGAAAGGCTTTACAGTTGCCAAAGTTCAACCAGAAATTTCTGTCAAAGAAGAGCTTTTGATTCAAATTGAAGTTCCGTCACTAATTCGAACCAATGAGATCGTGCGAGCAGCAGTTTCAGCTTTTAACTTCCAAAATAGTCTACAAAATGGAAAAATAGTTGTAACTATTGAAAATGGATTCTTCATGGATGAGGAAGAAAGCAAAATTAAAAAAGATTGTTTGATATTCAGCAGACATAATAGTGTTGATTCTTTGACATTTAATGAGCCACTTCCAGCAAATGGCAAGCCAGTGACAGTAAAATTCCTCGTTTCGACAGATCAGCAAAAACCAATTAAGATAAAAGCAAAAGTCACAGCAAATGACGACACATATGAATCGGAGAAAGTAATCGATGTTTTGGGGCAATATATGATGGAAAAAACAAATTTGATGTCTTATTTAATAGAATCTAAAGGAAGTAATAAGTTTGAGAAGAAAATTGATTTCAGTTCAAAAGATTTAAAAAGCAATGATGTTTACATCACTCTTCACGGAGATCTTTTTGGTGCAGCATTCAGTGGATTGGAGGCTATATTGTAAGTAGATTGGGAATTTTGAAGCTATAAGCCAGTAGTGTTCAACCTTTTTTGTGCCATGGCACACTTGGTGGTAAGTCATGATCAAAACTGTACACAACATCATGGGATATACCCAAATTATTCACGACACACTAGTGTGCCGCGACACACGGGTTCGCCATCACTGCTATAAAGCATTGACTTCTTGACATGTTTGCTTATTTAAAAAAAAACTTTAGCATTCAGACCTTTTAGATCCATAGCTGCGCGTTGAATGCGTTACAAGGCTAATGATAGTTTAATGAGAGAGGGTTCGCCAGACCTCCTTCGTCCAATCCTAGACCTACAGTTTAAAGTGGGATCCGAACCACTCTTCTGTTGTCATTTCTGACTCTTGCCTACAAAGGAAGGCTGTGAGCCTCATTTGCAGTACATATGATCCGAAAAAGGGCAAGTGAAATTTTCCCATACCCTGTCTCGAACCCATGATCGCTGTGTCAATATTGCAATAATTAGGTACCGAAGTACTAAATTATTCCGCCACAAAGCCACTTCAGCTGCTCATTTTAACTGCCAGCAATTTAATTTTCCTCCTTTACAGCAACAAGTCGATGGTTCTCCCAGAAGAAAAATTGCTAAAATTTGCAGCCTCAATAATAATTTACAAATTCACTGAACTTGATGGATTTCATAACGAAGCTGTTAACATCAAAGCTATGAACGATATGATCAAAGGCTATCAAGAATCTCTCCCAATTCTTCAGAAACTCATCAAAGAAAATCAGGAAAGTCAATCATGGTTTGCATCATTCATTGCCGGTATCTTAATTGATGCCAGTGAGTTCATCTCGGTGGATTCAAAAGTAATTGATGATTTGCTAGATTTTATTAAGAATAAATTAGGAAGTAAGGAAAGTTTTGACTACAAAAAGCTTGATGATTTGCATCGTGATATTGACAGTGGAGCAGTTCGTAAGACAGTTCAAACAGCCTTAATTACTAACACTTTATTGAAAAGGAAGGAAAAGTTTGGTGGACAAATATCAAAATTGATAAAATATATTAAAAATAATAGTGGTGGAAGTGACTATGTTAAAGCTATTGTAGCTTACACGCTCACATTAAATGGAGATACTTCAGAAGCAAAACCTGATTACACAAAAACTTTACCAAAGGATAAATCTGCTAATGTTGAACTACTTTCGTACATAATTCAAACAAAAATCTTAACGGACAGTGATCCAAAGGATGAAGTTGACATGCTGATTTGCAACCATAGAAATGCTGACGGTGGGTTTTATTCACCATACGACACTGTTCTAGGCTTACAAGCACTTTATGAATACACAAAATATAAAGGCATTTCAACAAATCATGCAGACTATGAAATTGGAAGAAATAAAGGAACTTTAAATCTATTTGAGTCTGTAACTTTTAAAGTATCAAAAGGAGATACGATTAAACTTAATAGAAATGTACTAGCTTATGCCAGCCTTTATTTTCATCAAAAACAAGATAAACCAACTAAAATATTCACAATAAGTTATAATAAGGAGAAATCAAGTGACACATACACACACCTGGAATTCAAGTTTACACCCCCAGAAAAAAATCCAATGCAAAGTAATCAATTTGTTCTTGAAGTGGAAATAGCAAGAGGCCATCGATTTGTTGAACTAGCTGAAACTGATGCCACCATTAATGTAAGTATTACAAGTGATGCTTACAGAAAATGTGTCATCACCTGCAAACCTTTAAGCTCAATCATTAATTTATAAATTTTTATTTTAATCTAGAAATTTGAGCTCAAAAAACATGGCACTGCTGCAGTTTTCTACATTAATTATATGGAAATAAATAAAAAATATAAGCTAGCTATAAGAACTTCAAAAGTTTATGATTTCTACGCTACTGAGTCACAAATTATTTGGTTATATGATTACTATCGACCAAGTAAGTGAAATACGTTTTGGATTCGTTCATTTATTACATTCGGGGAAGAGGGGGGACGGGGGGTCTAAAGCCGGTTTGTAATGCTACGTAGGGCACCCTCCTCTAGCCTCAGATTATATTTATTTGTATCCAATATTGTAGGATATCAAAATTAGTTTCTGCCTTAGGGTCCCTCAGGTAGACCTAGAAACCAGATCCTTGGAGTACTTAGGGGCTGTTCACTTATTACGTAACGCGAAAAAATGACTTCTTAGACCTCCCCCCCCTCGTAACAAAATTTGTATGAAAAAAAATTTCCTTGTTTGAATCGTAACAAAATCTTAGACCCCCCCCCCCCCCTCCCCCTAAAAGCGTTACGTAATAAGTGAATGGCCCCTTATAAGCAAGCGTAAGGAACTGAAGAATTACATTTTGATCATTTTTTGATCAATTTTGATCAATTTTGATCATTTTTTGATCAATTTTGATCATTTTTTGAACATTTCTGAACATTTTTTGATCATTTTTGATTAGTTTTGATCATTTCATCAGTACCACACCCTTGCTTATAAGTGTAGCTACACACTCGAGGCGCGTATTTGAGTTAGGTGTGGGGAATCTTGGGACAAATCCCTTCGTCAACAGAAATTTCCTCATTTTGCTTGAAATTTTATGAAAAAAAATCCACATAAATTTTCAATATAAAAAATGACCCACCCCAAATTTCTGGCTACACCTCTGGTCAGATATCGAATCTTGCCAACTTTTAGCTTTGGCTTTAAGATTTTTTCAAAAAAAAACTCCAGCAAAAATGAAGAAATTTCTGTGAACGTTGGGGGTTTTATAACTCAGATCACCCACCTTCCCCCCTTGCTAGGCACCTGTTTTGAGCTCTAGACGTGTTAAGGGAACAATCCTTGAAGTAAAAAAATCTTTTTATTAATTTTTATTATTTTCTTCTTAATTTAGATCTTCGAGGAATCGCTTGGATCGTTCAAGATAATAATGCTAAGAATTGTCAGTAAAATTTAACATTTGTGAATTAAATTTGTTTTTTTAATAAAGTCAAAAATCATCAATAAAGAATTAATTGAAATTAACTCAAATTAAAAATAATCTATCAATAATTTGAAGGGTTGCCGAGGGTTTTGAACTGATTAAAATAATTGCAAGTGACCAATACCTGATGAATCAGAGGATAGACACTTATTAGCTCTTGAAAAAAAAACCTTTACCTATTCAGATCAATTGTGATCCAGAGGTGCGCTTGGGCGATTCGCAGCTAATGTGAGTTTAACGAGTGAGGATGCGCCAAATCACTGCACTCAAACCTAGACCTACAATTTATAGTGGGATCCGAATCACTCCTTTGATGACATTTCTGTCTGTAGCCTGCAAAGGAAAGCTGTGAGCCTCATTTCCAGTACATATGATTCGAAAAAGGACAAGTGAAAAATTTCCCATACCCAGCCTCGAACCCATGATAGCTGTGTCGGTATTGCAATAATTAGGTACCGAAGTACTAAATCATTCCGCCACCGAGCCACTTCAGCTCACTATTAGCTCTTAACCTACCTTAATTTTCTTCAATCTCTCAATTGATGATAAGAAAAATCAGTTCTAACCTCCAAAAATTTTGAATGTCAATTTATTAAATCATCTTCTCAAGGTCAGCTGATTAGTTAATTTTGAATTATATGTGTAGTCAATTGCTTTTTGAAATTTGATGGATTCTCTATTATATTCTAACATCCAGGATTTGTTTAAGCACATACCCATGTCAAACACTGTTCTGAACTGAAAAATCCTCAAATAAATTCAAATATCGCTAATATTTTTTATAAAAAGATTCTTTTTCAGCATTTCAACAACCTTTGCTCTGATTGGTTTTGCATCTTCTTACTTTTGTTCTTTTCATTCAAATTCGCTGAATCCTTCATCGTCTTCAATCATTTAACTTTGCCGCTAACCTCGTTTGACTTAGTATCCAAGCCTGAATCATTCGCTCTTTTCAAGCTTACAAATACATTTTAAATCTGATCCCCACCACAAGAGAAGTTAGAGAGCGTCTATTTTACTCTGAGAAGTGCCTGACTAAAATGTATTAAAAGATGCGAGTAAAGTCATCGTGATTCATATTAACCAAAATACTCGAGATTAATTATTTGCAAAAGTTGACTAAATAATGAGAGTTGTTGTGATTTTTTTAATATTTTTGCTAAAGTTTCAAGATATTTGGTGTGATGATGGGTTAGTATCATAAATAGTGTGGCTTAATATGACTGCGAAATGACAAAATCTGACTCTGAATGAATTGTTTATAAGGAATTAATATGATTAATTTACCATCAAGAGAACGGAGCTGATCAACTTACTTTTGATCATTTTGAACAGTTTCAGATCCTTTCTTTGGATCGTTCATTTATGCCGTCCAACATTTAGGGGGTAGAAGGAGTCATGGATTTTTCGACAGTTCTGTACTTTCCGGCGGAATTTTTGTAACAGGGAGTTCTGATCTAAAACGGACGTCATAAAAGACCCCTCATAACAGATTTTAAGCGCATTTTCTTTTTAAGAAATGACGCTATTTTCCGTACTTTGTATGTTCGTCGGTCTGTCTGTACAGCTATTTCCTCCTCCTGTTTAAGCTTTTTTGATGCAGTTTTTGGCTTATAATATGTGTATTGTGCCTGGCAAGAGCTCGTCAAAAAATAGTAGATTAAAATAAATTTCAACCGTTATTTCAAAAAATTTTTGACCGTTATTTTTCAAAAGTTTTAAGGCTTTGGATATTATTTTATACTTGATCACGTGTGATCACTTCTTTACTAGTCTAATCATATTTTCAAAATATCCTTAGATTCGTAACAATATGGGCACCAAAAGCCGTCTTTGAAGGAGGCGACTATAGCCTTTACTATCAACCAATAGGACTAAACAGCAAAAAAACATCAAAAATATCATTTCAGTTCCGAAAGAAAAATGCAACACTTGATTTAGAAAATGGCAAAGGCGTTCGATTGAAATTTCCACCGAGCATTACGACCGGAACTAGGAAGGAATTTGAATTGACTATGACACTTTATCGAAAGTTTATAAATCAAGGTAAACCTGTGCAGCATTGTATAACAAAAGCATTCAATATAACTTCTGAGAAGAGGAGTTACTACACATTTGTACAGATGGATAAGCCAATTTATAAGCCTGGCAATGAAGTCAAGTTCCGTGTTCTTGTTATTGATAGACATCTTAAGCCATATCATATGAATAATATCCACATTAACATCACAGATCCATTAGATCGTTCAATTAAAGAATTTAAGGATCTTGGCGATAGCTACTTGGGTGTATTCAGCTCTGGATTCAATTTAAGTTCAAATACTGCACTCGGTGACTGGAAAATTCGTGTTGTTGTTGATAAGAATCATCATTTTGAGTACTCGAAAGTATTTCCAGTTCAAGAGTATGAGACACCGCATTTTGACATTGCTATATCCACAGAACAGAAGCACATGCTTAGTACTGATAACTTGATATTGTCTTTTCATGCTCAATACATTTTTGGGGAGTCTGTCAATGGAAATGCTGAATTAACTATCGTTGATCCAAAAAGCAGCAAAAAATACTACTCAGAATCATTTAAGAACATTCAAGGCATTAAGAAGCTGACATACAGCATCAAAAATAAACTTAAAGTCACCACAACCTCAAAATTGATTCTAGAAGCACAAATAATATTTTCAGAACCCGAAAGCAGCTTCAGTGTCAATAGAAGCATTCAATTTGTTGTTCATGGTGATCCAAAGCGTAAAATTGAGCCTTTACATGTCAATACTTTTACTCCTGGAATTCCATTTAATATTAAAGTTAAAATAATCGATTGGAACGGCGAGGTGCTGCTTAACAGCAACGATAAAGTTGACATAAAGTACAACTACAAATTGAACAATAATCAGACAAAGGTTGCTTCTGGTAGCGTTGAGATAATTGATGGATATGCGACATATTACTCTATTGTACCGAAAAGTGCTTCTGGATTGACTGTTGAAGTTGAATTTTTGAAAACGTTTTATAGAAAATCTATTGCAAAGGGTAAAGCTAGAATCGAAAGTAATGCAATGTCTGTTTTCTATTTGCCGAAGAAGTAAGTTTGATGGATGTAGCTTAAGATTACTGGAAGTTGTAGCCAAAGGCCAAGATCTAAGGCTTCGCTAGATTTTTGATTCTATGGAAGCGATAACCTTGTAGTTTTGGCAATCGATCAACAATTTCCTAGTATCCTCAACCTCCTACCTTTGCTCTTGCTTGTCAAAACTAACTCTCCTCAAATTCCAGACCAAAACTCGGCGACGAAGTTGAAGTCTCGGTCGACAGTATATCAGCTCTTGGATCAACCGTGGTTATCTTAATGTCAAGAAACGGAATATCGGAAACTTTTCAATTCGACTGTAAATTGAAGCTGAATTGTAAATTCCCTGTCAAAGTTACCAAAGACATGATCCCGCAATCTACGATTACTGTCTATTTTGTGCAGGAGACACGGACTATTATGTATGGACGAACATCTTTAGAAACTGAGGCGATAGGAGAGAATTTTGTAAGTTCCTGTCTGTTCCTGTCTGTTCCTATCTGCTCCTTTCTGTTCCTATCTGCTCCTTTCTCCTCTTATATGCTCCTTTCTTATTCTTTCTGCTCCTATCTGTTCCTATCTGTTCCTTTCTGCTCCTATCTGCTCCTATCCGTTCCTATCTGTTTCTATCTGTTCCTATTTGTTCCTATCTGTTCCTTTATGTTCCTTTCAGTTTTTATCTGCTTCCATCAGTTCCAATATGTTCCTATCTGTTCCTATCTGCTCCTATCCGTTCCTATCTGTTTTTATCTGTTCCTATCTGTTCCTATATGTTCCTATCTGCTCCTATCTGCTTATATCAGTTCCTATCTGTTCCTATCTGTTCCTATATATTCCTATCTGTTCCTATCTGTTTCTATCTGCTCCTTTCTGTTCCTATCTGTTCCTATCTGCTCCTATCTGCTCCTATTTGTTCCTATCTGTGCCTATCTGTTCCTTTATGTTCCTATCTGCGCCTATCTGCTTATATCAGTTCCTATCTGTTCCTATCTGTTCCTATCTGCTCCTTTCTGTTCCTATCTGTTCCTATCTGTTTCTATCTGTTCCTATCTGTTTCTATCTGCTCCTTTCTGTTTCTATCTGTTCCTACCTGTTCTTATCTGTTCCTATTTGTTTCTTTCAGTTCCTATCTGCTTCCATCAGTTCCTATCTGTTCCTATCTGTTCCTATCTGTTCCTATATGTTCCTATCTGCGCCTATCTGCTTATATCAGTTCCTATCTGTTCCTATCTGTTCCTATCTGTTCCGATCTGTTCCTATCTGTTCCTATCTGCTCCTCTCTGTTCCTATCTGTTCCTAAACTTATTAACCACCTTATTATCCCATTTCAGCTCGATGTCTCACTACCAAAAACCGCAAAAACCAAGCAATTGATAAATATGAAATTTAGAACAGATTTCAATTCAAAAATCTATTTGCTAGCTTTTGACAAAGCCTTAACATCCCTAAGAGAAGGAAATGATATCAAAAAGTCAGATATTGTCAGGAGCATAGCAGATTTTGAAGATGGATCGACTGTCTACATTGCGAACCTAAAATCTTGGAAGACATGCACAGATGATGAAATTAGAAGAGTTGAAAGTGGAACGATTGATGCATCAAGTCACACTGGAAATACGTTTTACGCTAGAGAATCTGATGATGATGATGATGACATAGCAATTGATGACTTGGATGAGCAGTCTGAAAAAGTTGAAGATCCAATTGAGGACGGACTTTTAAGAAACGATTTTCCAGGAACTTGGATTTTTAAGGAATTTGAATTTGGAGATGATGAAATTTTAGAAATGGAATTTAAAGTTCCTGATTCAATAACATCGTGGATAATATCTGCATTTTCCGTAAACGCTGATTCAGGAGTTGCGCTGGCACCAACAAAGGAATTAAGCGTCAAAAATGATTTTTTCTTGAAAATGATTTTGCCTTATTCAATTAAATTCGAGGAAGTCTTTCGACTTGACATTTTGGTACACAATTATTTGAAAATAAAGTCACCGATGAACGTAAAAGTTGAGCTATATGATCCAGATCTAAAAGAATTTGAATTTGTTGAGTATGAAGGCACAACACCAACTTTTAAAAGAGTTAAAAAATCAGCTCAAACAGTCACAGTTCCACATTCTAACCTCAAAAAAGTATCATTTTACATTCGTCCACGTTCAAGTAACAATCAAGGTCAAGGATATCCAAAATATATGATACTTCGCATCTATGGAGAGGCAAAAGACAGTAAAGGAAATGTCTACAAGGACATCGTTTCAAAAAAGCTTCGAGTTGAGCCAGCTGGAATTAAAATTTATCAAATTGAAAATAAAGTTTATGAACTTGATGGAAGTAAAGATCATCATTATGAAATTACACTTGGGAGTGTCCAAAATTTAGAGCAGACTGGAATTGATTATCCAAAGATTACCATGGCTGTTGCTGGAGATTATTTGACGGATACGATAAATATGGATTCAAGATATGAGTGAGTATTAAAGATATTTGAAGATTGTGTAATAGTTTTTGAGGTCAAAAGTGGATTAAGCTAGTCGCAATGGTTTTCAAACCTAACCTAAAAATTTCAACTATTTCTTAGGTTCTTCCCAACAGAAGCGATTGAACAAAAGACAGCAAAATTGAAAGGAAATGTTGAATACTTTCGATACATGCTGTCAACTAGTAACAGACCTGCTACTTCAAGATTCAGTGACTATTATCAGTCACTGATGAAGCAACAAACTGCGAGATGGGTAAGCACTGATCGACTGAGCCACAAGACAATGTTTTCAGCTAACCCGAATGGCACAAGTCGGTTAATCGATCAGAAATCCGGCACCAAGCTAGTGCGAATCTGGATTTAAATCAAAGCCAGCACCATGCTAGAGTCATGCTGACTGGGCGCCAGATTTCTATTCGATTAACCGACTTGTGCCATTCGGGTAATTTAGTGCTATGTGCCTTACTGACGAGTCACTTAACATAAATTGTAACTTTCAATTTTAAACTTTCAGCGTTCCGGAGCACCAGCTGGTTACAGAGCTTACTTTGCTGAAGCCATCGCATCTGCCATGGAAATTGGAGCAATTCCAGCTAACAAACGGATCATTCAAAATGAACTCGATGCACTTAAAAACCTTCAAACTGAGGATGGAGATTTTAATGATTTTGGCAGCTTTCCTGAATTTTTAACCACCGACCGACAAGAAACAGCAAAATTCTTCCAAACTTCATTTGTGTTGATTCCGTTTTTGAAATTTAAAGGATTTATTAAGAAAAGTTATGAAGATGTGATCAATAAAGGCTTTGAATACCTCAATGATATGGGAAATAGGCTTAGAACTGACAATGAAGGGCTGTCTATAGCTGCATATGTTTATGCTCTAAACGATAATCACGATGAAGCTCAAAATCTATTGGATGTAGTTGAACAAGAAAAGTTTCAAATCAGTGACAAGCAAAGATGCTTAAAAATTTCAAGAAGTCATAGCAATTGTAGTATTAGGCACACCTCATATGCAGCTATTGCTTACTTCGCAATGAACCAAGGATCTAATGCGAGACCATTAATCAACTGGCTTCTCGAGTCACACAACCTTAATAAATATTATGCAAATACTCACACATATGCCATTGCAACGGAAGCGATTGCAAAACTAGCCAGTTCCAGGAGATCACATGGCACAAATTTCACAGTTCAATTTAAAAATGAAGGCAATTTCAACACAACCGTCAACATTGAACAAAAGAATGTCGCAAAACCTGTCGAAATTGACTTTCCAGACTATTCATTAACAGCTGACATGACAATTTCAGGACATGGATACTGTTCAGTCACAACAATCATTGAGAAAACTGTCACAATTGGTAAAACTACTCCAGATTTTCGAGTAACTGTTAAGCCAACAAGCAAAAGACTTAACTCAAATGAGAGGATTTTAAAGGTTTGTGCTGTATATGATCCACAAGGTGATATAAATTTAGCAACACTGTTCGATGTGATTTACGATGTGGAGATGCCTAGTGGATATATTTACTTAAATGTCGTTGATTTTGAAGTTAGAGCTCATGATATTAAGGTAAGTTGGTGATTTATGTACTGTAATTGATTTGTGAATGGCTTGGTCAGTATTTGAGAGTCATTAGGGCATATGACCGTCTGTGAATGTAGCAGACGTGATCTTTTTGAAGCTACAGGGTCCTCAAACTTTTAAGAAGGCTCTCTTATTTAGATTAGGGATAGATTAGGTTTAGGTTTGGTTTAGGTTTGGTTTAGGTTAGGGTTAGGTTAGGGTTAGGTTAGGGTTAGGTTAGGATAGGATTAGGTTAGCTCCCCTCCCCTAGAGCTTGACGTTGATTAGTCTTGTGTTGATTTGAAGTCGACTCGACTTAATTTAACCTTAATCACTGCCTAATTTGAAACACATTCACCAAAAATTCATTCCTAAATGACCTTAAAATTAAAATTCTAACCTTAAATTCACAACCTTATGCAGATGGTGTCACAGAAGCAGAAAGGCTCACGAGTCATAATTTATTTCAATGACTTTGAGCAGTCACAAGAATATTGTGTTGACATTCAGGTTAGAAAGGCGTTTGATGTCAAAGGTATTAAAGATTCTGGGGTGAAAGTTTACAGCTTTAATGACAAACGTAAGTTTTTATTTTAAAAGAATTGAATGAAAATTATATTTTGGATATTTTATTCCAGAAAACATGGCAATTGTATTTTATAAGTTGAACTGATAGAGTTTTTGAATTCCCGTCGGTAGATGCTTAAGCCCAAATAGCGCAAGTCGATTAATCACGTAGAAATCATGTCTTAAGCAGTAACTCTGGCATGGTGCTAGACTCAAATCTAATCAAGCATCCGCCAGCTTGGTACCGGATTTCTATTCATTTAACCGTCTTGTTCTATTCGGGAAGGATAATTAAGTAACGAGGCATCTAATTTTAAATATAAATTCACTTCCACTAGCCGACGGCTAATCTTTAGACATTTTAATATGAATTTCCAATAAATTTTACAAAAAATTTATTTTTTTTTATTTTTCCACGTCGCTACAAATCTTTTAAATTTTATTTTTAACACAATCGAAAGCAGCATTGAGCTTCTTCTGCATCGATTCTGTTGTGGTTCGAATTCCATATTTTTTAATATGCTCATAAATGTTTGGATCTGACAAAATTACAATATTCAATAAAATCTTCTTAATCTCATTTTTAATGTCATTTTCACATGACAAAGTCAACAAACTTCCAAATTGATTTTGAAACTTTAAAATATGATCATCAAGTCCTTCCGTGTCAACAATTTTTTTGCATGTATCGCTATCCAGAGTCATTGAAGCAGTATTGAAGGGGTCACGTTTTAGTAAATATGAATTTGGATCTATTTTTTGTAACTCCATTTTGAAGCATTCAATATGTTCTTTTTGGATTGTTGTGCTGTAGAAATCAACTAAACTCTTAATCATTTGCTTTAATGTGTCAAGTTTATCTTTGTCTTCTAAGCAACTTATAGCTGATCCATAAATTAAAATCATAGCTTCTGGATAATTTAACTTTTTGCTTTTAATTCTCCAATACACAACTGCATTGTTCATACAATATCTTTTACGCTGAATAGTGTTGATTTGTCTTGAAAATGGATGGTCACTTGGTATGCCTTGATACTTAGCCGAAACATCGCTAAACCACTCATCAAATGTTAACTTTCTATCATCAAATGCTGATGTGCTTATAAATCCTAAAGCAATTAATGCAACAATAAAATATATTTTCATATTGCTGATTGTGAATATTCAAAATTACACTGAAATGAAATATTTAATGAACTCTCATTAAATATGAATTATTTCATCATTGCAACTGATTTGCCTTCAAACCACATCCCTATCAATACAATCGCACACGCTCAGTAATACCAACAATAAATCAAATTTTTTGTCAACACCCACAAACGATGATGAAAATAATAAAAAAGTCTTACTCAATTATGTTTTACTTTAGTTCATTGCGACATCTCTACATGAGAGGACATGAAGCTTCTTTTGAGATTATTTTTTGTGCTTATCGCAGGGAATTTCCTGATCGTTGAGTGTGATGAGTAAGTATTTAATGGGGTTGAAATTTGCATTTTATTAAAAAAAATCACCGATTTAATTTTGATGTATTTTTGTGACTTTAAATGAAGATTTGAAATGAATTTATTGATTATAAAGGTTAGGTTAGGTATAGGTTAGGTATAGGTTAGGTATAGGTTAGGTATAGGTTAGGTATAGGTTAGGTATAGGTTAGGTATAGGTTAGGTATAGGTTAGGTATAGGTTAGGTATAGGTTAGGTATAGGTTAGGTATAGGTTAGGTATAGGTTAGGTATAGGTTAGGTATAGGTTAGGTATAGGTTAGGTATAGGTTAGGTATAGGTTAGGTATAGGTTAGGTATAGGTTAGGTATAGGTTAGGTATAGGTTAGGTATAGGTTAGGTATAGGTTAGGTATAGGTTAGGTATAGGTTAGGTATAGGTTAGGTATAGGTTAGGTATAGGTTAGGTATAGGTTAGGTATAGGTTAGGTATAGGTTAGGTATAGGTTAGGTATAGGTTAGGTATAGGTTAGGTATAGGTTAGGTATAGGTTAGGTATAGGTTAGGTCTAGGTCTATAATCCCGACCAAAAGACAAGGACATGAAGCTACATGTCTGTCTGAAGTCACTCATCTTACCCACCAAATAAAGCAATTCTAATTTTGCATCTATTTCTAGACTTGTAGGCACAGTCATCCCAAAATCAGCTCACAAAGACAAACCATACACAACATTCATTCAAGTTTATGACCTAGATGATTCAGCAGAGCTAGCCATACAGTTTCACACCTTAAACCAAACTTATAGCTTAATTGAACAAGGAAATAAAACATTTGAGTATCATGTCAGCAGGTTCGGTTCAAGACAGTCTGTAAACTTGACCTCGACACTTTTTCGGGAGAAGAAAATTCGCGGAAATTTGATTAAGCAATGCAACACACAAATGAGAGAAATTAAGGTTGAATATCCAAGATTTTTCATATTCATTCAAATGAATAAGCCAATTTACAAGCCAGGAGATTCTGTTAAGTTTCGTTTAATTGTTATGGATAAAGATTTGGTGCCACATCAAATGAACAATATTCTGATTACTATAACTGATCCATATGACCGAATTATGCAAGAACTGGACGATCTTGAAGACAACAATTTGGGTATTTACACCAATACGTATAATTTAAGTGCCAGCACTCTCCTTGGTGATTGGAAAATGACAGTTGTTGTTGACAAAGAAGAAAAGTTTAGAGCATCAAAAATTATTCCTGTCCAGAAGTATGCACTGCCTTTATTTGCATTAAAAGTCGATACATCATCAAAACATTACCTGCCCAACCACAAACTAATCATATCCTTCGGTGCTAAGTACTCATTTGGAGAATATGTCACTGGAAATGCTCAACTAGTCATCCATGATACTTCAGACAACAGAACATGCTACTCAAAGACATATAATAGCATTACAGGCATCGAGACTGTAACATTAAATATTGTAAAAGATTTGAAGACGTCCATAGCAAATCTGGTAAACTTTAAAGCCATAGTTACATTCACTGAACCAGAAACAGGCACTGAAGTCATCAAATCAACAGAATTTAGTGTCCATAATTCAGAAGAAATGAGCATTAAGACAGTCCACTCAAATACATTCACACCAGGCTTACCATTCAATGTAAAAGTATTCGCAAAACAATGGAATGGCGACAAGTTTGTTTCAAATGAGCCTGTTAGTGTCAACATCAAGTACATTCACAAAGATAAAACCAAAACTTCAATACACTTGAACCCTTTCGTTGAAGATGGAGTAGCTAATGGTGAAGTTATTGTGCCACTGGATGTTGAAACTTTTGATATTGAATGTCGATTTATCAGCAGTAAAGTATATCGGAAAAGATTGAAGATGGCAAAAGTTGAGCAGACACGAAATTCGATGATTCTTGAGTATAAGCCTGAAAGGTGAGTTTTTGGGGGTCATTTTGGGTATTAGGGTTGTGGAGGGGTAGACTGAAACTGAAGCGATTCACCTTTGAGGTTGTGGCTTGATCCTAAAACTGAAATTTAGGATGCGGAACTGATCAATTGGCTGTTGATTATTTTTCAATGAATTCTTCACTATTGGGTGATTTGTAAAGGTCCTATCATCATCGAAAGAGTTCCATCAATGCCAGAACATCTCAAACTTTACCAAGTCTTGTCAAGTATCACATTAGGTAACAACACTTAACAAAAATGATCAAAGCAAGATTGATCAGTTCCAAATCCTAGGAACATATGTGGTTCCAATCATGTATTACCACCAGATGTGACGTGGTACAACAGAAGTTCGACATGACTGTCCTAAGACATCGATAATTTGAGTACGGACGTTAACTGAACCACCTTCCTTCTCCAACTCCACCAATTCAATCTAAAATCGATTCTTTTCAGACCAAGCTTCGGCAATGATGTTGAAATATTTGTCAGCAGTGCTTACAAAATGGAGCAGGTTCTTGTAGCTATTGTGACTAAATATGGAGTAACAAAAGCTACAGCTATGAAGTGCGATGACAAAACTGCTTGCAATTTCAAACTTACAATTACTGCTCAGATGTTGCCTAAATTTACTGTTGAAGTTTTTCATATTAAGGACAAGGATATCAATGAGCATGGAAGCATTCGCATTGAGACAGAGACATTGGGAATGAATCATGTGAGTTTAAGTTTCAAGAGAGTAGCTGAAAGGTTCCTTAATCTGATTATTATTAAAATTTAAAACCATTTATTTCAGCTAACCATGGATATGACAGCAGATCCAGTCAAAGTCAAATCAGAAGTTCCGATGACATTCAGCACAACAGAAGATTCAACAATCTACTTATTAGCAATCGACAAAAGCCTCAAATTCTTAAGAGATGGCAATGATGTCAAAAGAGAAGAAGTTGTTCAGGAACTGTCAGCATTTGATGGACAATTAGAAGTTCTGTTAGATGACATGACATCATGGCATGAATGTACAGCAGAAGAGATCAAACGTGTTGAAAGCGGACGAGTTGAAGTATCCCAACAAACTTCAGATACATTTGTATCAAGTGATGACGATGAGACAGTTGATGATGGCTTTACTCCAGATGAAAATGATGTTGATGATACAGCAACTGAGGAGATTGTCCGTGAGCCTACTGAAGATGACTTAATGCGTCAAGATTTTCCTGAAACTTGGATTTTTGAATCATTTGAAGTTGAAGATTCAGAGACAAGAAAGTCATTCAAAGTTCCTGACACAATCACATCTTGGCACATTTCAGCATTTTCAGTACATCCACAAAATGGACTTGCCCTTATGGATCCTCAGGAATTGACAGTTAAGAATGAATTTTTCGTCAAATTTACATTGCCATACTCAATTCGATACAAGGAAGTTCTACGCGTTGATGTCTTGGTTTTCAATTATGTCAAAAGCAACAAGCCATTAGATGTTAAAGTCACACTTAAAAACTTGAAATCAAAGCAGTTCCAATTTGTCGAGTATGAGCAAAATGGAAATATTTGTAAGCCAAATTACAGCAATAAAACAAATTTGATACAAAATGTCAAAGTGACTGGAATGGGCATGAAGAAAGTTTCATTCTATATCCGATCAAATCCAAATGATGCAGATGACAAAAGTAACAAAATTAAATCGAGAATAATTCAAGTTTATGCTGAGGCTAGTGATGGTTCTGGTAAAACCTACAAAGATAGACTTGAAAAGAAATTAAAAATTGAGCCAGTCGGAGTTAGGAAGTTCAATACTGAAGCATACACATTCAGTGTTATTAACGAGATGAAGCGGACACATAGTGAATATAATGTCTCAAATTCTAACACTAATAGCTACTGCATTGTTAATGGCGACTTCTTGACTGATATTATTAATCTTAATTCTGGATTTGAGTAGGTTTAGCACTTCTGTTCATAATTTTACAATAATTTAATATTAATTCCGTTTAGAATCTATCCTGGTGACTGCTTGGAACAAAGGACATCCAAACTTAAAGGAAATGTTCAAGTTTACAAATACTTCCAAACTAAGAAGAAGACACAGAATAAAGACTACTTTCAGAAGCAATATCAGGCTATATGGGAAGCACGTGGCAAGCGTTATGTAAGTTGTCCTGCTGGATAGTCTTAAAATTGAACAAAGACTGGTTTTGGGTATGGTTTCAAGGAACACATAGGGTACCCATGTCTAAAACTTTGGGAGGAGTCCATGAGTTTTGACTTAAGTGATCTTAACAAGAGTGTTGCCCTACTTTGGTCTGTTCAAGCGTCTCAGCATCAGAAACTAGTCACTGTTGTTTTCCCAAAGGACCTAGCTGATGTTCTCCTTGTCTGATCTCTACTCTCAAGCCACTTCAAGACCTTACAGGGGCACCCGAGAATAGTCATAATAAGAATAAGTCAAATGTGTCTAAGTTCAGTGGAAGGTACTCCAAGTAGCTCTGGAAACCAAGCCTAGAAACTTTGTACATCCCAACTCTCTCCCCCGCCAACACCAAACTAATCATTTCTCATTCCCATCTATAGAACTACGAGTCAGCATCCGGCTACATATCCTACTTTATCGACGCAGTTGTCCCAGCAATGGAACTCAAACTCATCAATGCTGACATACCCGTTATTGAAAAAGAACTTGATAAACTGAAAAAGGCACAGACAACAGCTGGATCTTTTGAAAATTTTGGCAACTTTCCAGACATTCGCGAAGATCCCAGCAGAAAAAATACTCAGAATTACTTCCAGACAGCATTCGTCTTGATCTCATTCCTTAAAGCACAAAAGATTGTCACAAATAGCTACATGGATGTGATTGACAAAGCATTTATTTATCTAGATGATGAAAGCAATAGATATTCAGTCGACAGTGAAGGCTTATCAATTGCAGCATATGCTTATGCTTTAGGAATTGAGTATGATGAAGGCAGAGAAAATGAAGCAAAAAAATTACTGGATACAATTGAGAAGGCAAAGGTTGATTATGGAGGCAACAAGAAGTGCTTCAAAATTAAAACAACCAGCACAGAATGTCACATGCGACACACAGCGTATGCAGCTATGGCTTACTTAAAGCTGAATGAGATTGATAAAGCAATGCCGTTGATTTATTGGATGCTTAAGGAATACAACTTCTATATCTATCAAGGATATACTTACAATACTGCAATATTATCGGAACCGATTGCTGATGCAGCTATTGCCTTAGGTGTTGATGTCACTGACTTTGAAGTTGCTTTGACAAGCGAGGATAAGCCTTACAAAAAATTCAAGTTCACCAACAAAAATGTCAATGATTATCATGAAGTTCCATTCATCCCAAATGTTAATAAAATCAGCATGATTGTTGAAGGAACTGGCTTCTGTACAGTCACAAGAGTCAATGAATTTATGGTCGAAGAAGCTGAAATAAATAATAAGTTTAGTGTTACAGTAACTCCGAAAGCATCGGAAGGCATCGTTAATGTTTGTGCATCTTATAGCTCGACAGAATCAAATCAAAATTCCATCTTGAATGTTGTGTACGAGGTTGAGTTTCCTACTGGATACATCTTTGCTGGTGTTGTTAATGAACAAAGTCATAGGAAGGATATCAAAGTGAGTATACAAAAATGGTCAGAATGGGAGGCAGAAATAACATTTTGTATCATTTCTTTCATGTCCAAAACAGCAAATCGAGGAAAGAAAAGGAAAGACACTTGCTATGATCTACTACAACGACTTTGAAAGCGATAAGACTTATTGTGTGGATATAAAGGCAATGAAGGCACACGATGTAAAGAATCCAAGCAATGCTGGTGTAAAAGTCTACGACTTTAATGATAAACGTAAGTTAGGGATATGATAATGTTCACCAAAACTTTTCTGTGCTACTTCCAACTTTTGTGCAGTGATGGTTAACCCATGTTCTGCGAAGAAATGCGAGAAAATCCCACAAATCGTATGCTGTGTGCGGTTTTGGTCACGACTTACCGTCAATGTGTGTCATAAAAAAAAGGTTGACTACCACTGCCTTGGTGGTGGTCCACGACCGAAATCACATACGGCATGCGATCTGAGGCATTTTTTAAATTTTTGTGTCGCAGACAGGTTGAACAGAACCGATTCTAGTGTCATAATATCCATAGATCATCCACCGCTAATGTGCATCAGTTTAAAAGTTCCTCTGTAGAGTGTTTTATAGATAAACAGCTGCAGATCAGCAGTGGATGATCTGTGGACATTAGAATCGGTCATGATCAATGGATTATTGGTGGAAAACTGGCTAAAATATCGAAAATAGCTTGAGTTCTGTTTATCAGATGCAGACGTTTGAACATAGTTGTGTCAAAATTTAAAGAGTGACTTTTTAGGAACCGTTGATTTATAGCATTCGACATGTAGAGAGGAGGGGGAGGGAGGCTAGGATTTTGTGACAGTTTAAACGACGGAAAATTTTTACCATAGAATATTTGTGACTGGGGTCTTAAAATCAGGGGTTTTGACCATAATCATAAGTGCAGAGGCGTAGCCAAAAAATTTTTGAAGGGGGGGGCCCATTTTCGGGGGGCGGGGGGGGGGGGGGGTCCTATGGCCCCCCCCTGGCTACGCCCCTGCATAAGTGAACGACCATTTAATTCCTTGGCAAGTAATTATAACGAAATATTGACTTCAATCCCATACAATAATTTTATTGATTTATATTTTTTATGCTTTATTTCACAGGAAATGTTGCAGTTGAATTTTATGAATTTAAATCATCAATATCATGTTAAGAAATTGCTTTTCCTGAAGAGAACTTTTCTCTAATTAAGAAAAATCTAAAAAAATAAATGAAATTTAAAAATAAACAAAACAAATCATTTTTTTTAAATTTAATTCACGTTTTGTAGATTATTTTTCATATCAGCTGGACGTCGCTACCAAGAAGTTAATAATCACTAGCCAGATTGTCTTCTTAGGAAAAATCCCCTCATAAAAATAAATGTCAATAGTTTATCAAAATACAAACAAGTTGGAAATTCCCAGTAATTTAAAATATTCAAAACATTAATTAAATATAAAATGACTTATTGACGTAAATTATCATGAAATTACTTGGAATTTAACACTTATCTTATCAATTACTTAGTAAATTGATTTCAAACAGAGATCAAACATTGAGGTTAAGTGTAAGACAATTCAACAATGTATTCTGAATATGCCGACGGCATAAAAAACCCGACGGAGACACTAAGAATTGATTTTTAAGGTCTATTGTAATTAGATTCTTCGTCCTGGAGCTAGTTTCTAGGTCAACCCGAGGGATCCTTATGGCAATAATGAAATTTAGTCTCATAAAATATGGGATATAAATAAAATTAATCTGAGACTAAGGACAAGTGCTCCAGAAAGCCCTAGAAACTGTCCCTAATGAACTGAGCAATTTTGTGACTTAAATCATATAAAACTTAATAAAAAGCCGGTTCAAGTAGACGTGGTCAATGAAATGTCTTCCTACAAGATGTATCTGACCGCTCCACATTGTCCATATTAAATTTAGCATTTTGGTTCCGTAAGAAAAGTCTTACTTCTGAAAAAACATCTTAAAAACTTAAATTTATCATTAAAACCCGATCGGCACACATTGAAATTCATTGAAATGTTTGCCACCCGGCAGCTGGGTTGAGAGTATAATTTGAACCAAGCGGTAGACAATTAGCAATAGAAGCCTCACAACAACCAGTTGGAAGTTGCTTTTAAGCTGCTGACGCTTGATTCTAATTATAAAGTCAACCCAGTTGCCGGGTGGCAAATATTTCAATGTGTGCCGATCGGGAAAATTATTTAAAAAAATATTCGAATTTCCCCTTAGCTTTATTGAGTACTTTAAAGTAGATTAAATGACCAATGACAGTCAAATTCATTAAAAATCACAAATACAACAAAGATTCTCAATCAAGGTGGAGAAAAACAAGCAATTGCTCATTATTGTTATTACTTACAGACTGTTCGGATCATAAAGTTTTTGGCAATCGCAAATTTAACATTCAAATGTTGAAAATAATAATATCACTGTTCTACCTCCTTACTGTCTATGGATGTGTGTATCTAAACTTAATAATCAACTCAAATCATATTAAAAATTTTTTTTGCAGTACCGCTGGACTCAAGCCAAAAGGATGCACCATGGCATATTCATTTAAACATTTCCGGTCTACGATGTGGTGGAAGCTTAATTCAAGACAAATATGTCATCACAGGTATGTGTTATAAACAGAATCCAGGGGCGTAGCCAGGTATTTGAAGAGGGGGGGGGGGGCAATTTTTTATGGAAAACTTTAAGGGGGCCCCCCATCCCTTAAGGGGGGTATTTTTTTCGAATTTTTCATAAAAACTCTAGCAAAATGAAGAAATTTCTCAAGACGCAGGGCAAAATTCCCCCATTACTGGCTACGCGACTGACAGGAACTAAGCTTAGTTGGCTGACGCCTGAGTTTTTGGTACTTTTTTGTGGATCTTTGGGCTAAGACTCTCCCTCTTTGCTTCCCTGGTGAATATAAATCATATTTGAAGGGCTGCTGGTTGAGGAGCCAGGGTTTTAGCAACTAATTTCAATCTCAGGGGTTTGCCATGAAAGTTTGTAACTCAGTCAAGAAGATAAGACTCCCCTCAGATTCAATTCGCTGAGATTCTCAAGAAAATAATCCAAAATTCATGCCTGAACCTCTTTTTGTTAAACAATAAAATTCTCATTCCAGCTGCTCATTGCTTTGACTATTATCTCGAAGAGTTCGGTAGTGATCTATCCCACTTCCACATTTACATTGGTGAATGGAAACTTAGCATGGATCCCGATTGTGATGAAGATAATAGCGATGAAGTTTGTGATTATGTCGTGAAATCGAAAGCTGCAGCATTAAAAATCCATGAAAAATATGACAAAAATGAAGCAAATAGTAAGCATAACTATGACATTGCAGTCATCACACTCAAAAGACCACCAAGAGTCTCTGAAATTGTAAGTAGTGCATTGTTGCCTGATCAAAAATGTGATGACAACTTTACTGGAAAGGATTTAAGGATTAGCGGATTTGGTGAGAAATTAACTTGAAATTTTTATGGATTTTGAAGATTAATGATGAATATTCTGAAGGAGAAACAAGTACTCAAGTGAATGCTGTTGTCAGGAAGAACATGGACATTAAAATTTTTGATCATGGCAAGTGCTTGAGTGCTTTTCAGAATAAGGTTTATGACTCTAAAAATCATGTAAGTAACCGGAATGGCACAAGTCGATTAATTGAAATGAAATCTGGCACTAAGCCAGGCTTGATTCTGACATGGTGCTCAATTTTAATGAAAGTCAACTTGGTGCTGGATTTAAATTCGATTAACCGACTTGTGTAATTCGGGATAGACATCCGGGTAGCGAGAATAATAGGTTTAATATGAATATTATTAATATTTTACAGATTTGTGGTGCTGGAAAAAATGGTAAAAATTGAAGTTTTTAAATTTAACTTCAATTATAATATTTTCTATGTCTTTTATAGGTCTAGCAACATGGTAAGGTCTCTAAAATGTTGGCAAGCCACCAACTTAAACTATTTGAAATAAAAGTTAATTGTTTCGTTCAATTTGTCAATTTTAAACAGCAAAGGTGATTCTGGTAAGATTTTCAAGTCACCAACTTCAATTTTCACAATAATTAAACAACTCAAATCATTTAGGTAGCGGTGCTGTTAGTCAGATTGGTGCTGATGATGAAGATGAAGTTAAGACTTATCTAACGGGCATTGTCTCGTTCGGTTCAGACGTGTGTGGTGATGGTAAACCAAGTGAGAATGTTTAAGTAAGCTTATTTGATAGACCAACTAGATGTTTTTAAAAAGATTGAAGACATCCCTTGTCGATCATCTTAGGATTTTTGAAAGGTAAAAAAATGCAGGGTTTTTGACTGAAAAATCAACTTCAAATTTTAGCTTTACTTAATTAATTAATTATCGAATGTCTAAGCCAGTGGTGGTCAACCTTTTTTGTGAAGCGGTACACCTTGGTGGTAAGTCAAGCCTGAAATGTCACACGGTTCTTGGTCATTATCGAATTTTTTGTGGCACACTAGTGTTCCGCGTCACGTGGGTTGCCCATTACTGGTTCAAAACTTGCACTTCTGACACCCAGCGACCTTAATTTACCAACATTATCTAAATCATTATTCTTCAATTTGCAGCTGGTCTTCTGAAGGTCTCGTGCTTTACTGACTGGATTAATGGAGTAATAAGCGGAGTGACTAAACCAAAAGCAGCTCCACCTGAATCATCATCCTCAAAACCTCCATCATCCAATGATAATGGAGATGAAGAAGGAGACGATGGTTACTGAAAACAGGAGAATGGCTAGGAATTTGAGTGGGTGGAGGGTGGAGGGGCGGATTTATCACTTGCCTCCTCTTGTGGCTACGCACCTGCTAGAAAAGAAGATGTTAAAATTTAAATTTTATTCGCAAAAAAATCTTTATTTTATAAATTTATTTTAATTTTCTTATGTTTGTTATAAATCTCTAACATTCCTGGTCCGATACTGAATAGAAATCGATCGTGACACTATCTGTAAAGTTAATTCAAATATAAATTAAATTAAGTATTAATTGGTGCCTGTTTTTATATCCACACAGTAACGTATAACACATACCTTTTTCAGAAAAGTCGTAAACCTTAACACCAGCTGCGACAGGGTTTAAAACCTCAAACACTTGTTTTGCTTTGGTAATGAAGCAATATTCTGATAGCTTTTTAATCGTCCCAAACTTAATAATAGCCAGTGTATCCATTCTCTTGGAGTCTACATCCTATAAAGAGATGTGATTTTCATGCATTAATATTTTTTAGGTAAGCGATGGATGGAGAAGGTATAGGTATGGGATAGGGTAGAGGTATGGGATAGGGTATAGGTATGGGATAGGGTATAGGTATGGGATAGGGTATAGGTATGGAATAGGGTATAGGTATGGAATAGGGTATAGGTATGGGATAGGGTATAGGAATGGGATAGGGTATAGGTATGGGATAGGGTATAGGTATGGGATAGGGTATAGGTATGGGATAGGGTATAGGTATGGGATAGGGTATAGGTATGGGATAGGGTATAGGTATGGGATAGGGTATAGGTATGGGATAGGGTATAGGTATGGGATAGGGTATAGGTATGGGATAGGGTATAGGAATGGGATAGGGTATAGGTATGGAATAGGGTATAGGTATGGGATAGGGTATAGGTATGGGATAGGGTATAGGTATGGGATAGGGTATAGGAATGGGATAGGGTATAGGTATGGAATAGGGTATAGGTATGGGATAGGGTATAGGTATGGGATAGGGTATAGGTATGGGATAGGGTATAGGTATGGGATAGGGTATAGGTATGGGATAGGGTATAGGTATGGGATAGGGTATAGGTATGGGATAGGGTATAGGTATGGGATAGGGTATAGGTATGGGATAGGGTTTAGGAATGGGATAGGGTATAGGAATGGGATAGGGTATAGGTATGAAATAGGGTATAGGTATAGGATAGGGTAAAGGTATGGGATAGGGTATATGTATGGGATAGGGTATAGGTATGGGATAGGGTATAGGTATGGGATAGGGTATAGGAATGGGATAGGGTATAGGTATGGGATAGGGTATAGGTATGAAATAGGGTATAGGTATAGGATAGGGTATAGAAATGGGATAGGGTATAGGTATAAAGCCTTACCGTAATAAATGTTTTACTCTGCTTGTCCTCAACCTCTTCGAACATGTAGCCACTTGGCATTTCAACCTCAAATCGGACATTATCGTTGACATCAGGAGTTCCATCGATTCCAATATATTTAAAACAGAATTCAGTACGAGTGAATTGCTTTTGATTCTCTTGTCTTGCAACCGTTAAGCTGAAATATGATTTTGATACCGGCGATCTGATCATTTTTTCCACAACAATTGTGACTGAGCATAATCCAGTTCCAGTGGTTGAAATGTAAGCGAATTTTGAGTAGTCTGGGAATGAAATCTCATGAACAGATGAAGAATTTTTACTGTTGATTGTTATCGTTTGGTCAAAATTAAACTCATTTTTAAGGTTCACTGTCATGCTGACTTCAGTCACTTTTGACTCACTAAGCACAGTTGATATAGCTTGGGCAGCAATAGAATAAGCATGAACATGTGAAAAAGATTTGTCTAATGAGAAAGTTTTAACAATTCCAAGAACCAATGGCTTAATTTTTTGTGGCTGAGCCATTGCATGATATGCAAGTATTGAGTATGCAGTATGCCGCATATCACAAACACTCGAGGTTTTTGTAGCTGTAAAGCATTTCTCAGTTGAACCTTTACTGCCTTTGATAACTGCAAATCTCTCAACATCCAACATCAGTGCCTCAGCTTTGGCTATGTTTTTATTTAATGCATAAGCATATGCAGCAATTGATTGTGCTTCTGGTTGAAGACTGATTTTATTACTTGGAGAATCAAGGAAGCCAAAAGCTTTATTAATCATACTTAAATAATCCTGATCAAAATAATCTCGATACTTAAGGAACGAAACTAGAACATATGCAGTTTCAAAGTACTTGTTGGATGCAGCTTCACCGGACTTTCTTTCCGGATATCTGCCAAAATTTGAAAATGATCCATCACTGGCTTGTAAAGCTTTTAAACGACAAAAATCTGTTTGGATGAGAGCTTTGTTCATTGTTACAGCCTTAATATTCATGCCAGATGCAATTGCATCTAAAAAGCAGGCACAGTAGCCAGCTTGGTATCTAAAATCGATCACGGCTTTTGGCTGGAAAAAGGAAAACATAAAGTTAGCTTTGTAGGATCTCCTGAGATGACAGGAAGGCTTTTGAAGTATCCCAAAGACACACTGCAGAAATTTTTAATCGATTCTTGATCTACGTCAACCATAAGCCTTTCGGGGTAGCTATGTCAAGGTTGTGGAACTGATCAACTAACTTTTGATTATATTCCAACATTTTGACCAGTTCCATGCTCTTGAACATTATGACAAAACTGTGTAATTCAAAAACCTTACATCATATCCACGTCTCAGAAAATGCAGTCCCCGATTCCGATCCATAAGTATCCATTGGTAAAGAGTATAAAAATTAGGATCAACAGGTTTTAAACCTTTAGCTTTCATGTATCGCATGTACTCAACGTTTGCTTTAAATTTTGTTGTGTAGTCCTCTAAGTAGCCCCAATATTCGTATCTAAGGGAATGTTAAATAATAAATTTGTAAGAACAATCGGAGGAACTGGGAAGAGTTTAAAGTCCTGCTCCCTAAAAGCAGACTAAGACAGCGACGCTCCTCAGATCTCAAACATGAATCCTAAAGTAAACCCAACACACGAACTAATCTTATTAACTTGAACGGTGAAAAGGAAAAAGAGCATCTTAAACTTGACTTGGCTTGGGATTGAACCCAAAACCTTTGGCACGTAAGTCCAATGTTCTATCACTTAAGCCACTGATGCCATGACAAAAAACCCTAACCTCAAACTTACTTCTGTCTTGAGTTCAAATTAGCCACATCAGTAAGGTAGTCTGCTGACACAATCGCTGATATCTTTGAATACTCTTTTGTCTCAACATCAACTTCTGCATCAATATGCTTCCATATTTGATTCTTATTCTTTATAAGTCGAAATGATTGTGGATGTAAGTTATAAACTCGAACTCCAAATCGTTCAACTTTTAACTTTTTATTGACTTTGTCTGTGTAAGTTTTGCTTTTTGACACACCTTGAGCAGTTAAAGACAGCGTAATATTTTTGTAAAGCCCCTCAAAATTGTCTAGGTTCGGATGCGATCGAATGAAAATTGTGACTTTTTTAACACCCATGTATGGAACGTCTATATTCGATACAGTGTGAATCTCGCTGTCAAGGAATATTGGATTGCATGACTTTCCAATTTTATTGTAAGTTACGAATTGAAGTTCCTTCTTTCGATTGTGTAGTGACACTGTGACAGTCAATGGTTCTTTAGATTCAGCATAATTATAGACAAGAATATTCAATCCGAGAACTTCCTTAAAGCGAACAGAAAATGGTTTCATTATTTTGACGAAAAATTCATTTTTTACTGTAATTTCAGTTGAGTCTGCAACTGCAATTCCAACTTTATCATGCATTGCAAAGGCTGACACTATCCATGATGTTATTGAGTCTGGAACGATAAAATTCTTCTTTTTTAATCCAGTTTCGACATCGAATTCTTCAAAAATCCATGATTCTGGGAAATATTCACGAAGAAGTTCGTCCTCGGAGTTGACTTGAGATGAAGACTGGTCATTTTCTGAATCAGACGGTTCTTCGTTCTTCCTCAGGATCATCCTCATCGTCACCTGATGTAAAGTCAGTATTATGTTGAACGCTCGCTTTCCTTCCAGTCTTAACACGATTAATCTCTTCTTTAGTGCAGTCATGCCATGCTTTTAAATTCTCAAAGTCAACATTAAGCTTGTTCTCATAAATGGAAACTTCATCCATAATATCACGTCTCGTAACTTCATTGCCTTGCCTCAGATATGTCAATCGCTTGTCAAATGCCATTAAGTAAACTTTTGACTGCTTTTCAGTTTCAAACTCCATGACAACGTTCGATTTTGTCTTTGTGGTAACTGCTGACTTTCGGACTTGTCCTGGGACAGTAAGCTTGACGTTTAACTGGAAGATTATTTTGATTAGGGACCATTCATAAATAATGTCCAACAGTAACAAAAAGATGGGGACAATTTTAACAAATAAGGATGGAGGAGGTTCTGCAAATCTCGTTTTTTGATGGACGTCATTTAGAAACAGTCCCTTAGTACTTAACGTGTATCAAAAAATTACCATACATACATAATTCTTCCCCAACTGCTCAGTCTTAACCTTTACTTCGCCATATGTAAATTGATTGACATCACTTAACGAGTACACAACAACTGAAGCATCAGGAATCATATCAAGTGTGATGAGTAATGAGAAACTGCAGCTAAGTTTGAATCCACAATACTCTTTTCTGGATTGAATGTTTCCATGTCTTGTCATAACTACAACAATAAGTTCATCAATTTCTGTAATACTTCCTACATGAATGGTTATGATGTCGCCTAGTTTGGGTCTGAAAAGTAATGAAAATAAGAATGCAACAGTAGCTGGTTGTTGAGATAGGGTTTGACATAGGGTTGACTAGAGTTAAGATTTAGGTATGGTGAAGCTTTACTTCAGATACATCCTAGCCGACTCTAGGCAAACCTAAGACAAGCCTAATCCATAGTCTACAATCAGTGGTTCTCAAACTATGTGCTGTGGAACAATACCAGCTAAAAAAAACTATTACCAAGTGTAAGGCAAAAAGTTTGAGAAACACTGACCTAGATCAGTGATGGCCAACCCGTGTGCCGAGACTCAAATATTTAAGAAATCCCACGAACTGTATGTCGATTGCAGTTTCAATCATGGCTTCCTAACAAGGTGTGCCGTTTCATCAAAAAGGTTGGCCACTACTGCCCGAAATATATCTTATCTACACTATAGCTTTAACAAGAGGACAACAATATTTAATTTATTATCCTCTTGAGCTCTATCCCAGCTTAAATCTAGTTATACACTTGTCATCCCAAAGATCTCTAACTATATTGCATACTTACAACAATATATTACTCGAATTATAATAGGCCGGTGTATAGTCAACAATTAATTCTTTAGCCTTCAAATAATTTGATCCTGGTTGTATTTCAGACCTGTATATCTTACTGTCAATGAATTTAGCTTCAATGGTTAAAGATTTTGTCACATTTGATATAACAGCTCTAAAAATGGCGACTCCATTAATAATTGGATACTCCTTTGATTCAATGGAACCAGTTCCATCGGAAAATGTGTAAATAAAGTTCATTGACACTTTTTCGTAATGACGGTCAATGGATTCATTTTTCCAATTGTAAGGATAGACTCGAACATTGTAAGGAAGACCGAGAAGATAATTTGTTGGATGAATGACCCGAATTTGATGTGATCTGTCATTGTAAACTGAAAATTTGATTGTTTTATTTTCTGTACTTCCACTTGCAGCTTCTGTGAATAGAACAACAGCTTCAAAGTCTGTCTTGTTAGTGATTGTAAGCTTTAAATCATCTTTGATGTGATATGAGACGGATAAAGTGTCCCTAATGTTGTTAAAGCTACCAGTTTTAATGATGACGTTATCAGCAACACGCTTGATTGATATTCCAACGTTGCCAGTGACATAATCACCATAAGGATACTTAGCAAATATAGCCAGCTGTAGCTTTTGACTATCCAAAAGATGTCGACTTACAGGAACAACATTGACTGTAAATAATGGCAAAACATACTTTTGAACTGGAATTATTTTTGATACTTTTCGGAATTCCTGCTTATCGACAACAGCACTAAGAGTCCAATCTCCTAAGGGAGTATAATCACCAAGAGTAAAGTTTGCGCTGAATATTCCATTATACATTACATCCAAATCCTCAATTTCCTGAATAGTTCGATTAAATGGATCAGCAATCTTAATGTTAATCATGTTCATATGGAATGGCCGCAAGTCCCGATCTATGACAATAATACGGAACTTTACTTTATGTCCTGGTGCATACACAGGCTTATCAAGCTGAATAAATGTATAAAATGTATCCTTAACAAAAGTAATATTCGTGACATGTGTCGAGCATTGCGATTGACTTTTTGATGTGTCATTCCTTAATGCTGTGTAAATCACTTCCCCAAAAATCTTCATTCCACTCGAATTTTTCTTTTTGAATTTAACTTTTAGAACGCCATCAGCATGTGCATGAACGGTTACGTTGACTTTACGAAACTGAACTCCAATCTCCGTCGGCTTTTGAATATTTTTTGTGACAACAAACACGTTGTGGTCTTGCTTGTCAAACACGGAATTGGGGGAAAAATATGTGATGAATCTGTGATGGAAAGAGTAAAAGTGGTTAATCTTATTGCTGTGGTTCTTGGATTTCTACCAATCAGCACCATAGTTGCCATCTGAAACAAGCAATCACCTGTCACTTATCTGTTAACAAGGCAGTACTTGTGACAGGCTATATTTTTGTTGCTTGTCACAGGAACAGATCTGTAATATCTTAAACAATATCTGTACCTGTGCCTGTGACAGGCGACCTCTATGGCAACTCTGATCCATTCATCCTTTCCGTGTCCAAACTTACTCATCATTTTTGCTGCAATCCACACAACTTTGGAGATAAATCAAAAGAATTATCGATAGAATTCTCATCGGCACTAAAACGAGTCTACAGCCTTTAAAGATGAAAAAATCAAAAGCTTATGATTTGAAAAGGAAAGAAAAAGTTCTATTTATATTTTATTCTTGATAAGTACTGCAAATGTAAGGCTTTTGTGTACAATTTATGAATTAAATCCGAGAGCTTATCAGTCAAGGAATTCTGTTGGTTCATCACATTCGAGAGGCCAACATGCAATTTGGACGCATTTATTCAACACGATGATTCAATCTTCACGTCACCACCACATCAGCATAAACTTTTTGTCAGGCATTCTTGAGCATTCTGGCATTTTGATGTCCTGGTGCTGGTTTCTAGAGCTACCCGGGGCACTCTAGTCTAGTCTAAGATTAATTACATTTAAATCATATTTTATTAAGCTGTCCGTCGGTTTTTGGTCAAAATGCTTGTCATGTCCTGATTTCAGTTCTGAAAAAGCGGAACAGACTAAATTTTTAAGGGGCATTAAGGACTTAATGTGGGACTTAAGGGTTCAAAAAAGCAGGACTGTCCCGATCAAAAGTCCGTATTTGAACAACTTACATATTTTATTAGTACACTAAGTGTCATTTTTGTCTAAAGGGGCCCCGGGTAGACCTAGAAACCAGCCTCAGACTAAATGAAAACCATGCAAACTTAATAAATCATTTCAATTAATTTTAACCTCTTGAAATTCTTCAAAAATGCATAATACTTTTTAATAAAGTTTAATAAAATCATCAATTTTACAATAAATTTAAAATCATAATACTTTTTGAGATTTGCTCCCAATAACTCATTTCTTGGTTCATTTTTCTAAAAACACGTTTACTCTCAACTCTCAGCGAAGGAGAATTGAGAGCTATAAACTTGTGTAAGTATTTGTGAGAGGCCAAAAAAAGGGGAAATTTTAAATGTCCATACAATTAAAGATTGTAATTTGTATAGCAATAACTCAAGTAAAGCTGATTATCAATCATAACAAACTTAATCTTAATAAGTGATGCCCCGCAAGTCAAATCCATAATTCTAGAGCACACTGGGAAAATCCAATGGTGAAATTACATTTTATGCTATCTCGTGTGATTAACACGCGCTATAGCGTTGGGGTCATCAAAATGACAAAAAGCGTGAGATTATTTTAATTAATCAAAGTAAATAACAAGAATTTAAATTGTGTTTGTCTGCTTTCCAATGAATTGGGTAATTTTTTTTGGATGTGTCACTTTTTTGGTGTCGAAACAGAGTTCAACTTGAGGTGTTGAGTCTTATTTTAAGTCATCCTGCCAGTGCAAGAGTTAAACTTTTGTGGCTCGAGTAGTTAAGCAACAAATCGATGTCTTGAATCCTCTTTTATGAGGACGTAGGTTCGATTCCCACCAGAAACTGAAATTTTGAATTTTTCTCCAGTTCCTGCTGCTTTGTTCCTGTTGACAATTAAACCAGATGATTGTCTCAATTTTTGAATGTTTCATAATCATTAAAATAAGGCACGATGAATCATATGAACTGAATATAAGATTTAATTTCATTTACGTACTCAAATCATTCTGAGTGTGATTTTATTTGACGCACATTAAAATATTCTCCGCTCGTCATTAAATCAAGCTAATTTTAATAAAATAAATAAGAAAAATGTTTAAAATTTTGATATTTTTCTATCTTTTAAAAATCATTGCTGGAAGTGAGTATCAATTAAATTGAAAATTACCCCGAATGGCACAAGTCGGCTAATCGATCAGAAATCTCATAATTGTGACTCTGGAATGGTGCTGTATTTGAATTCAAGCCTTCACCATGCCAGATCCATGCCGGCCTTGTGCTGGATTTCTATTCGATTATTCGACTTATGCTTCGGGTATACAAGGCAGTGTCGTAGACCAAGGGTGTGGTACTGATGAAATGATCAAAAATGATCAAAATGTAATTCTTCAGTTCCACACCCTTGGCGTAGACGGGAACTTGGAGAGGGAGTGGAGGGTCAAAAAAAATTTATATGGAAAAATTTCAGGAGGGGCTCGACTTTTTGCAAATTTTTCATAAATACCTAAGCAAAATGAATGATTTGTCCCCCAAATCCCCCCATTATATTCTTCCTGGCTATGTTCCTGATACAAGGGGTCCTCAATTTGTATTAGACTGACCTTATACAAATCGAGGACCCCCTGAAAAATTTAATATATTCACTATTTTTTAGACCCCATAAAAGATGAAATTTCAACAATAGGTGTCCAAAATGCATCACGAACTGACTCGCCATGGTTTGCCTTAATTGAAATCAAATCAAATGGGTTGCGTTGTGGAGGAAGCTTAATTAGTGATCAATTTGTTGTTACTGGTAAGAACTTTTATAGTTTTTTAGGTTTACAGCTGAGTTTATACTGAGAACCTGCTTATAAAATTGTCAAATCACAACCCTTGCTAAAATTTCATACCTTTATAGCTGCTCACTGTCTCGACTCACTCGACTCACTCGATTCATTAAGCTTAAAACAAGGAGTTTTGATAAAATTAGGTGAATGGAAGACAGACATAGAGAATGACTGTGAAGAAAGCAATGAAGAGTGCGAAAGTGTCGCAGAAATTCAGCCAAAAAGTGTCAAAATTCACGAATATTACGACAAGTCAGACAAATCAAAGCAAAACTATGACGTTGCTGTAATTAAGCTCGCTTGGAAGCCACGAATGTCTGAAATAATTCAAAATATTGAATTAAGCACCAGCGACAGTAATGTGAAGCTGACTAATCAAGTTTTGACTGTGACTGGATTTGGTAAAGACTTAATGGATTGCTTAAATGTTTTTATACTAATTTTTGAAATTTTTAAGGACAATCCACGCCAGGACGGTACACAAATATTAAGAAGAAAATTCAAATTAAAATATTTCCGGATCGATTTTGTGAGGAAAAGCATAAAGGAACTTACAGTAGAAGTAGACATGTGAGTTTTGGTCTTTTAATTGGGTTTTGATGCATTGAGTTAAAGTTGATGAAAGGAGCTGGGGGAAAGCCATAGAAGGGGGTGGTTGAGGTCTTAGCTAGGCTAAATTAATATCATCAAGCTGGGTCAAGTTTAAATGAATGATTTCAAACCAAACTAAGGCTCAAGAATTTTTTACTTCTTCGTTCTTGCTGCCACAACATCTTTTTTCCTTTCTTACTCACTTCTACTTCCTTGGCTGGAGTGCGCGTGGGTCCATTTCCCAGCTTAGAGATCGTCTGAAGACAGCTCTAACCTTAAAAACCTTTTGCCAGTTTAGGATATTAAGGACTCTAGCATCTTTTTCAACACAACCAATCCAAGAGTTTTTCGGTCTTCCTCGTAATCCGAGATACTCTTTCTTGTAACCATGTTCCTATATGGAGCTTAGGTTACAACAAAAGGTTTTCCATCTGACTCTGTTGCTGGCCTTGTCACCTAGTTTGTACATATTCTCTGTCCGCACATTAAGCTGACATTATTTCATCACTGTTCTGCGCCAAGTAGCTTTTGGAGCTCCTGGGCGTCTTTTCCTTTGCGGATTCCATCCAAGGGCGGTATAAAAAACTTGTGTTTCTGTCCCAGCAATGACATCCTCTTTGGTGTTTTTCTTACAAAGCCGTACTTCCTCATCTGTGTCTCCTTATTGATGTCTTGTTGACCTGCTTTTTGTAGAAGCTTCTCACATGGTGATCCGAGATACGACCCTTCCTTTCTTAAGAAACTTTATTGATTTATTTTAATTTGAAACATTTTTCATTCATTTTCATTTAATAGATTTGTGGATTAGGATACGAAGGTAAGCTCAACTTTATCCAAAATTCAGATTAAATATTTAACAAATGTTGATATTTTCAGGTGTAACAACGTGGTATGTTACAGGATGAACCAGAGCTCGAAGTCGAAAGGGTTCGAGCCGACTCGAGTAGACTCGACTCGACTCAACTTTTCTCGAGTCGACTTCATTTTTTCAGAGTCAACTTCGAGTAAACTCGGTAATTTTTTTTTTGTATGAAGAAGTTGACTCCTTGTCGACTCAAGTCGAGTCGACTCGGAGTTGACTCAGAAAAATGAAGTCGACTCGAGTCGACTACGAGTTCTGGGACGAAATCTTATCCAAGAGTACGAAGCTGATTACCAAATTTTGATCATTTTTGATGATCTTTATTCATTTTTATCAGTTCCGCACTCTTTTTTAAGTGACCAAACAGGCTCAAATTGAGGCTGTGACAAGGCAAAGTCATTCCTTGCCCACCTTTTTATCACTCGAGTATTTGACTTAAAATCTTGCGTTATAACTATGAATTTTTTAAGCTCTGGAGATTCTGGAAGTGGACTTTTTAGAACTGTCAATGGAAAGACTTATCTTGAGGGTATCACAGCATATGGTGTTGCCAATTGTGGTGAACGAGATTTGCCGAGTAAATAATTTTTCAATTTTAATAGCAAATTCGGAGTTGACATGTTTTGAACTTTGAGAAAAAGATGAGGAACTGATTAATTAGGTTTTGGACAATAGCTGATTATTTTTGATCTTTCTAATCAAATCTACAACCTTGCTTGGAGGCTTTTCTTGTGAAAATATGTCAACTCTGATTTTACAATTCGTTTTTAATTTATTTTGGGTATTTTAGGTGGATTCATGAAAGTTGCAACATTTAAGGAGTGGATCAAGGAACAAATTGACACACTTTCTTAGAAAAATCCAGTTTTGAAGGCTGAAAACCAAATCAATCAAATTGCTTACTTTGTAAAGGTTTTGGCGATTTTGCAGCCTTAATAATGAGTCAATAAAAATGCTGAATTATTTTATTTGAATTTATTCTTTTAATTCTTATGTTAATCTGTATGCACTTAGAAAATATCAATGTTTTAAAACAGTGGTGTCCAACCTTTTTTATACCGCAGCACTTCTTGCTGGTAAGTCATGACCGAAATCGCACGGTTCGTGGAGTTTTTAAAAAAAAAATTGTTGCATACTAGTGTGCCGCGGCACATGGGTTGGACATCACAAGCTTCAACATCCACCTTTCACAGGAATCTCATAGAACTCGAGTCCGAATTTTTCTGCAAAACATTCAAAAATCTTTAAAAATTAAGTTCAAAAAATTGTCAAAAAAAACTTACTTTTGTTATCAAAACTAAAAACTTTGACACTTGATTTTTGTGGACTTTTCACATCAAACATCTTGACTGCCTTGATGTCGATACAATATTTCTGGGAGCCTTGGAAGTTCATGAAGTGTATTATGACATATGACTTCTTCCTGCCTTCTTTTACTAGCTGTATGTTTGGTAAAAATAGTAAAAAATCAAAGGTCAAGCAACCTTACATCCATACTCACCCTAATGTCCTTCTTTTTCCACACCAAATCAATAATCTCATCAAAAATGTATCCGCTAGGCATTTGTACCTCATAAATAACATGCTTCATTGCCACCATCGACCACTCTTCTTGATCATAATCAGCACAAACATTAATCACAATTTCACCAGATTTTGTAACAATTTTATCATTAATTATGGCAACAGCTATGTGAAATGTTGGTTCTATTGCAATAGCAAAGTCGAGTGTCCGTTCAACAATTTTTGTGACTGATACAAAGCCATGTCCAGAGATTGTTGAGCCAAGAACTTTTGAGTGTGTTGGGAAGTTGACCAAATGGAAATCCGTTGAGTTGTATTCTGTGAGCTTTAATGTTTCCTCAAAATTAAATTCATCTTTTAACAGAATTGTGATGTCAGTTGAGTTACTGTTCAGCAAGTTGGCGACTTTGGCTATTGGTTCTGATATGATTGCTGCATTGAAGTAGTCTCCATTTAAGACATTGAAGTTGTATGATTTAAGAAGCCAATAAACTAATGGAACTGCTTTATGTATTGCATCTAGGTTGATGAATGCCATAGCTGTATAAGCTGTGTATCTTATGTTGCAGTCATCATCAGTTGCTGTCAATTTAATGCACATTTCCATGTTTCCATGATCAATTAATGTATTCTCAATACTATCCATGATTTCTTTAGTTCTTATCTCATAGCTTTCATCAGTTAGTGATTTTAATGAAAAGACATAAGCAGCTATTGAGGAAGCTTCATTGCTATTTTCATAATAACGGAAATTATCTTCAAGGAAGTCTAAAGCCTTTGTTATAACATCCTCATACTTTTGATCAACGATCTTATCTGATTTTAGGAAGGATATAAGGACATAAGCAGTTTCAAAATATATCTTTGTATTGTTGTAGTCAGAACTGTTCTTATTGAACTCAAGCATGCTTCCAAAATTAGAAAATCCTCCAGTTTCTAGCTGATAACTTTTAAGAATGTCTAGTTCCTTTTCAATCACGTCTGGCATCTCAAAAATCATCTTTTCAGTCATAGCTGATGCAAGAGTATCAACATAAAATGATAGGAATCCTGACGATATTGCGGTGTCCTAGAAGTAAAGAGTTTAATGGTTATGGACAGACTTTGGGGTTGGTATCTTGGCACAAGTGTTGCTATTAATTTTTATGGAAAGGAATGCTTCTTAACCAGTGATGGACAACCCATGGTCCGCAAAAAAAATCGGGAAATCCCACAAATCGTAAACCGTGTGCCGTTTCGGTCATGGCTTATCATCAAGTATCGAGGCACAAAGGTTGGTCATCACTGGTCTAAAGCAGTGTTTCTCAAACTCTCAATGCTTTGAAACAATTAATTCTTGGACATATTCTGAGCAACATAAGCTGCTACTGTTGATGAGTCTAGGATCAAAGCATCATTGAGCATAGTTTTAGAAGCACTGGCTTTTATAGCTCAGATGCTCGTCGAGATTGAAGATTTTATGAGAAAAAATTCAATTTGTTCAACAAGTTTGTAAATAGTTAACCTTAACCTCCTGTGTAGTCGAGATCCGCCGTCTTTAACCCCACAATAAAACCCCCTGGATAGAAAGGGTGTAGCCAAGGGAGGCTCGAGTCCTTAGATTAAACTTGGTATAAAGAACAACCCCCCAAGTTTTACAATTTTAAATGACATTTATCTATAAATCCAACTTACTTTTTGAAGCTCACGCATCACCAATATATCTTGAAATTCTTCCTTGAAGAACTTACTGTCCCTAGATTTGTTCTTGCTTTTTAAGTAACGATGATGATTAATATTCCATTTTAGTTTTGCTATTTTCTGCTCAATTAAATCATTTGAGTGTTGCCTTAAAAAGATAGGAAATAAAAATTAAAGTTAAGTTGCTGTCATGCTAGGATTAATCCCCAGGCATACTTACTCAAACTCAGATTCAATGCTGATCTTCTCACTTAAATAATCCCCAGAAACTACACAATAAGAGTTCGTATATGTGTCACTGTTGTTGGTCGAAAAGACAGAATTAAACTTATTTCCAGACAGAGTATATCCAACAGAATGTATGTCCATGAGTTTAACTCCAAAATTAGCAATCCTTAGGCTCTTTCGAACCGAATCTTTAAACTTATTATTACTTTTATCGGTAGCTTCAGCAGTGACTATAATATTGATGTACTTTTCCTTAGTAAAGTCATTGTCAGTTGGACTTGATCGGATATAAAATGAGACCTTTTTGATTCCAGCTGATGGAACTTCAATCTCATGAATCATGTTGCGGTTTGTGTTGAACATTGCTGTGCAATTGTCGTACTCAACAAATTCAAATGGCTGCGTTAAGTCATTCCGAAGATTTAACATTTTGATTTTTGCAGTCACTTTCTGATTATTTCTATTGTGGTTAAAGACCATGACATCGATTCTTAATATTTCTTTGTATCGCAGTGAATAAGGCAGACTGAATTTGATGAAAAAATCATTTTTAACTAAAAGTTCTTTAGGCTTCATAATTCCAAGTCCTTTTTCATCATGAACTGAGAATGCTGATATGTGCCACGATGTTATAGAATCAGGAACTTTATAAGTTTGATTTGTTATTGTTAAATTAGTCTCAATGGTCTCAAACAGCCACGTGTGAGGAAAATTCTCACGAATGTCTCCAAGATCTTCTTCTTCTTGCTTTTCTCCTGCATTTTCATCATCGTCAAAATTCTCACTGGAATCATTGAAGTCATCATCATCATTATCATCGCTAAAATCGAACCCATACGAATGTGGCACAACTGTACTTCTTCCATTTTCTAGACGGAGTAGCTCTTCTGATGTGCAAATGTGCCACGATTGCATGTCATCTAAAATAACAGCATGTTTGGTGTCGATATGTCCAATTTTGTGCATGATATCATCTCTTTTTAAATCATTTGAGGTACCTAGGAATGTGAGTCGCTTGTCGACAGCCAGCAGAAAGATTCTGGAGTTTTCTGTTGTGTTAAAAGCCATCGAGATTGTAGATTTTGAGGTTACGACATTGTGGGACAGTTTCATTTTAAGCTGCAATATTTCAAATATTTTAATTAGTAATATGCAATTGGATTTATGATTTGGAGCCTCAGGATTGGTTCTATGGCTACTAGAGATGCGCAACATTAGGATCAAAGATCAAGGAACTGCATTCTAGCGTTAATATTGGTTTTTATTATAGAAGTTCCCTCAAAATCTCTTTCTAGGATTCTAACAGATCAATCCTGACATTCAAAACCTTAAACCAGTGGTTCTCAAACGGTGTGCCACGGCACACTAGAGTAAAATTTACTTAAATGAGCTTCGAAACTTTTATTGAAGAAAAATGTGCCATAAACCAAAAAAGTTTGAGAAACACTGCCTTTACCACATCCAAGAACTTACATAATTTTCACCAATATTTCTCGTGCTGATCTCGACAGTTCCATAATCCACAGCATCTATGTGCCGAACATGATAAACCTCAAGTGTAAATTTTGGTATCATTTCCTCAACTACAACAATTTCGAAGCTACAGACAATTTGATTTTGGCAATTAATCATCCTTGTGTCTACATTTCCATACTTTGTCATGATTGCGACTATGATGTTGTTAAGGAACTTCTCACTTCTGACATGAACATCAAAGGTGCTGCCTAAATGGGGGCTGTGGGAGAAATATATTAAAAGTTTGATGGATTAGGAAAAAAAACCGAGGGGAGAACAACTTTGTGAAAAAATGAAAATAATCTAGAAATTGAGATAAATAACAGGAAATCAGAATGGAAAGGCCTCTATTGATCTAGATGCCAATAAAAGAGCTCCCATAAAGCAGTCATGCAAAATCTGAAATCAACCTTTTTCCACAGAGTTGTTTCCCCCTTTGTCTAAACTCCTTAAAAATTTACACTTAGGTCAATAACCTAAAAAGTGGCAAACAACCCAACCCCAAATGCACAATTCCTACCTATTCGGATAATAAGCTATATCCAGCTTCGTTGATTCATGATCAGGCTTTGCCATTCCAACCTTCACTCTGTACACCCGGCTGTTCAAAAATCTACACTGAATATCAAACTCGATTGCATCTTCTGGAACCATTGTATATTGCTCAGCTGTTCCATTGCTTAAAAGTGGATGGAATGTGATTTTTTTGCGAGTGCCGTCGGCAAGCTTGAATAAATAATCCATTTCGACTTCGTCATAGGAATTGTAAGTTTCATTCTTCCAGTTCTGCACAAAAACTTTAAAATCAAATGGAAAGCCAGGAGTAAATTTTGTTGGATGTACTGGAGTTAATTTAATTTTTGAGTCAGCATGAACTGTAAATTCCGTAGATTTATTGTAAGTCAATCCAGATTCAAATTCAGTAAACATCAGCGTAGCCTTAAGAACAACTCTGTTGTGGATTTGTGTATTAAAGTCTTTTTTCATGTTTATGGTCGTTGACTCAGTAGAATCAACATTCCTAAACTGCTTCACATAATAAACCTGATCGTCAGCAATATTTTGAATTATCAGCTCAGCATCACCAGCAACATAACTTCCAAAAGCATATCCAGCACTAAATTCGATAACAACTCTGGATTCTGGAAGGTAATCCTTTGAGGATGTCTTAATGTTGACTCCAAACAGTGGCAATTCAAACTTTTGGACATTAAATGACTTTGTTGTCGTTAAACTTTTAAACTTATCAACAGTGACTTTTAATTTCCAAATTCCAAAAAGGGGATTTTTACTTATTGTGAATTTTTCTACGTAAACGCCTTGGTTTTTCCCCTCGAGATCTGTGAATTTGTCGATTGTGCGGTTCAGTGGATCAACAATTTCAATATCAATATTGTTCATGATTCGAGGCTTCAAATCCTTATCAACAACAACTACTCGAAATTTGACATCATCTCGTGGATTATAAATAGGCTTGTCCGTCTGGATGAATGTGTAAAATATCGGCTTATCAACTTTAACCTCTAAATGATGTGTAGAACATTGTTGAACTGTGTCTTTGCCTTTGGTTCTTTCACGATATAAAGTTGCTGTAAACTTTAGTTTCTTGGCACTGCCAGTGTTGTTGGTTGGATAGTTTATGGCATATTTGTTGTGATTTGTTAAGCTGTATGTTCGGTTGTATTGTCGGAATTGAAGAGCCAACTCTGTTTCATGATCAATTGTCTTAGTTTGGATGAACACATTGTATTTGTGGGTTTTGAAGGAAGTTCTTGGTGCGAATATTGCGACTAGTCTGTTAAGAAGATAAAGTTTGAGATACTTTGGTGATTCAATGATAAGCATTTCGTAAGTAAGAACACTGAAGGGTTGTTTATTTAGAGGGGGGGGGGGGCATAAAATCCTAGGGGTCTAAATCTGTGTCGTCTTATAAATGCAAGATGTCATACTTGAACAACCCCATTAAATGTGGTTAAAACTGAAGAGCGACAGGCGCTTAGTCAAAAGTATTTTATTTTAAATTGATGATCTTTTGCCGTCGGGTTGAGTCAATTGTTTTTTTTTTTATTTTTTCGAAGCACACAGTTTGAGAACCACTGAGTTCTAGTACTCAATCTTACTACTCCTTTGATATAATTAAGAATTAGAACAAGACAGGCGCGTAGCCAGGAAGGTCATCCCCCCCTCGTAAGCGTTTTAAGCCGTGCTCTTGCTGCGGTTCAAAACGTTTAAGCAGGGGACAAGACCCTATTGCCTACGCGCCTGGAACAAGAGTTCACTAAGTTTCGCAGTAATTTCATACTTACTCTTCACAATAAACCACCGCCAAGTTCCACGAAAAGAACAAGAACAAAACGTGAAAATAAACTTTTGTTTCCATTCGCGATGAATTTCTATTTAGAAATGATGAGATCGACGTAGTTTATAATCTGAGAATTAAAGACGATTACTGATTCTTGTTAATTTTAAATAATCATGAATTTTTAAATTTTTTATAGTTTTTAAAATGAAGATCAACTTATGATCAATTTTTGAAACCAGGGAAATTTATAAAAACTTAAAAAAAAACTAGTTCAGTCTCTTAATTTTGGAAGAAAGTCTAAGCCTTACTAGACAGTATTTCCCCTCATTTCAGCAATCAACACAGTCACAAATCTGTTAATTCTCAAAGATTAAAAACAAAGAAATTATCGCTCAAAAGAAGGGGAAATTGCCTTTATTATAAACACCCAAAACTATTCCTGACTCAATAACGGAAGCCTCAATTTGAAGCCAATTGGTAAACCGCAGTGTTGTCCACACTTTTTTGAGCCACGGCACACTTAAGAGCTTAGTCATTACCAAAGTCGCACAAAACATTCGGCTCGCGTCATTTACAAAAAAATTTCTACGATACACCAGTGTGCCGAGGCACAGCACTGCTAAACCGTGAATTTTTTTGGTTCTTAAAGCTAGTCAAGGCTCAAAGTCGACTCGAGACTTTTATTCATTTTGAAAGGTGGAGTCGACTCCGAGTCGGCGAGTGGACTACATAAAGAAATTTCACCGACTTCACGCTCTTCTGATAGCTAAACTTTAAAATCGGGGGCAACGGGCGCCTCATAAGATTCTAGTTAATAAAGAATCTCAAACTTGATATGGACTGTATCTGCAATTGTTAAAAACTGATGACAAAGCTCATCCTGATAAGATTCAAATTTTTAATTCAATTTAAGCTTAACCCCCCTCCCTCGTTTTATAATGGACTGAGTAAGATTTTATATTAAAATACTAATTTAGTTCCCTTTCAAGCAAGACGGGAAGAAATCAATTCTAAAACTCTGACATTTCACCAAAAATCCACCATTTTGATTTTCACCAAAACAAAAAAAAATCTGCCATTTTGAATTTCACCACATTTAATGTGGAAAACTGTTTTATAGATTAAAAGAATTAAACAACTTTATTTTAATTTATTTATTTCATAGTTTATTGAAAATACATCAAAATTATATTAATAAAATTTAAACGCACAGCAAATCGTATGAAAAGACATCCTTAATATCTGAATTTAAAAATAAAAGAGAATTAGTTTAAAGAAAGCTGAATAAATCCACTCATTAGACTTACTAGGACGATAATAGTCATAAATTTTGATGAACAATGGCTTATAAAATTTGGTTCCATCTGTCTTTTCTATCAATCTGATTGATTTCCAAAAGTCGACGCCTTTTTGAACTTTATTGATGTACAAGATGAGTTTTTGATCTCCTCTCAGCTCCGATGACTAATAAATTGATGTAAAAAAAAGAAATTCAACTTAATTCAGTGTCTTCAATTAAACAGAGAAGGGGGGGGGGGGTCAAGGTAGGGTTAGGGAGTCAGCTAAGTTACTCATCCTTTAGCTCGTTCAAAGTGCGGAATTCAAAAATGATCAAAATCAGGGCCAAGTTTTTAAAGCTACCCGAGGCACCCTTCCCTAGTCTTGGATTAAATTCGTCCGATTTACCAGATTTGCAATTTTAGAAGTCCTTAAAAAAGGGAAGTGCAAGCAACACTTGTCAAAATACTCACCACAACATCATAATCATCAGAAAATTCCGAAAATTGATATCCTTCTGGTATGTCAACTTCTAAAACTACCAAATTACTTATAGTTCCTTGGGTAAATATATATGAAAACTTGATGTAAATATTCATCATGAATTCGCCTACTTTAGATACTTTCAGGTCTTTTAAGTCAAATGATGCTTTTTTAACAGCTGGTTTGTCATTTCCATCACCAAAAACATTAACATAGCCTAATTCTTTATGACCAATAGTAAGTTTTTGATTACGCGTCTTTACATCGACTGTCCTTGATTGAAGCTGTCCAATTGAATTATATTCATCATTTAAATAGAAGACAAAAGCGGATTCTCTAATGTTCCTATATCTTGAGTATTCTGATAAAGCTTTAAGAGCTAAGTATGTGTCAAATGGTGAATAAAAGGCGCCGTCTGCATTTCTGTATTTAAGTAAAGCTTGGACTTGCTCTCTTGGATCTTGATTAAGCATTATTTTTGTGAGAATTTCATATGAAATAATTTCCACATACATTGTGAAATGATGTGGATATGTGATTTTTTTTGTGTAGCCATGGACCATCTTGGCAAGTACAGTACTAGCCTTTGTGAATTCATCATGGTAAGCAAGGACATAAGCAGCAACTGCTATAATATGGTCACCAGTATAAGTTTGTCGATTGTCATGTAAGTTTCTCAATTTTGAGGAGAAGAAATTCAAAAATTCTTGAACATTGCTCCTTAAAACAACTTTGGTAATTAAAGCAGTTTGGATTGTTTCACGAAATTTAGAGCTGATATCCCTTCGGACATCAGAGTCGGCATCATATGGGAACATGTAGCCATTGTTTATAAATTGTTGTTTAATAAAATTTAGCGAGTCTGCAATTAATTGAATTTCTATTGGAATCGAAGTACGAAGATCTTGTAAGTCAAGGATAATGTCTGTTATTAAGGCAGCCAACCAAATTTTCCTTGAGTCGTTCTTCTCAATGATGTTCCGTAAGATTTGTGCAACTTCCTGATAATAATTCATAATATTGTTTAAAACAATTGTGCCTTTTTCACTCGATTGAAGTCCTGTGTTTTTAAGGAATTTATAGATGACAACTTCTGTTCCAAACTTGAGTGCCTTATCCTCATCTAGTATCATCGTTCTCAATCTACAAGTAATAATTATATTCAATTAAGTCTTAAAGGTAAAGCATGGGAAGAGCCCAGCCTTTTGAACTTTTTTAGGAAGAGCCTAGCCTTTAGAGGTACCGCGATTCAAATTAGAACAGAATCTATTGTACCACAACCTTTAGGCCAACAGTTTATAGTAGAATCTGAACCACTTGCAAGTTCTATACATTGCAAAGACACGCGTACGTCATAAGACCTGATGTACCCTGCAATGTACCTTGTCTCAATTCGTGTGCCCAAGATGCTGTAATGAAACCATCCAGATGCTAGTATATCCTTCTATACCTAGCAAAGGAGACACTTTAAGTGCCGTAGCCCTCAAAACTACACTAAACACCCCAACCGAGCTTCGTAACTTGAACGGTGAAAAGGAAAAAGAGCTTGACTTTGCCTTGGATTTAACCCTGAACCTTTGGAACGTAAGGCAACCACTCTACCACAAAAGTCACTGATGCCATTTCACCATTCAAAAGTTAATCTTACAAAAAAAGCTTACAATATTTTCTCAAGTCCATCAACTGCTGGTCCAAGAATATTTCCATAAATGGTAGCTGATGTTTTAAGGATCGTTTCAAATCTCGGATTAGCATTAGTTATGTCAATTAATTCATTCCTTAAAGATTTCTTCACCAAATCGTTAACATTTTTACGAACTTGAATTTCCGTTGATGCTTCATCTTTGGCTCTACCTGTTGTAGCTGTAACTGTGGCTGTAATTTTTATAGACTTTTCATTGTTTGAAGTAACTCGAAGTGTTCTGTATGGAGCGTGTTTTTCAGGTGTGAATTGAAGTTCAAATTCTTCATACGATGATTTTTTATGTTCTCGACAATTTTGATTACCAAATGGCACTTCCTTGATGAAAAATCCATCTTCGATATTAACAACAACTGTCGCTCTAAGATTGGTTCTAAGTTCATTTGTTACTATAATGTGCAGATCATGAACTTCATCTTGATTAATTGATTGTGGTCCTCTTAACATTAACTGCAATTTTTCTACTTTTTGTACAGCTTTAACGCTCACTTCTGGCTGTGTTTTAGCGACTGTAAATCCTTTTTCTGGATGAACGGAAATTCCATAAAACTTCCATGTTGTCGTGCTGTCTGGAAATTTTATTTGAATTGTTTCATTTTCATTTGTTGTGGCTACATAGGCAATCTCAAGTAGAGCTTCTGGAAAATATTTATGTGGAGTCTTGTCAATATTTGTATTTTGCTGAACATCATCATAATCGCCAACTGCAGAACGGGAGCTAAATGTACAGTCACTGCCATTTCGGAGAGGATCTAAGATAAAAGCATTCAATTTTTCAAAATAATAAGCTGAAGTTGGCTCAAATTTCTTGATCAAGTGATAAACAAGCTCGTTATAAACTGAGATTCTTGAAATTTCATTTTCATAGCTAAATAGTGCTGAATTCACATCAGTTGCTATTATAAATACTTGAGAACCTTCCTCAGTTTTGACAGTGATGTCCACTATTTCATTTGCTTTGACTAATTCTGGTGCTGAGATTTCAAGCTAGAAAATTGAATATTTATTAATTGGATATACTAAAATGATGTTAAGGACCTTAAACTTACAGAATTGTTGATAGAAAATCCAATCTTTATTGAGAATTCATCATAGACCATTGCACCATCAGCAGCTCTTGTGTAAAAGACAAGTCCATGTGCTTCTGGTCTCATCTCATCGGTCAGTTCCAATGAAAATTCAAAAACATCCTTTCCAACTGAATCATTAAATGTCTGACTCTGAATTATTCCTTTCGTACCGAAAACTAATAATCGAGGAAGTTCCATTTCTTCTGTGGATTGGACTCTCATTTGGACTGTCGAACCGACTGTTGTACTGAAACAAATTGTTGAAAAATGATTAAAGGTAATCGACAGAAGGCACGCTGGCCTCACTAGAGGTGCAGCTAGGAATTTGAAGGCAGCTACGAGCCTAAAACCCCGACCAAACCCTCTAGTCGCATCAATATCCTTACTTTTTAGTAAGCATGGTAATCATCATGTACTCTTCAGCTCCTGGAAATCTCTCAATCACTTCTGTAAGCTTTGTGTCTGCAAATTCAAATGAAAGTATAATTTTATCCGTATCCGCTTTGGGCTGGAGATGATGGAAAGTTTCGCCATTCTTTAAATTTGTTTGAAATGTTTTCTTATCAATTTTTGGTTCATTCTGTCCATTTTGCATTTTGGGCACATACTGGATGGTCGTTGAAAGTTGATTTAGTGAATTGTCAGGCTTTCCATCGAGCACTTTAACACGAACTTTAACTTGAAATTTAAATCCTGGCTTAAAATATTTTTTCTTAAGTGTTGTGATTGTGTTCCTTCCTTTATACTTCATTATGATGTTTTTCATGACTGTCGATGGATTTGGACCAGATATTTGAATAGTGAATGATAGATTCATGTCAGCTGTTGGATATTTAATGTCCAAGTCTTCCTGAAAGTCCAATGAAACTGATGTCTTGAGGTCTGTCAGTCGAACACTTTTAACATGCTTGTTAATTTCAACACGTGTTAAATTTACGAAACTTGCTTTTAAATAAATTTCAGCCGACCTTCCAAATGGGTCCTTAGTGTAGATGTTCAGGTATACTTTACGGTCAACAAAAGCAACAGTTGAAGGAGCTTCCACAAAAACTTCGGCACCATCATTAGAATCTTGAACTTCAAATGTTTTAGTGACTTTTCTGTCCTTAGCCTTAACTTCTATTGTCCATACTCCAGGTTTGTAATTTTGAAGATCGCGAATGTTTATGTCCTCCTCGTAGACACCAAATTGATTAGTATTTCTATCTGACTGGAATCTTACAACATCATTATTATCCGAATCCTTTATATGCACATCAATTGGACCAAAGTTAGGAATTGGAAGTAATTTTCCTGTCAAAATGAACACTCGGAATTTAAAACTTTCATTTGTTCTGTAAATTGGCTTGTTAAACTGAACAAGTACGATTGGACTGTGTGCTATATTAAGGATATTAACTGATTGCTGCTTACAAACATTATTTAATGTTGAAGATAATTTGAGCTCATATTTTGGGACATCGTTTTGGACCTGTTGAGATAATATACAAAAATATGGTATAAGCCTTAATTCGGGAACCAAAGGGTCTTTTGCATATTAAGTCACACTTTAGAAAAGAAGGGTGTAGAATATTTTGTGTCATTATCTTTAATACTAGCTTTGTGGCAATAGGAAAGGGGACGAGGGGCAATAGGAAAGTGGGGAGGGGAAAGGGGGGAAGGGGGAAGGAGGAAGGGGTACGAAATAAATTGGGGAGGGGGAAAGAGGGAAAGTGGGGAAGGGATAAGGGAGAAGAGGGAAGGGAGGTGATTTAAAAATTAAAGTTTCAGTGTGTGACGTAATTTATGAACCACCCCTAATCGATAACAAAGTTCGCCGTCTTAAAACAAAAAAAAAATATCGAAAAGAGCAGTGTTTCTCAAACTGTGTTCCGCGGAGCCTTACATGGAGCCTTACAAGGAGCCTTGATCCATGAGAAAATCGTAGACGCTACTCAAAAAGATTATCGGAACAAAATAATAATTTATGTTAAAAAGTGATGCCAAAAAAGTTGGATCATCATTTCTGTTCACATAGGGGAAAATTTGTCAATCAATCCCCCTCTTCCTTTCCCTACGCTTTGTTGTGGTCTGAAAAGTTTGAGAAACACTGGTTTATAGCCACGAGTGAATCTCTCAAAGGGAAGTAAGGGATTACGGTGGTGGAGCCGGTATCTATGGCTATATGGATCAACCAAACCTTAGTATTAAATAACATCAAGATCTGATTCATAAGAAAATGAGAAGCAGATCAAAACATCATTAATAGGTTCATTATCTCCTTCTAAACCAATCATCCACTCAAAATCCTTAACTTTCGAACTACAGAGCCTTTAAAATAACCCAAAAGTCATACTCACATCAAAAGCAATTTCACCAAATGAAAGTTGATCATCAACTCGTTGTTTATCAAATTCAACTATAACGTTCGCGTCTGCACCGCCTTGCAAGAGATATGTCTTATATTTAGAGTCAATTGATGCATATCGAGATCCAATTAGTGAAATGTTTTGTTGACTGTAAAAATAAGTATTAAATAAATTCAAATGAGCTGTTTTTTGTTATCAAACAGAAGAACTTTAATCAACTTAATTAATAAATAGTAAAACAATCTCGAGCGGCACCAAGGCTGGGTTCAAATCATGACATCGTTGGGATTTAAGGACAGTCGTGGCTTTAACATGTAATACCTCGTGTCGACGTGTTGTTACAATATCGTTGCCACAAGTCATAAGCCAGGCATGTGAATCGGTAAATTCAACAAAGTGTAGCCTCAACTTTTAATTTTTTTGTAGCTTGGGTACAGTGTCCATAGTAATCAACCCAACATACCCAAATTTCTTGATTTCTTACCAAAATATCCCCAAAAAGTTGATCGCAATGAAGAATGACAAAATGTGCCAATTCAGCCATACCGCAGCACTTCTTGCTTTTAAGTCATGACCGAAATCGCACGGTTCGTGGAATTTAAAAAAAATTTGTTGCATACTAGTGTGCCGCGGCACATGGGTTGGACATCACAAGCTTCAACATCCACCTTTCACAGGAATCTCATAGAACTCGAGTCCGAATTTTTCTGCAAAACATTCAAAAATCTTTAAAAATTAAGTTCAAAAAATCTTCAAAAAAACTCACTTTTGTTATCAAAACTAAAAACTTTGACACTTGATTTTTGTGGACTTTTTACATCAAACATCTTGACTACCTTGATGTCGATGCAATATTTCTGGGAGCCTTGGAAGTTCATGAAGTGTATTATGACATATGACTTCTTCCTGCCTTCTTTTACTAGCTGTATGTTTGGTAAAAATTATGAAAAACCAAAGGTCAAGCAACCTTACATCCTTACTCACCCTTATGTCCTTCTTTTTCCACACCAAATCAATAATCTCATCAAAAATGTATCCGCTAGGCATTTGTACCTCATAAATAACATGCTTCATTGCCACCATCGACCACTCTTCTTGATCATAATCAGCACAAACATTAATCACAATTTCACCAGATTTTGTAACAATTTTATCATTAATTATGGCAACAGCTATGTGAAATGTTGGTTCTATTGCAATAGCAAAGTCAAGTGTCCGTTCAACAACTTTTGTGACTGATACAAAGCCATGTCCAGAGATTGTTGAGCCAAGAATTTTTGAGTGTGTTGGGAAGTTGACTAAATGGAAGTCCGTTGAGTTGTTTTCTGTGAGCTTTAAAGTTTCCTCAAAATTAAATTCATCTTTTAACAAAATTGTGATGTCAGTTGAGTTACTGTGCAGCAAGTTGGCGACTTTGGCTATTGGTTCTGATATGATTGCTGCATTGAAGTAGTCTCCATTTAAGACATTGAAGTTGTATGATTTAAGAAGCCAATAAACTAATGGAACTGCTTTATGTATTGCATCTAGGTTGATGAATGCCATAGCTGTATAAGCTGTGTATCTTATGTTGCAGTCATCATCAGTTGCTGACAATTTAATGCACATTTCCATGTTTCCATGATCAATTAATGTATTCTCAATACTATCCATGATTCCTTTAGTTCTTATCTCATAGCTTTCATCAGTTAGTGATTTTAATGAAAAGACATAAGCAGCTATTGAGGAAGCTTCATTGCTATTTTCATAATAATGGAAATTATCCTCAAGGAAGTCTAAAGCCTTTGTTATAACATCCTCATACTTTTGATCAACAATCTTATCTGATTTTAGGAAGGATATAAGGACATAAGCAGTTTCAAAATATATCTTTGTATTGTTGTAGTCAGAACTGTTCTTATTGAACTCAAGCATGCTTCCAAAATTAGAAAATCCTCCAGTTTCTAGCTGATAACTTTTAAGAATGTCTAGTTCCTTTTCAATCACGTCTGGCATCTCAAAAATCATCTTTTCAGTCATAGCTGATGCAAGAGTATCAACATAAAATGATAGGAATCCTGACGATATTGCGGTGTCCTAGAAGTAAAGAGTTTAATGGTTATGGACAGACATTGGGGTTGGTATCTTGGCAACAATGTTGCTGGTAATTTATTTTGGAATGGAATGGGTTGAAACCAGTGATGGGCAACCCATGTCGAGCGAAAAAAATTCGGGCAACCAAACAAACCGTTTACCGTGTGCGGTTTTGGTCATCGCTTATTTTCAAGTATCGAGGCACAACATCACCATGGATCATAATTGATCTGTACGGCTAACGAAGTAAGTAAGTATCGAGGCACAAAGGTTGGTCACCACTGGTCTAAAGCAGTGTTTCTCAAACTCTCAATGCTTTAAAACAATTAGTTCTTGTCCATATTCTGAGCAACATAAGCTGCTACTGTTGACGAGTCTAGGATTAAAGTATCATTGAACATAGTTTTAGAAGCACTGGTTTTAATTGCTCAGATTCTCGTCGAGATTGAAGATTGCATGAGAAAAAATTCAATTTGTTCAACAAGTTTGTAAATAGTTGACCCCAACTCTCTGTGTAGTCGAGATCCACAGTCTTCAGCCCACAAAAATGAATCTTCTGACACCCCTGGCTACAAAGGGCATGGCCAAGGGAGGCTCAAGTCCTTAGATTAAACTTAGTATAAAGAACCGTCCCACCAAGTCATACAGTTTTAAACGACATTTATCTAAATATCCAACTTACTCTTTGAAGCTCACGCATCACCAGTATATCCTGAAACTCTTCTTTGAATAACTTGCTGTCCCTTGATTTATTCTTGCTTTGCAAGTACCGATGATGATTAATATTCCATTTTAGTTTTGCTATTTTTTGCTCAATTAAATCATTTGAGTGTTGCCTTAATAATAGGAAATAAAAATTAAAGTTAAGTTGCTGTCAAGCTAGGATTAATCCCCAGGCATACTTACTCAAACTCTGAATCAATGCTGATCTTCTCACTCAAATAATCCCCAGAAACTACACAATAAGAGTTCGTATATGTGTCACTGTTGTTGGTCGAAAAGACAGAATTAAACTTATTTCCAGACAGAGTATATCCAACAGAATGTATGTCCATGAGTTTAACTCCAAAATTAGCAATCCTTAGGCTCTTTCGTACCGAATCTTTAAACTTATTATTACTCTTATCGGTAGCTTCAGCAGTGACTATAATATTGATGTACTTTTCCTTAGTAAAGTCATTGTCAGTTGGACTTGATCTGATGTAAAATGAGACCTTTTTGATTCCAGCTGATGGAACTTCAATCTCATGAATCATGTTGCGGTTTGTGTTGAACATTGCTGTGCAATTGTCGTACTCAACAAATTCAAATGGCTGCGTTAAGTCATTCCGAAGATTTAACATTTTGATTTTTGCAGCCACTTTCTGATTATTTCTATTGTGGTTAAAGACCATGACATCGATTCTTAATATTTCTTTGTATCGCAGTGAATAAGGCAGACTGAATTTGATGAAAAAATCATTTTTAACTAAAAGTTCTTTAGGCTTCATAATTCCAAGTCCTTTTTCATCATGAACTGAGAATGCTGATATGTGCCACGATGTTATAGAATCAGGAACTTTATAAGTTTGATTTGTTATTGTTAAATTAGTCTCAATGGTCTCAAACAGCCACGTGTGAGGGAAGTTCTCACGAATGTCTCCTAGATCTTCTTCTTCATGCTTTTCTTCTGCATTTTCATCATCGTCAAAATTCTCACTGGAATCATTGAAGTCATCATCATCATTATCATCACTAAAATCGAACCCATACGAATGTGGCACAACTGTACGTCTTCCATTTTCTAGACGGAGTAGCTCTTCTGATGTGCAAATGTGCCACGATTGCATGTCATCTAAAATAACAGCATGTTTGGTGTCGATATGTCCAATTTTGTGCATGATATCATCTCTTTTTAAATCATTTGAGGTTCCGAGGAATGTGAGTCGCTTGTCGACAGCCAGCAGAAAGATTCTGGAGTTTTCTGTTGTGTTAAAAGCCATCGAGATTGTAGATTTTGAGGTTACGACATTGTGGGACAGTTTCATTTTAAGCTGCAATATTTAAAATATTTTAATTAGTAATATGCAATTGGATTTATGATTTGGAGCCTCAGGATTGGTTCTATGGCTACTAGAGATGCGCAACATTAGGATCAAAGATCGAGGAACTGCATTCTAGCGTTAATATTGGTTTTTATTATAGAAGTTCCCTCAAAATCTCTTTCTAGGATTCTAACAGATCAATCCTGACATTCAAAACCTTAAACCAGTGGTTCTCAAACGGTGTGCCACGGCACACTAGAGTAAAATTTACTTAAATGAGCTTCGAAAGTTTTATTGAAGAAAAATGTGCCATAAACCAAAAAAGTTTGAGAAACACTGCCTTAACCAAATCCAAGAACTTACATAATTTTCACCAATATTTCTCGTGCTGATCTCGACAGTTCCATAATCCACAGCATCTATGTGCCGGACATGATAAACTTCTAGTGTAAATTTCGGTATCATTTCCTCAACTACAACAATTTCGAAGCTACAGACAATTTGATTTTGGCAATTGATCATCCTTGTGTCTACATTTCCATACTTTGTCATGATTGCGACTATGATGTTGTTAAGGAACTTCTCACTTCTGACATGAACATCAAAGGTGCTGCCTAAATGGGGGCTGTGGGAGAAATATATTAAAAGTTTGATGGATTAGGAAAAAAAACCGAGGGGAGAACAACTTTGTGAAAAAATGAAAATAATCTAGAAATTGAGATAAATAACAGGAAATCAGAATGGAAAGGCCTCTATTGATCTAGATGCCAATAAAAGAGCTCCCATAAAGCAGTCATGCAAAATCTGAAATCAACCTTTTTCCACAGAGTTGTTTCCCCCTTTGTCTAAACTCCTTAAAAATTTACACTTAGGTCAATAACCTAAAAAGTGGCAAACAACCCAACCCCAAATGCACAATTCCTACCTATTCGGATAATAAGCTATATCCAGCTTCGTTGATTCATGATCAGGCTTTGCCATTCCAACCTTCACTCTGTACACCCGGCTGTTCAAAAATCTACACTGAATATCAAACTCGATTGCATCTTCTGGAACCATTGTATATTGCTCAGCTGTTCCATTGCTTAAAAGTGGATGGAATGTGATTTTTTTGCGAGTGCCGTCGGCAAGCTTGAATAAATAATCCATTTCGACTTCGTCATAGGAATTGTAAGTTTCATTCTTCCAGTTCTGCACAAAAACTTTAAAATCAAATGGAAAGCCAGGAGTAAATTTTGTTGGATGTACTGGAGTTAATTTAATTTTTGAGTCAGCATGAACTGTAAATTCCGTAGATTTATTGTAAGTCAATCCAGATTCAAATTCAGTAAACATCAGCGTAGCCTTAAGAACAACTCTGTTGTGGATTTGTGTATTAAAGTCTTTTTTCATGTTTATGGTCGTTGACTCAGTAGAATCAACATTCCTAAACTGCTTCACATAATAAACCTGATCGTCAGCAATATTTTGAATTATCAGCTCAGCATCACCAGCAACATAACTTCCAAAAGCATATCCAGC